GTTTCTAGCCAATGGAAGATCCTGCATGTGACCAGCCTGGCCGAGGGAACTCCCTGGATTGCATCATGATTTCCACCTTTTAGACCTGTGGCATGCAACGATCTTCAATGCAGTGGTCCATAGGAAAGAACATTTATCAAAAAATTAATTCCTTGATCCCTTTGAGACAAAATACTTTCCTCCTTCATCTTCCCAGCTCCGTGAATGCTGGCTCACCACTAAGTCCAGTTTGACAAGGTGCCAAGCTGTCCTACAGCATAGCCTAGCAAGTTAACATTAACAGCTGCTTAGACCTTACACGTAATCCAATACTGCTTGACAACCAGACATTCTAGAAAGCTTCCGCTCCAATTACACGAAGAAGGTATTGATCTCTGTCTAATTCCCAAAGGGAGAAACTACCTACTCAGCAGATATTTGTGGAGAACTTCAAAAACAAGCTTGATCTTGTCAAAAACATCCATAGGAGAGGAATAATCCAAGTTAGGCTCCTTGGCCTTAAAACGTAGGATGAACACATCTGACTGTTCCTCTGTGAATGGCTGAAGAGACGGGTATGAAATCAGTGGCTTCAGGATGTATTTCAGCAACAGCTGGCCTGAGAAACAAAAAAAAAAATATGCTTTCCAACAGCATGGAGGCAGGCAGTTTGCTCCAGTGAGGCCCAATCATAACCATTTTGGATGCAGAGATTTTTCGCGTGAAATGGAAGAAACACTCTCTTGATTAGCTGCATCAGGGAACAGCTAATGAGGTAAAACACCGGCTTTGGTTTCACTGAAGACCATGTTACTCATGTAAAACACATACAGAGGCCTAACAAAGAGCAGCATATTTAATGTCAAGTGAGAAAGAACTGGAGTGGCTGGAAGCATGAAACCCTGTCCTAGTATCTACTGTACTTCCCAATTTATTTTATCAACACCTGAGAATGCTGAAGTCCAGAGGCTGCCTGAAACCATCAGTCTCGCTCTTGGTAGATGAGGAGGCTGTAACTGGAAAAACTCTTTTAACATCGGACCATGAAATCACATAGATGCAGATCAAAACCATATACTAGGGTAAACTGACAGGAATGGATAATTAATTCCAGATAAATAATAGGATAATTTCCTATTAATAAGAACCAGAGGATTCACCTTGCACTCAGAAACACAAGCCAAGAAAGAAGTCTTCCAGTGTAGTGCTGAAGTGAACTGGATCTCAATATCCATCCTAAACCAAGACTGAACTCCCATCCACTCAGGCTACTAGAGCTATGTTTATCTGGATCCACGGTCTGTCTTACCAAAAATCTTAAGCTTGGTGTGCAGTTCTCCTAGGACAGCAAATGCCTGCAGCACAGAAGCAACAGGTGGGCCAGCAATCTCCTCCTCTTTTGATGGCACTGTGTGTAAGTGCAATTCTGAATGCACCACCGACTCCAGGCTGTTGCTTTCTAAAGAAAAAAGAAGAACCATCTCTCCATCAGAGTGCGGTCCAAGATAGAGCAGACCTGAGAAGCTACTGCATTCCTCAGGTGGCAGCTAAAGCAATGTTCTATCTCTCCTCGTTTCCACAAAACACAGTTCTTGCAAAAGAGCATGAGAAGAGCATACAAGGTTACAGTGTAGGACAACGGAATGAGAATCAGTATCTTACAATGATCCATAATTGTCATTTCAGTCACTTTGCAATTTAATGACATTTAGCGACAGTTGCTTTCCTCTCCCTTTCCCTTTTCTCTTTTTTTTCTTTTTTGACATTTCAAGCCAAATCCAAAGGAAAAGTTTTTTTTCTTTTCCGAAGGATAAGTTTGTGTTTCAGTGAAGAAGGCAATGTACAAACTCTTGAGCAGTCCTTGCAATTAGCTGCCTGCAACAAAAGTGGCAACCTGAAAACCTATCAGAGAAGGTAACAGTATCCTTAAAACGAGCCTAGTAGGGAAAGGTGTTCAGGCTGAACAAAAGTTTCAGAAAACTCTTCCAGCTCCTATGCCAAATTGGGTATTCAATAATAAGCAATAATAACCTGACATTTTTGCCCAGTTGATTTCCTCAGGAACAGAAGCTCTGCAGGAGAGCATCCCTTTTCTGATATTTCACAAGACTAAAAAAGTACTTAGAGGCTGGCAACTGGTTTGATCTCTGCTTCAACGTTTTCTAGGACATACCATAGATGAGGCCAATGAACCTTCAAAACTGTGTTTAAAATCTGCTGACTACACCAGATGGCTCGTGGCAGCACCTAAATACCCCAGGAGTGGAGTGACACCCAAAGAACACTGCCGCTCACAGGTTACGCGAATGGCAGAAAGGGCTCCTGAAACCAACCTCAGTTCCACAGTATTTCTTATCTTGCAGGTGCTTGAAACCAGGCGTTTCAAATAGTGAAGCAAAAATAGTGAAGCTAACTAGAATTGTGAGCACCTTTCGAAGGAGGAAGCTTCCATACAGCCAGCTTCTGCCATTCTTCTCCTAGATGATAGAGCATGTTTTGCGTCTGCACTGTGAGCTCTGTGCCTAGTGCTTTCAGGATCTTCAGCTCAAAGCCCTGGCGGGATTCCAGCATTTTCAGGCTGCTTCGTGCCTGGTGGTAAAGACGAAACACAAAACATGGGTAAGTGTTGCCCCTGCCAATGAAAAGCATCTTGTGAAATTTATTGAAAATATATATGAACGATATTTTCACATGCTTAAGGAGTCATTATTACCTTCTCCAGTTGCTGAGCTGCCGCAACATACTTCTTTTCCAGCAATGCACTATTGTATTCTTTAATAGCTGTATCAAACTGCAACAATCAGAGAGATTCATCTGTCACTGTATATCTGACATTAGACTACAATTTTTTAAGCAACGTGGCTAGACACAGGGGAGCTATAGACAGTTATCCAAAAGAGAAGCCCAGAATAATGCTGCAGGCTGAGGAAGAGAGAGGATGACTACTGCTTAATGATTTTAAGCCGCTCCCCCACCTCCCCTCACCTCCTGTAGCTTTTTCAGAATACTCAGAACCAGTGTGTCTCGCTCCAGCTGCTGCTTCAATTCAGTAAATTCGGCAACGGCAATGTTTAGATCTTGCTGAACCTAAAATAACAAATTTTTCAGTTCATTTACAGCAAGCAAATGTTACCAGACACATTTCCTCTTACAGATGATAACAATATGAGGTTTAAAGCATTTCTGTACTAGAATAATTTGGTGAGGAAGAAAAAAGCTCCATCCGTTTTATTCCTTGCTAGGAAGATCCTTATATTGGAAACCCTTACAAACTGGTTTCTCTTTCAATACGTTACAGGCTTTTTTAATGGCACCGTAAGGGAATTTAGTCTCAAAAGGCAGCCAAAAGGACTTCAGTGTTCCTTTAATACAGCCGTTTAAAATGCAAGAATGCCTGAACTTGCCAAAAGCTAATTCTCAATTAGCACAGCTACAGAAGCCCAGATGTTGAAATATTGGTCAGAGAAGCAAAAGCCAGAGAGTCAGTCTGCAACCCGGCCTGTGGGACCTGCTCCCGTTCTCCTTAAAGACTTCAGTGAAGGTGCACAGTTACGTTTAGGTTCCCATTCTGCCCGAAATCAGCGTGAGACCAACACCCCGCCAGCCCATTCCTGTGTCACGCCTTACTGGAATAGACTGATCCTTCTCTCCCGAAGGAGAGACGTGCAACGTGCTTTTCCAGCTGTCCAACGGGGCACAAGCCATGGCCAATCCCTTAATGACAGTGCCTTCTCACACCCCCGACGCGACACACACCCCTGTGGCGTGTGTCACCCCAAGGCGTTTTTTAGGGGTGAGGTCAGGCAGGGTTCTTAGCCAGCCCCCTCGCAACACACCAAGACGGGGCGGGGGGGGGGGGGGGGCCCTACAGGTTTGGGGTGAGGCCGAAGGGAAGGTGCAACACCGCGCCGTCACCTCGTTTTCAATCCCCGCTTTCAGCCGGTCGATGCTGCTGGACAGCCCGTCCACCTGCGACACCAGGTCCTCGGCACTCTGCATGCTGGGCAGGAACTCGTTATACTTCTTGTTGATCATGTTGCAGACCTCGCCCTAAGGAAGAGAGAGAGGGCGCTGGGGCACCGCCACCTCAGGGGGCCCTTCAAGGAGGAGAGGTGAGAGAGCCTGCAGGGGCTGGGGCACGCTGGCCTGGCCGAGCAGCCGGGCTGACAGGCGCGCTGGGGTGGGCGCCGCTGCCCCGCACCCCCGCAAAGAACGGCCGGGCAGCGGCGACGGGGGCAGCTCGGGGCCGCCATGCCCGCCCCTCCCCTCCCCTCCCCGGGGCGCTCCGCTTGCCCCCCGCCTCGCCCCCCGCTCCCGGCCCTGCCTTCAGCTCCTCGACGCGGCGGGAGAGCCGCCCGATGCGGGTGCCCAGGCCCTCCTTGTCGAGGCGGCCCGAGTGCGCCAGCACGGCCGCCACCAGCGAGCCCGCCGGCGCCGCCATGGCCGCGCTCCCGCTGCGCGGCGGGGCGGCGCCGGCGCGGCTGCCGCTACGGCGGCCGGCGTGCGGCAAACTTCCGCGGGGAGCCGCCCGTGGGTGCTGGGCGGGGGGGCGTGGCGTGGCTGTGGAGGGGACCTGCGTGTTTCTGGGGGGGGGGGGCTGCGGGGTGAGCGGTGACTGCTGGGGGGTTGTAGCAGCGGGGGGGTCCGCGGCTGCAGGGCGTCTGTGGGTGCTGGGGGTCCGCGGCCGCGCTGCCTTTCCACGGGTGTCATGGCTGGGGCGGCGAGGCAGGCCCAGGGCACCTCAGACATCCGCCGGCTGCTGGGGGAGGGAGGCTCCAGCCCCCGGCATCCGGTACCTGACAAAGATCTCGGGGCGAGCGGCGCGTCGTGGCGAGGAGCTCTCTCCACGTCCTCCACTCCGAGCGGGGCAAAGAGCCGCCACCGCTGCGTGCCATGGGCAGGGGAAGGGCCCTGGGCGCCTGGGCGCTCCTCGCCGGCCTGGCCGTGGCCAGCTGGGCTGTCCAAGGTGAGTCCCCGCGTGACAGTGGCTGCCCGTGGGCTGCTGCGGTGCTGTGCCGTGGCAGTGGGTCGCCGGCGGTGCCCAGCGGGCACTTGCCACGGCCCCTGCGAGCTGCCGCCCGTGCTGCTTCCACCGCAGCATCTCTGCGGCGGTGGGAGGGTGGCTGGGGAGCAGGGCCCCCGCGGCTTGCCGGGGTTTCCCATCGAGGCACCTTGACCGAGAGGTTCGTGAATGTCGGTGGGGAAAAGGGAGCGAAGCGGAGCACCGGCTCGCAAGGACGGGATCGCTCTGATGACTTGGCCTGCCCGAGAGCGTTGCTGTGACGGTGGAGCTGTGCGCGTTACTCCGTGGGTATCTGCGATTGCCCAAACCTGCCTTGCAAGGACAGAGCCTGTAACCTTGGACCTGGCAGAACCGCAGTGCTAGACCAAAGCAGCCATGGGCGTTGTGCCCGGCACAGATATGCAAGTGGGAGAGGCTGTGTTCCACTCCAGCACACAGCAAATAAGACAGGGAATTTACTCGTCATTTGAAGACTGGAGGTGATACCTTTGGGCCAAAGAAACAATTCCGTGTGGTTTTTTGCACGCTTTTCACTAAAAATGTTTTTTACTGTTGGGTAAAAACCCAAATAGGTTTTCGCCTCCCCATTTGGGCTCAGCTCCCGTCTCTGCTGCTGGAAGCGTTTCACTTTGAATGTGAAATCTCTCTTGTTGAAGTTGCACTTCGGTATCAATGCAATCTGTGTCCAAGACGATGGTCAAGTGCATACAGTCTGAATGGAGTCCAGGTAGATGTCTACTTCCAGTTAGTTTTCACTCTAACGGAATTTGGATCTCTAAACTACTCAGAGCTCCAGTAATGTAACCACCAGTTGAACACTGGACTACTTTTTTGCTGGGTAGTCTGCTTTTCCCAGAGTTTTTTGTTTGTGGTGCCCTTTCCACTGCTCAAGAGAGAGCCTAATGTGATGCTCTCTACACTAGCCGTCTCCACGAATGAGATCTCCGAGTTCTGTACCACTGCGAGGGTTGAGAACTCAGTGGTGAAGCTCTCTGCTCTATTTTTTTTACAGGGCAGAAAGTAACTGTGAAAGAAGTCAGTGGGAAGGTGTTCCTGCAATGTGTAATAGAAGGCCAACATCAAGTCCAGTGGCTGAAAGATAGTAATCCTGTAGGAAACACAACACAGCTGGACTTGGGTGCAGTTTACGATGATCCCAGAGGCATCTATACATGTAAAATGGAAAATGGAAAGCAAAGCACCCTCCAGGTGTACTATCGAAGTAAGTGTTGCAAACCTGGTTTCTAGAGCCAGGACTGTTTGGAGTTTTCACCCAAGCAAATTTTTGAGGGAACTACTAATTTCCCCCAGTTTGAGGGTGGTTCCACCAGTTTGCAAAGTCCTGACAGCTCCTGTGCTAGGTTGACCTTGGGAACAGCCAAGTTGCATGTTCCCCTGCATCTGGTGTCCCCAGGAGAGCTCTCCACCCTCATTTAGTGCCATAACCCGGCACTCATCCTGTCTTATTGCTAGCCGCTTGCTGGCCCTGCTGTGGCCTGCCCTGAGCGCTAGGGACACGTGGCAGCTTGCGCCACTGCCTTGGCTCACGCAGCAAGCCAAACTTAATCCCTGGTCTCTTTTGCCCTGGGACTGGAGCCTGCGTGGGCTGGCAGAGCTGGCTGAGTGCTTTGGGCTCAGACTGGCCCTAGCAGCAGGGCGAAGGTGGCCGAGGGGCAGGGTCTTGGTCATGGCCCTGCTTTCAGTGTCTGTGTCCTTTTGGGCTTCCAGTGTGCCAGAACTGCATCGAAGTGGACGCTCCCACCATCTCGGGGATCGTGATCGCAGATGTGGTCGCCACCGTCTTCCTGGCGGTTGCTGTGTATTGCATCACTGGCCAGGACAAGGGACGCATGTCACGAGGTGAGGGGAGAGACCTGCTGGCTGCCCGTGGGAGGGGACGGGAAGTGCCTGGGCATCTATGAGAGCTGCACGTACCTAGGGACTTTCCATCGCTGCCCACAGAGCCCAGGCAGCACAAGCTGCAGGCAGCAGCCAGCACACGGGATATCTAGGGTAGAACCCTTCCTGCCCCCAGCTCAGCTTCCCAGGAGAAGCCAGTGAATGCACAAGGTTAACCAAAACATCATCCCAGGGACAGCAGCTGTGACACGGGAATATCCGAGGCCTTCCAGGGCCTTTCCGCCAAGCCTCCCAGCAGAAGTAAAAGCAGAGAGCTGAAAACAGTCAGCTGCTTGGGTTCGTTTGCAAATGTTCACCGCGCCGCCCGTGACTCCCCTGATCCCTGACCACCTTCTTTCTTCATTTAGCTTCTGACAGGCAGAACCTAATTGCCAACGAGCAGCTCTACCAGGTAAGCGTGGGCGCGCACGAGTGTGTGTGTGTGTGTGTGTGTGTGCATGGGCTCCAGCCCCTATGTGTGGTGTGGGGCTGTGTGGTAGGACCAGTGTGGCCACGACAGCACAGCTGCTGGGGGATGCTCGATGCCTGAAGGCACTGAGCCGCATTGGGGGATTGCTCTCTGCTGGCGCATTCACAGCTGCCCTGTGCCTCTCACTCTCTGGGGTTGTCAAGCTCTGTGGGCAGGGAGGAAAAGCTTGCCAAAAGCTTGGCAGAGAGAGGGCTGGAGCAGCTTCCCCTGTATCCTCCCTCCCAGGGCTGGACAAACACGTCTCACCCGTTTTTATTTCCTAGCCCCTTGGTGAGCGGGACGATGGACAGTACAGCCGGCTGACACCTGCCAAGGCCCGCAAGTGAAGTGGGAAGATGCTGGAGCCTGTGACTCCACACCAGGAGTGATACTACAGCAAAGCCACCGCCAGTGCCCAAGCACACCGGTACCCTGCCCTGGCACTGCCTTTGTAAGCTCACTGCTGGCAGAAAACAGTGGGGTTTTGCTTAGAAACCCCTCCAGCTCTTGCCAGGATGGGCTGCTTGTAGCACTCTGTTCTTTCCATGACCTCTTGCGCTTTTGTATTCCTCTCATTAAAGATGAGCCCATCCCATAGCGTCCCTGCTCCTTCGGTTGTGTCAAGGCCTGAGGAGCCGTCCAGTTGCTGGGAAGGTGCACACTGGATGCGATCTGTCGGGATGCCTGCAGAGCCATGAGGCTCTTGCCTGACCCGGTAGGACGCTATCCTGCCAGTGCGGGCAGGTGCCCATGTCTGTGCCACCTCGCTATGCCAGAATCTAAAGGACATCTGGAGCTGTTGCTGAAGCTGAGGATGGGGGACCTCCTGAAGGGAGAGGGCTGCCACTCCTGACAGTAGCAGAGGCTTTGTCTCATTTAACTCCCCTTCCAGAATGGGCAGCAGGGGACACCAGGAGCACAGCGACACTCAGGAGGGTCAGTGTCACCCTTGCAAAATGCCTGTGTGCCTCAGTCCCCTGGACAGAGCTGAGGGGCTGGCAGGAAGGAGGACAGGAGGGCATTTCCTCTACACATGCAGGGCTTGGCATCTAGTCGCAGTCTCCAAACTGCGGAGGTTTGCTAGGTCCCTGGCACCCAACCAGCCTGCAAGATGCCTCAGTGCTTAGGGGAGTGAAGCATGAGCAGAGCAGCAAGAGGTGCTGGCTCCCCAGAAGAGCTCATGGGGGCTGGGCCCAAAGAGGAAATGGAAACAGCAGGTAGGAGGAAAACTGCAGCAGAGACTGTGCAAAACACGTGGCAGTAGAGTTGGCCCGGCAGCGAAGGCTGGAGGCAGTCCACACTTCCCACAACTCCGATGTTCTTGGGAGGCTCCCTGACTCTCCTCTGCCTCTGCAGCCCACCGGAGAGTGACTCACCTTTGTGACCAGGCATTGGCAACCCCTCTTACAGGCTCACTAGCCATCCCGGTGTGGCAAGTATAGGATGCAGTTGAGCAAACTTCAACCACCTTTCCAGACGCTGAGTAGTACCTGGTCTCCCCACACTAATCCAGCTCCTCCTGGTGAGGTCCCTGCTGCCCAGCTCTGAGTAGAAACAGCTGATATGGTCTGACTACGGCCAAAATGGGAGGCAGACAACAGGCAGGATCAGCTAGCAGTTAGAAACCTCAGAAACCAGGTCAGCCTCCATGTGCCAGTTGCACACACGTGTTTTCCTGCTTTTCTAAGAATCTGGGTGGCAGGCTTTAGAGGGCACCAGGCTGTGAAATGTAATGCGACTCAGTGGTGTAAGGTAAGCACCAAAAGAGTTCACGCTCAATAAAAACTGGCCACAAATCTGTGACACATCTGACATGGCAAACAACACATAGGCTGTGCAAAGCTGTGGGTGCACTTCATGTGCCCTTACAGGAATCGGTGTGTGATCAGCCTTGTGGACAGTGAATGAGAAAAGGACCTGTTTCCCTACAGTGTCAGCTCTTTATGTGACAACGTTTTGCTCTTCACAGTAGCAGAATAATGTCTCAGTGGCTTTTCCACTCTAACCTACTTCAGTGAAGGGTGAGCCCGATATAGCCATTGCAGGTAGAACATGTCAACACCTGCCTCTGGTCTGCAAAGTCATCTGAGTAGGACCTTATAAAAAAAAGTGACCAGCAGACTACTTAGTTCGTAGTACTTTCATCACCAGATCTCAAAGCAATGAGCAAAGGTGACTAACCACACCCAAAGAGCAGGAGAAACCAAAGAGCAGGAGCAGAGGGGGCCAGTATGCTCTGCACAAATTGAAGACACAGCAGGGGCAACATTTACAACTCATCTGTTTGTGAGAGGCTCCTCAGCACCTCACCCTTGGGAGGACAAAGAAATGTTTCTGTAGTGCAGGTAAGCACAGAGGCAGAGAGGTGTTGCCACTGGATGGATGCTGCTCTCGCTGTGAGAAGGGGAGAGTGGGATGGCACTGGCTGGGGCAAACACGCAGCAGCCCCATGAATGGTGGCAGAAGCACCAGGGTGTAGCTGGAAGCAAAGTTTAGACCTTGTACACACAGAGTGGGTCAAGTTTCTCACATCCCATTTGTGTCAGTAGGCTGTATGGCTGGGCTGAGCAAGCGTCCCTGGAGCAGTAATGTTTTGCAGAAGCTGAGAACACGGCCCAGAGTGGTTTTAGCGCTGCCAGAGGTTAGTGCTCTTTGTATCTTGCTATCTCCCTCCGAGATGTTTAGCGCCTTGTACGGTAAACCCAGCTGTGCTGCCTTTAAAACCACATCCTGCAGGGTAAGCACAGCAATCTGCAGCATGAAACTTGCTGGGTGTTGATCTCCTCATGCTGAAACTCAGGGGTTAAACCACCCCCAGCCCCCATCACTGCTGCTGTTTCCTTTCTTCAGAGCTCTTGTTCCTGCTCTGAAGAGCAACAGAAATGGGGCACACTCAGCCAGTGTTAGACCAGAAACATTCCCAGGCATCACTTAAGCTACTACACGTTCCATTGCTGCTGCTTATGAAACCACAGCTTTTAAAATCAGGCAGATTTAAAATCTGTGTGTTGAGTGCACAGGACATCCGCTCTTTCACTTGCCCCCAGACAGCAGCCCCAGACCCACTCCCCAGCTCCTCTTCACCCCTGCCCTGCTCTCCTAGGCACAGCAGTGCATTTCTGTATGTGCAGTTGTCCCGCTCCCAGCCTGGCACAGCCTCCTCCCAAACGCCCGGTAGGCTGCTGCAAGGTGAGTCAACACAGACCCACAGGAGCTCAAACTGTCTTGGATTACTCCTGCCCTGGGAACTGCCCTTAACAAGAACTGTTCTTCTTTAACAGAGACAAAAACACAGGGGAAATCTTTTCCAGTGCATACCTGGGGGTGCTCTCTCCCATTTTATTAATAGATTACAGTTTCTAAATGTATATTAAAAGTTAAAATTGATCTTTACCAATGGCAAAGAAGCCCTCCATCTCAAATTACAGAGCTGAAATGGGGAGAGAAAGGGCAGCAGCAAAGGACAAATCACAAGAATCTCAAAGAGCAATAGCTCTGGAAAATTAAACTCTACCAGCAAAGGTACCCTTAGGGTGCAACGCACTTAATGCGTTTATCCTATTCTACACTATAGAGTATCAGTACAAATGGTGTCCATGATGTCTCTGAGATGAGGACAGCCTAGCAAAAGGGTCTGATGCTCTCTTGGATTTTGTGGGTCCCGGGCTTTGTCTCTGTGGCCCCAATGCATTAGTTTCAATTCCAGTGAACAAGCTTAGTCCTGAGTGAACAGTCTTAGTCCTGAGGCCGAGCCAAAGGGTCTCAGTTCCAGTCTGGCAAACATGAAAATCCCTGTTGTGCTGTTTCAGTCAGACTGCAAAGTTGATACTCATTGCAAAGTCAGGGCTCAAATCTTAGCTGAGATATCTAAGAGCCCCACTATTTAATATCATCATAGATTTAAGCCAAGCACTTAAATTTCCTAATAGGAGTCTTTACAGATGGCTTGGGAAGATGCCAGATCCTCATGTGACCCTGCGAGGATGTTCTGCCGAAGCTCTGAAACATAAAGGTCGCTGGATGCAAAGTGGTACTCAGTCCCACTCATTTCCTACAGAAGAAGAAGGGCTGGAGGATGTACAGGTCAGTCTGCATGTACTGTTAGAAGTGCTTCTCTTTTTTTTTTTTTTTTTTAAGGGAAAACTGTTCTTTTTGACTGGAATATTTACATTCAAAGCAATGGCTTTTCTATGAAAATGTACTATTTTGTTTTTAATATGCTGACTGCCTCTGTTCCTTTTGTTCCAATCCTGGGCAGCAAAATCAAGATAGGCTGTGAACATGAGAGCAGGGCAAGGTCAGAGGCCAGTCACTCTGAAAAGGACCCACTCTTTGCCCACTAGCCACCCAGGGAGGCACAGGGAGTGAGCAGAGGCACTCAGGGTGAAGATTAAATGGGAGGAAAAACCAGAGCACGCAACTGGAACAGAGAGACAAGTGTGAGGGAAAAGGAGGCCGGGAACCACAAGTGAGGCTGCAGTGCTTTAATGAGAAGGAAATCTGCTCTTGCCAATGTGCTCATTTGCTTCTTTTTCCTAATGTCAAACTGAAGGCTGAAGGAGCACATCAGGCTGGGACAGAGGACAGCAGCAGGGTGTCTGTCCTGTGTAGCTGCCTGGCTTACCCCAAAACGCCTGGGCCTCAGCAGGCCTGCAGAGAACGGGTGCCAAGCTGGGCAGAAGCACTTAGCCCCTCTGCTGCTGTTTTCCAGCCCGCCATTTGTGGGAATTTCAGAAGCCCCTGGATTCCAGGCCTGCATACACTTCCCGCTGGCCTTTCCGGATGGGCTGTGGGAACAGCAGAGATGTTAGCTCGGGAATCTGTATTAACTTACCCTCAAACAATGCCAGGGTCTCAATCCACAGAGTAGGTGGAGAGAAACACAACTGAAGGAGCAGATGTAGTGCTGCTCTGGTAGGCTGCACAGGGCACCAGAAGCTGCAGTTCTGCTCCCAACTCCCGGCGGCAGCACCAGGAGAAGGGGCTCCACCCTCACCACCTTTTTTCCTCCACTCCCAGGAAAGCTTGGCTGTTGATGGGATGCTTCTTCAAAGGAGCAAAATGGATAAATACTACAGCTTCCCAGCTCTGGCTATCCCTCCCACCGCCAGCAAAGAAATATGGAAAAAATGCAGGTACTCCATACCTCATAGTCTGGGTTTGGAACAGGGGGAGGACGCTGCATCTTCTGGCCTGCAACAGAGGCAAAGAGAGGTCATCCTTGGTGATAATTCATACAACACAGCACGAGGGGCTTTCATGGAGATGATCTCAGGGTAGTGTGTAACATGGGTCAACCTGCATGGCTTTGTTATGGCATGTCATGTTATGTTTCCCCCACGCCATGCCAAAACCCAGTTGCTGCAAGCTGGAGGCTTTGTGATCATTTAGGAGGAGGAAATCTGCTTTCTTTTAGAAAGGGTAAATTTATAGCTTTCCCGGTTGTGAAGAAATACTTGAAAGCAGGAAGGCCCCATAAGCACAGGGCCAGGCTACAGCTCCACAGTATGGATACCAGCTCTATACTCCTTTGCCTCAGCAAGCTGCACAGGCATGAACACATCCCCACATTTCTGTTGAACCCAGCACACAGCATGCACACTAAGTACACAACAGGGAATTCAGACTTGCTGAGAGATTTATATCAGCTTTGTGGAGGTGAGGGGAAAAGTGACAACAATCTGCACAAATCCTGGCTGGAGAGCACCCACGGTACTTGTCTGACAGGCAGTCTCCTGGTACAAATGTCACCATCGGCACTTCTTGAGCAAGTCTGAACCAGCATCGTGAGGTCAGCGCCCTGCATCACTCTACCCTGGCATTTGTAACCCATGAGCTCCACTGCTGGACCCACTGGGCCCAAACCTTGGCCTCAGAAGCCAGAAGTTCAAATTTATAGTTTCAATAACACCATGATTGCTAACCGCACGTCCTGTGTGCGGGCCCAATTCTTGGTCTTTGACTGCCCAAGAAAGCAGCCGAGTGGTCCAGGGCGAGGCTGGGTTTGCAGCTACACTTGCAAGCTGAGCATCTGCCAGAGTTTGCTTCAGTCTAGAGTCAACACTGCTGCACAGCAGCCTGTGAAATGGTTCCCTATGGGCAAGAAGCCTTTTACACAACATGGCAGCTGCACCCATCCCATGCAAGACGGCAGCCCAGAGCAACAGACGTGGCGAGAAGGAGCGCTGTTTGGCCAGGCCTTGGAGGCTTGGGGGGAAGAGAGGAGGCTCTGCCGATCAGCAGGAGCAAATGCTCAATGTAGTGCTTAGTGGACGTTGTGGAGAGCAGAGACGCCTGAAATGGCTCTTACCTCGTGGCCGACTGCCAGCACCAGCGCTCGCTCTCCCCTTCCTGTCTTTGCTGAAGTAATAGACCAGAATCAGCACCCCGAAGGTGATGAGAAGATCTGCAGCGATGATCCCTGTCACTGCCAAGGCGTCCAGCTCCTCACAGTTTGCGCACACTGCCAGGAGAGATGAAGGACGCTCAGAGACAGGCACCCTTCCCTTCCAGCAAGGAGAGTCCACCTCACTCATCTGCGCAGTGCTAGCAGGAAAGACACAGTTCTGGGTGGGAAGGAGAAAAGGGCAAACAGAAAGGAAGGGGGACAGCACAGACCCTGCCATTTCAGTCTGCAAACACACCCAGCCAGGGTGCTGGTGTTGTGCACCCTCCTTCACGACCCTCTGCTGTTTGCACAGCCGGTGTCAGAAGGTGCAAAACATCTCCTAGGATCATTGCCCCCTCAGCCTGGGATGGGCTCTAAGTCCTGAATGCAGAGCAGTTGCCCAAATTTCAAATGGCTCAGAGGTTTAAATTGCTCTGTCAGGGTGGGGCTAATCTGCTCCTCATTGATGGGTCACAGAAGCCGGGCTGTGTGCTCCAGATGGGAGGCTTCCACTCTGCAAGGTAAGAAATGCCTCTGGCCTTTGTGACAGACATTACTCTTGCCTCACAGCATGGCAGAAGCGATGTACAAGAGATTGCCTGCTGTGTATGTGGGAACCATTGAGATGCAGGCAGCCTGAGGACAGAAGAAGGGAAAGGCACAGAGAGCAGGGAGATTCTTTTTGCTAACAATGTGCTCTGGGACTCTTTTACCACCCACACAGACCAGGAAGGTCCTCAGCAGAATCTCATTCACCCAGCCCAACAGCTCTGAAAATCATATCTCAGCTTCTAATATCTGTCACTGGAACGTGTAGACCGCGTGCTTTTTTGCTCACCTCTGGCATTCAGGTACATTTCATGCTTCTTGACACTGGACGAACAACTCACGCTGGCAGGAGAGCTGTCGTGATTCTCTATAACGTACTTCCTCTCTTTGAAGGTTTGTTTTGTTCCAGCTAACTCCCAGTCTATGCTGCCTTCAGTCAAGGGACAGGTGATTGTCACCGTGGTTCCAGAAATCTCCACCAGGAATTCTTTAGTGGGAGATAGGCCCACAAGAAGGGAAACCAGCATTACAAATGGCTTCTGAGCAGGCTTCCCTGCCCACCCTTGATCCCACCGTGACAGTTTGCTCTGTGAAATCTTTGATTTCATGCTGTAATGAAAAGTCCCTGTGTATGTGTCTTCTGCATGCATGTTTTCCTTCAGTTTTTCGCAACACTAAACAGTATCAAAGTAAACAGTTTGCAACACTAAACAGTATCAAAATGCCATCAGAATGTTCAACTTTATGTCAGAAAGCCTGGCCACCTGCCTTTCATCATTCTGTTTATCCATATGCTTGCTGGTCTCTGCAAATGGCCAACTCTGCTTGGAGACCACTAACAGTAATTAGGGGCAACTCATAGCTGATTTTTCTGATTGGTGATGGCAGTAGCAATTAACAAACAGGAGATTTTTTTCCTCCTAAAATGCCGCTTGACCTCAAATGTTTCTCTTCAGCCTTTTAGTTGTCACCTATGAGGCATCTGCACACTTTCTATCATGCTAAATAGGTAAGAATTCTAGTAAAATACACTTACCCTCCTCTGCTTCGGTATCACCTACAAAGGAGAGAATAGTAAGTGGTTAACAATTCAGCCTGCTATTACGTTACTGCTTGTTGCTGTTGGAAAATGCCCACCCTTGCTTGGGGATCACTACTAATAATTAGGGACAATGCACAACAGCCAATTTTTCAATTCAGTGAGATCAGTAACAATTAATGAACAGGAAATTTTTCCTATCCCGCAATATCTGCAAAATTCAAATACTTCTATTTGACTTTTAGTCCTCACTTGTGAGACATAGCTGTTTTCTTTATCATACTAAATAGTTAAAAATGCTGGTAGAATGCACTTACCCTCCTGAGCTGCGGTGCCAACTACAAAAGAAAGAATAATAAGCATTATGTAATTTAGCTACTGATATCAGACACCTTTTCTACTTCAAGGATATCTTTTCTGAACTCAGCTTCTTGACAGAGGTGTTTATACTCCTATATTTGTGTTAAAGGCATTAGAAGCATTCTGTTAGCTGAGACAGGATGTTGTTTTGAAATGAAGGCTTTTCCTCTGGAAGCCATTTGTAGCAGAGACAAATGCAGAATGGAAATCTGAATAATTTTCTGACCCGGTTTAGAAAAAGGGTTATTGAAAGCTGTACACCTAACAATTTTGCTTTATCATCATGGACCAAAGCCTGCTGGAAAATCGTGCCTGGTTTTTGCAGTAAGAACCAGTGTCCTCTGCAAGAGTGTACTCACTGGAGGATTGGACCCTGATGTTTTATTTAATGTTGTAAAGCAGTTTGTCTATATGATCTTTCTCTCTTGGAAGGAAATAAGTAGTTCCACTGAAGTCTCTGCAGCTGGAATATTATAGGAACAGTTTTTAGGAGGTCCGAATCAGACTTGTGATTTGCTTTAAAGACATTTGTCCATAGAAAGCAACATAAGTAAATAAAAGAAGGACCTGCATTCATGTATTCAGCGCTGTTGTCTCATCCCAGATAATGCTTGCTTTACAACAGGAGTTACTTGTAACAAAATTGTAGATTTGAAACTCCACAGGCAAAGGACTTGGCTGGAGAGAAGGTGATCTGATGCTTTTTTCTTTATACAAGATAAATTCAAATTTGAAAAAAGAACAGGCCATTGCTGAACCAAATGTTTTCAGTCTTCTCAAATAATAACAGTTGGTATTTGCAGCATGTTGGCAGAGTAGCTATATTATTGCAGTATCTTTTAATTATCTTTCAAACTTATCTCTCATTGTTAACAGCTTCTTCATAGTCTTTACAGATACTCTGCACTTCATCCTCCACCCGCTTTCTAAATGTTGGGCAGTTCACACTGGTAACATGGAAATTGCTACCGCTCCCGTGATATCGCAGTGAACCTGAAGTTATTTACCCGTGATCACAAAACGGTTTAAGAAAAGTGCATGAACAAAGCATAAAAATAAAATTTAAACCACAGAACCTTACAGTTCACACCGCTGCAGAAAGCAGTGCATCAGGCTCCGACCCTGCCGCATGAAGTTTGGAGACCAGGTGTCTTAGTGAATCAGCTCGTAAGCAACAATTTGCTAGGAGCCTTCGGTTCTTTTCTGTAGCCTGAGAGGGTTGGATTCCCGTTTCTCTGTCCCGGCAACCTGTGCTCTGAGGGGAGTGCTCGCTCTGGAGAGCAGCGGCTCCGCAGGCACCGTACGTGCCAGTTGCAGATGTGGCTGCAGGTACTCTGCAAACACAGCCGCACGCCCCTGTGCTTTCTCCCCCGCAGCCCCCAGGCAGCCGCCCTTCGGGTCCCGGGGGGCTTCTGGCCAGCTGTACTCACCCCCACATAGCAGGAGCCCCAGGAGAGGCAGGGCCCGCTCCAGCCTCATCCTTGTGTTCCTCCTCCTCTTGCTCTTCTCTACCACATCAGATTGTCACCACTGAGGCTGGCTGCGAGGGATGAAAGAACACAATGGCTTTTCAAGTTCTTGCTTACAAGAAAGAGGCCCGAGATTTTTTCCCAGAATTGTGTACGGCAAGGAACTGAGCAGTGCTGGGGAGACTCACTGTTTCCAGCGAAACCTGCGAGCAGCTAAGAAAGCAACGGAACACATATGATAAAATAAGCCCGTGTCAGGAAGTGCAGAGGCTCAAAATGTCTTCACGGAACGTCATTGACAGCAAGGGGTGGCTGCTCTGCCCCAGCCCAGTTCAAGTCTGGGGAGACCTGTTGTAGCTGCCCTAGGAGCAGCAGGAGAGATAAATGAGCCTGGGTTCGATTTGCCATCGGGATCTTCCTAACAACTTTTCAAAGCGAGTGTTTCTGAAGTTCAAACTCCTGCAAGCAACATAACATAGGAGGGAATAAACAAAGGAACCAGAAACACTACGAGAACACCTAGAGACACAGTACCGTCAGCAGAAATGAGCCTGTAAGTGCCAGGCTGTAAAACCTGGGGGTTTTAGTCTCTGATGATGCCATCTGGACTCCACTTTTGTTATTTCGCTCTAGCACAACCCATTTATTCCTCCCGCCTCTTCAAGAGCAGCGCTTGCCAGCTCCTCATCCATGCTCTCCTCTGCACACATGCTGACGGCGAGGAGCGCAGCGAGGGCGGTGGCTAAGCACAGCAGCCCCGGCTGCAAGCCTCTGGCCCGGAGCGATGTGCTCAGTGACATCCCCTCCCGTTCGGAGGGAACCTGCTTAACTGTGGTGCTGTTTCTCTTCAGTCTCAACAGGAGACCGCAAAAGCAATTCAATGTTTTCATGCAGCCTTCGTACTCATGTTACGAATTGCACCGCCAATAAAATCAGCTTTATTTCTTTAAATCCCTTTTATGTCTGGCTACCTACCAGTCTAGCAGCCCTCGCAAAAGGTGAATGCGAGGGGGAAGGCTAAGGCTGTTTGGAGAAAGCCCCTGTCTGACGAGCTGCCAAAAGCAGAAGGGAAGATGGAGAAGCGAAGCCGTGCCGAAAGCCTGAGACACCCCTCCCGGCCCAGCCAGGAGTTGTACAGACCCTGTGCTGGGACGCCTCCGCCACCGGCCCACGCCGGCGCTTCGCAGGGTCTCTTCTGGCATCGCCTCGCAGCACCCTGCCTTCCCCGGGGCTCGCAAACACGAGTGGCAGCGGCCTGGCCCCACTAGAGGGGGCTCCTGCCCCGTCCCGCGTGTGGTGGCTCGGGAGGGAGCGTGTTTTGGGGGGCTTCCCCCAGGGCTGCCGAGCTGCCTCTCGGCCTGTGGGAGCGGTGGGGATTTGAGGGCGCACGTCCGAAGCAGACGCCGCAAAGCCAGCCCAGCTCCTGCCTCCCTCCGCCGCCCTTCCACACGCCACACGCTTCTCAAGGGTCCCCTCCCCAGGCGCCTGGAGGGATGGAGCTGGCTTCTGGCTCCTTCCCAGAGCCCACCATCTAATGACACGGCTAATCACAACGTCGTGGCCCCTTATTTCATTTATTGAGGTGCTCTCTTTAGCTCTCAGACCTTTCTTTTACCTATTTCTGTTTCAAAATGAAAAATGAGAGCATCGATGTTACTGGTAGGTGTGCTAAGGACATGGTCTTCTCTTAACAGTTGGAGTCAGCATGTTTTGAAACGAGGTATTGAAGGTTAATAAAAGTCTGCAAGTAAAGATCAGAACAGACCCTCATCCCAGTCCTGCGCGTTACACAGATGTGGTCTGCAGTGAGAGCCAGTAGCGCTGCTGCACAGCCGGAGGGGCCAAAGGGCAGCTACAACGAGAAACACGCTTGTCCTGCCGGACTCTGCACGGGCTGTCTGAGGGTAAGAAGTTCCTGCTGTGCAGACAGTCTTAGGAGGTGGCAGCAAACTGGCTGCTGAGCGCTGCCTTACAGGTACTTGAAACAAAATCTGAAAAGTATCCTCTGTTTGCAAAACAAACAAACCAGAATCCCCAGCCTGATAAATGTTTATGCTGGCGATGAAAGAAATGGACATGGTGTTTTGGGATAGTAACTCGGTGGAAATCTGGGGAGATACAATGATGAAGCGTTAACACAGGGCCAAATTATTCCCGTGAAAATAGAGATATCTGGCATCTCAGAGCTATTAGCAGAGACATGCTAGCAGAGACAAGATTCTCAGTGCTGTTCTGTGGACAATCCATGAGACTGATGGCCTCGGTGCTTTTTTACATTGCCAACCTTGTAAGTTGAATTTTAGAAGTTAAAAATAAATTCAGTACTCTCCTCAGAAGTTGCCTCAAGAATGTAACAACAGCAAATGGGAGGAGAGAGTCCTGTTGCTGTCCTCTTTCCACCAAAACCTTGCTCTGGCCCGTTGTGACATGCTCTCAGTGTGTCCCAGGTAATCCAAACCATCCCAATCGGAGTCCACACTGCTGCACAGCGAGAGTGCCCTCACTCTGCTCCTTAGCTCTGAGCTGAAGGGAGCCCTTCAAACCACTCAGAGCTTAGGGCATCTTCCCCGTCCCTGCCTTGGCACCATTGCAAGGAAAATTAGTATCAGTCACAACAAAAGCTTGTAACCCAGGATGGCTTTAACACAGCCACAGCCAGCAGCTGGTTCTGCTGTTAAAGTGATTTATGGTCTTCGAATGCAAACCTCCTTGTTTTGCCAACGCATCTGCACGGCTCAGTACCGTGCTCTCACAACTGCCATGTGCCACCAGGAAAATACTTCGTGTCTCGCTGAGTTTTGCCAGTACCTTGCGCTGCTTGTTAGGCACGGTGGGGTATCCCTGGCTGAGCCTGGGCTACCACTGGGCCGGACTCACATCCAGCATAATTGTGTTTAGACTTTTCCAAGAACTTTGCAAGCACGAGCTAATGCGGTCTCCCAGGTCTTCTGTGGGATGGCTGCAACCAAGTAACTTTATAATGGTCATTTTACTGTAGGTGTCTGTGTTTCAGTAGGACATTTCCATCCTCTGGATGGGTGCCCCAACTGCTGCCAGACTGTTTTGGGTTGATTTTTTTGGATTGTTTGCAGGGTGTTGCCAAACAAACGGCCCTCATTCCTTCAGGCTATCTATAAACACCTTCAGGCAAATTTTCTTTTAGGAACAAAATTACCTCCCACAAGAGGGGAGTGGTTTCAGGTAGAAGCTGGGAGGAGGGATGATTGCAACACAAAAGAGCAAAGGAATATGGGAAGTAGAAGAAATTAATCTTACCTTGAAAATCTCCCTGTTTTACCCAGAGAAGTGAGTTGTGCTGGCCGCACCTTGCCTTTCAGTGTGAGGGCAGGGAGTGCTCTCTGACTCACGCAGGAAGGAGGACTCACATTGCCTTGCAGGCCAAGCTGAGAGAAAGGAATTTGCTCTACTGTGCTGGGAAGGCTTTGAGAAACTCATCTTTCATCCGGTTATCAAGAACCTGAAACGAATTTCTCTTTCCAGGATTGTTCAACCTGTGGCGTACGGACTTGTCTTCCCAATGCATGGCCCCAACTTGCTGGGTGCTGTGCTCTTCCTTGGGGTACGGCTCCGAGGTAAGGAAACCTGGTACTGTCTGGCCTCAGTTGCCATCTTGACTTTCCTCTTCTAGTTCCTTAATTATTGTCCTCATTAAGGCAGCGACTCTATAGGAGTCTCAGATACTTGTTGTGGACGGTTGCTTTATTCTTTTGGTCCGGGGGTTTGCTGCAAGTCACACGCAGTGATTGAGTTTCTTCGACAAACAGGTTTAGGTGTGTTCAAGCGGAGGAATAACACTGATCTCATTCTGAGCTCTGATTACACATCTTTTCCTCCTGCCAGGAATCTGGACTTTACTCCTAGAAGTTTTTTTCCACTGTCTTTGTTACTAGACAATCAGAGATTGTTAAGCAGCACTCAGTTTTGAACCTTTACACAGCAATGATTCCAGACTGACAATAGACTCACCTGAATTTTCAGTGGTTTATATCAGTACAGCTGGACTCCAAGAACACTATGTCCTCCTTTCCCAAACTCATCAGCACACGGATATGCTCCGTAATCTGTCTTGAAAAAGGTATTTTATACTGATTTCCAACAGTTGCTTTTTAAAAGGCGTTTAAAATTAAAAGATTTGACACCAAATCTTTGGATGAGAAACGTGATCTCTGCCAGTTAAGTTTTTCAAATGTGAACACCTTCAATGTTTTGGCATTTCAAATATTTTCTCCTTCGAGAAAATAAATTATTTGGCAAGGAAGTCTTTGGTTGTAAATTATTTCCAAGTACAGGAAATGTATTGATTGTCTTTGTAATAAAGCCATACTTTACAACCCTTGATAAGCTTTTTTTTTTGCTTGAATCACGGTGGGGCGAGGTAACTCATCTTCCTAAAGTGACAGGAAATTATTAATATTTTCTTTTTCTGCTGGGTTAGTTTGACCAGTGAGGAAATGGAAAGTAAGGGGAGCACATGATCAGGAACAGGGAGGACTCTGCCCTTCAGCAGCAGCAAGTTTTTCAGCTGAGCACTGCTGTTTGGCGGAAACTACCCCACTAACTCAGGGAGCTAAAGCAGTCAGGCAAGCAGCACAGTGATTGTGGGGAAAAAAAGGCAAGAACTTACAGCACCACTGTTTTGGTGGCACCAATCTGCCCGAGCGATTGAACTCTGTCTGGAATGGCAGGGCAAGCCAGAGGACAACTGGGGCTCAGACGTGAGAGTTATCCTCTTCAGCAACCCTTTGGTTTTCCTATTTCTCAGTTTTCTTCTTTCTGTGCCTTGATGCTCTCTTGCCGACCGTGTCTCAGGGTAGCATCAACTTAGCGATGCTAACTTATTTTTAAAGCAGCAGCTGTGGTGGTTTGGTTAACAGAGGATGTTTCTTTGACAAACAAATGCTTACAGATTTCCCTTGAGGATTTCCTGTAGAGTTCCTCAGCCTGACTACATTTGACTGTGGTTGTCCAGCTGGGCTATTAACCTCCTTGCAGACACTTCTTACATCAATAAGAGCAGTTTTCACCATAGTGTGCATGACACTCAGGCTGATAACACAAAGTGTAAGAAGGAAAGGTTTAGCATGGGCAATAGCAATTGTTTATTGAGGTTCAACAGCCCTACTTGAAAGGGCAGGACTGCTTTTCTGAAGAAATCTGCTTCGGGGGAATTGAGTGCTGTAGAGTGTAATCACTTGTGAAAATGTGACCAGGACAATCACATGAAAAGTTATATGGTATCTTTAGTGCCAGTCAGGAGCAAGTCAGTATTTAAGGAGGGGTGGCACTTACAACAGCACTGCACCTCCTAGATGTCAAGTTTGCTCATAGCTGAAAAGAGAAATCCCCCCTCCCACCCCAAACAAAGTCTATTGTCTCTATGGGTAAGTCGTTCTCAGTGGGCCTTTCTCAGATATGTAAGCATTTAACTGCAGCCACAAAACCACAAAGAAGGCACTGTATCAGCAGTTCAGATGAATGCAAACTCCCTTGAAACCAGCATTGTGCAGCTTGCACATCAACTGACAAAATCCATGAAGCACAAGGGATGGATCTCTTGGATTCTGGATACACAGGATCACCCACCTCAATAATTACATCTCTGTGCTTGTGAATGTCAGGTTAAACATTGATGGAGATAGATAAGGCAGGCTCCTGCATAAGCTAAATGCAGATAAGGAAAAGTGATGTTTACTCCTAGACAGTAGTTTTCTTTACCTCTAACCCCTGCTGTTTTCCCTGCAGCACTGTGGCCTGTGGCAGCCGTGGAAGTTCACACTTCCAGGGAGGTAGATGCTGTGAACGGCACTAACCTGCGGTTAAAATGCACCTTTTCCAGCAGCAGCCCTATTAGCCAGCATCTGTCAGTGACCTGGAACTTCCAGCCCGAGGACCTGAGCTCTCATGAGCCAGTGAGTGAGACCTTCATGCTCCACTTCATTGATGCACACTTGCCCAAACAAATCAGCCCCAAGGCCCGGCACTGGCTAAGCCCAGTGACTGCAAAAATTCCAGGCGCGGGCATGGGCAGGCACGGCTGAAACGCGCAAGGCACTATTTTTTGAAATGGCCTGAGTTCATCTGAGAGAGCCTGGGCCAACACAGCTCTCCCCAGCTTAGGCCATATGCCTCTGCTGGTGCCTCTCCACCTTCACATGCTGCTTCTATCACAGAGCCCCCCCAGTGCGTAGGAATGACAGCTTCCTCCATGTCTTGTAGGTATTTTATTACCTGAAGGAGCCCTACAAGCTTTCTGCTGGACGGTTTAAAGAGCGAGTCACCTGGGATGGGAATATTGAGCGTAATGACGTTTCCATCGTTATCTGGAATTTGCAGCCCACCGACAATGGGACGTTCACCTGCCAGGTGAAGAACCCACCAGATGTTGACGGCACAATTGGTGAAGTGCGTCTCAGAGTTGTGCAGAAAGGTGAGAGGCCAAGAACCCCACCAGAGGTCATGTGAATTTAGCCAGTGCGAAACATTGGCATGTCTTTCGCCACATTTGGGAAAAGATATGGAAGAAAAAGGGTTCTAAAGAGAAAGCATGAGGATAGTTAATGGATACAAAGAAAAAGGAGCCTGAGGAAAGGTTATATTCATGCATAGAGGTTCCCAGCCTCATACCAAGAGCCTTCTGTGTGTCCCTCATGCTTATTTCTCTGTTTCTCACCATGCAGTGCATTTCTCAGAAATCCACTTCTTGGCGGTGGCCATCGGATCTGCTTGTGTTCTGATGATCATTGTGGTGACAATTGTGATTATCTGTCGACACCATCGGAAGAAAGTTCAGGAAAAGAGGATCGAGGTGGCAGACGCTGAACTGTAAGGACAGAGGAGAGAGAGAAAGGTTTCTGGGAAAGCTTGTCAAATATCTCTTTGTAGCTATTCTGAATCATTGGCCTGGACCCTACACTAAGTGTCTACAATGCAAAAGTGCCAGCACAATTAGCAATAATTGGCTGTTTACTTGCAGTCAGAACAGAGCCCCAGGATGAACAAGCTTTAGAGTCCTCATTTTGCTCTTGCCCTTCACAGTGGCTCCTCACTCAGAGAAGGATCCAGCTTTGTGGTGGTAGCTGGCAGGTGATCACTGTTCTTTCCTCCATGAACCTGGCACTGTGGTCATCATGCACGTAGCATGCTTATTATCTTAGCGTATAACTTCTTTTTATATGTTATGTAAGTTATATGTAACTCAGAAGGTGACTCTGCTGCTCAGAATCCGATGTTGTTTTGTTTTGTTTTTTTTTTTTCTTATTTTTTCCCCTTTTTTTTAATGACAGGAGAGAAAAGGAGAATATGAAGATTAGAGAAGAAAAGGAAGCCAGTCCACTAGAAGACTAGAGGTCTTTGATGGTATATACAATGCAGGTATCTATTCCAATATTCTCTAATTACTGCAGACTTTCTAAGACAGTTTTCCTTAGGTATTTTACTTCTATGGCCATGGTAGCCACAAACAGAAACATCTGAGACCACAGTCACACCTTGCTCTTGAGGAACCTTCAGAGGGACTGGCAACTGAACAGGCAGTGGAGACAGAACTGCCTCTTAACTGTAGAAGCAATTTCTCCATCCTGGTGTTGAGGATAATTGGTAGGAAAGCCATTGTTGCTGCTTCCCATTACATGCCTGCTTTGTGGATAAAAATGAATTAATTTCCTTTCACCAGTTTTGAATCTACTTTTTGATTCATTATTGTTTTAAAATTGCTACAGGAAGACTGAAACTGTTTCCAGATTTGCTGGCTTTGGCTGAAACGTTTCAGCATAATTTTACCCACTCAATTTCTGAGGTCAGCAGTTGCCTCTACTGTTTGTGTTTTCAGCAATAATCCTGAGTAATGAATCTGGCTTGTTTTTCTTATAATCTTTCTTCTTAGATACTTCTAAAGCAGATGGTGAAAGCTTGTAATTTTGGATGTTAGAACAAAGCTGTATTACAGATGCCTCGTGCTGCGAGTGTGGTATCCCTGCTCAACCTGAAATTCTTGCAAGGAAAGAGGATGACACGAACAGAAGTTGTATATTTCCTTCACTGGAGCAAAGCAGGAGGAACTTGCCTTAATCTTCACACCTGCAGAATGTGAAGAAGCTGCTCTGAAGATGAGAAAGACTTGAACAAAAGGCAAAGATAGCTGACTGAAGAGAGATTTTCAGAGTGTCTGAGCAGATGCACTCTTGCCCCTTAAAAGTCACAAGGTGCATATGTGTTGCCATATTTTTCCTGCCTCAAACTCCTCTTTGACATCACGGGAAGAAAACTGACTACGTGAGGGATCAGAGGAGCAGCTGGTTGCTACAATGTACTTTCAATCTCTTTGCTGCTTTAAACGAGAAGTGGGAACTTATGCTGTTTCTTATTAGGGATGATGTTTACCAGTGGGTGTGCTTTTCACATGGATCTCTTGCACCTTCAGTAGGCTTTGTAACTGCCGTAGCTGAGGTCACTGCCTTCTGCTGTGCAGCGCACAGCCACTCGCTTTGGCAGCTCCCCTCCTTTCCCCACTCCCGCTCCGCCAGTGCGTCCCAACGCTCCCCTCCTTTCCCCTCGGCTCCCCAGCCCCGCTCCCCTCTTCCCCCCGAGGGAGCTCCCCACCGTCGGGTGGGACGCTCTGACCCCCGCTCAGCAGCCTCACGCCCACCCTTGCAGGCGCCCCAAAGCTTTGGCTGGCAGCGGCTGCTGCGGTCCAAGCGCGGAGGCTGTCCCGGAGCAGGCGATGCTCGGGCGCTGCGCTCTCCTGCTGCCGTCCGGCGTGCGTCCGACGGCCGCCGGCACGGTGTCAGGCTTCCAGCAGCGGCGGCGAGACCCCACGTCCCTCCGGGTGCTGTTTGCCGCCCAGGCGCCCAACAGCACATCTCACCCCCTGCGTTTGATGCGCTCGCATGTGCTCGCTTGGCACGGACCCTCCTTCCCGAGACTTAATCTCTTCAAGGCAAAGGCGGCCCTAAACCACCGAGGCGGCAGAACTGTCACAGTATTTAACCAGCACCAAATCAAAACATCGGCCTGCTTGTTTAAAGAGTATCTTTATGACTTTACAACTCTAATGTAATGTGCTGGCCACATTATCTGTTCGTACGGTTTAATTTCCGACCGTGTGTGTCATAAATAAACGTGCCTGGTGGAGAGCAGTGACAGTGTTATCCAAGTGCTGTGACACGGGAGACGCGCAGCCCTGCTGGGCCCTCGACACCTCAGATGAGGGGCTTTTCTGCCTGAAAAGCACCAAAACCGCAGCCAGCCGGGTGACCCAGAAACCGGCCGGCCGCGGATTTCGGGGTGCGGCCGCTGGACGCGGAGCGGGCAGGCCGAGCCGGGCGGCGGGGAGCGGCCATCTTGGGGCTGCCCCCGCCCTCACCTGCGCTGCCCGCAGGTGAGCCGCCATGTTGCGGCCCTGAGCGGAGCCGGGATGCGGTGCGGCGAGCCGGCGGTGGCCGGCGGTCTGCTCCTCCTTCCGCGGGCGGCCCTGCTTCTGCTCGGTAACGGCGGAGCGAGGGGGGGGGGGGGGTTCCCGCCTCCGGGGGCCGCCGCGGCGGCGGGGAGGGGCGGGACGGGACCTGAGCGCCCCTGCTCTGCTTGCGGCGGGCCCGGCTGGGAGCCCAGCGCGGGAGCCGGGCCGCGGCCGCCCGGGAGGCGGCTCCGAGGCCGGCGGCCAGCGGCCCCCGAAGCGAGGGTGGTTCGCGGGGAGGGGGCGAGCTCGGCGGCTCCGGGAAGGGCCGTTCCGGAGCGGGGGGGGTGCGCTTCGCTGGGCGGCCCCCGCGGAGAGCTCGCTACGGGAGAGGACGGGGGAGCGCTGGAAGCGGCGGGAGGGCTGCCGGGGGGGGGGCGGCTGTGGGGCGCACGAAGGCCCTTCTGCAGGGCACGGCGGGCAGCTGGCAGCCTTCGTTTCCTCGCCCGGCGCTCTGCCCGCTGCTCGCACTCGAGGCGCGGGTGCTTTTGTCCCATCTCTGCTTGCTTTGCTGAGGTCCGGCTGGCTGCGCTCCAGGCTTCGCGGCTTTCAGTTGGTAGCAAAAGGAGCGTGTTGCTGAGACCCCCTGTGTTATGCATTGGTAGCTGTGGAATGGGCGTGCAACGCCAGAAGCTTGCCTGAGAACTGGCACATCTGATTAGAAACAGCAGGGGAGTCAGAACTTAATGCAGAGTATCACCATAATAAATCTTGATAAGCTAGGAGATTCGTGAAAGGGAGGATTTGAACGATGCTCTTGCTGGAAGCTGGGCAGGCTGACCTCATCCCTGGCTGGAGCATTGTGGTGGGCAAACAAGGCAGAAGTTGCAGGCGTTGAAAACAAGAAGTGAGAGTAGTTGCTCTTGCAAGGTGACCCTTGACCCTGTGCATGTGCAAGTCACTGGCTGTATCACTCAGGGCAAGACGCAGAGCCAGAACTGCCTTGAAGTGGTCTAAAGCGGGCACTTTGCAACTCATAAGAGAGCCAGCTGATTTGGTTTCTCAGCTCCTTACCTCCGTATCTAAATATCTGTAGGCTCTTGGTGGTATTCTCCAGATAAATACTTTAATTGGGGCTACTTCCAATCCCACAGAGAATAGGTTAGGGAAGTTGTCTGCTTTTCTTTACATTTCATTATGGGGGTGGTAGTCACTTCTTTGCACTGTGGTTGAGCAGCAGATGCGTTGATACCATTGGGACATCATCACTTCTGCGCCTCGCAGCTAACAAGAATCTAATCCTTGTCTTTTGTGCTTGGTCCATCAGGTGTCTGCAATGCTCTGTCCCTGGAAATTAAAGCAAGCTCTAAAGTACGAGCTTTCATTGGTGAACAAGTAACACTGAAATGCTCATTCACATCTAGTTCACCCATCACTGAGAGCCTGACGGTAGACTGGACATACCGGCCCCTCGCAGGTGGTCAGATGGAGACAGTAAGTGGAGTCTTTTTCTAGTGGAGACTGACCAGGCCTCTGTGCGTGATGAAAACCTGGTATTTTTTCTGTTTGCCTTGCTGTGCTGCTTCTTCGCTTTGGGGTTTGTGACTCTCATCACTGCCTTCTTTCCCATGTGAAATTGCTTTAGTGTTTTTGGGGCAAAAAATACTCGGTGTAAATGCATAATAGCATGATGATGATAAAGTAGATAAACTTTGGGTTTTGACAAAAGTGCTATATTGGATGCTGTAGCTATATATAGAGTGACTGTAAAGCATTTGATTGGTAGCTTTATTGAAGGCAGCTGTACCCTAGTAGTTCTGTCATGCAGTCTACTGCTGATGCATCTTGGAGTGGTAAGAACATGTGTGCAATGACAGTCTGAAGACAAGGATGACAGCCTCTAAGGTTTATAGGCTGCTACTTGCTCTTTCATTAGTAGCATTTTGAAATCTAAGCATAAATACCTAAGTCTGAAAACTCACTGGAAAGCTCTAATTCGGGGTGGAAACAGAAAATGCACATCTTTATATGGATTATCGGTGACTTCTGCTGCCCAAAGAGTTTGAACTCTGAGGAGTGTCCTTGTATCTGGAACAAAAGGGTAGTGCTTGTATGAAGTGAGTTCTGCTCACAGGACAGCAGGAGCAAAAGTACAAGAAACAAAAGGTGAAGAACTGCAGTGTTCTGTCTTGCACCAGGCAAGAAGCCCGGTCTGCTTCTCAAGATCTGCAGAAGGGAACAAGTTGGTCAGAATGGTGATGGTGACATCTGAGGGCTGAGGCTGGTAGATAAAAGCACTGGAGATCAAATGAAATGGGACTGACTCAGAATTTATCAAATAGGAACTTGCAAAGGTCTCCTGTATAAGAAGTATTCTTTGACTTCTTAATGTGTATTCATTTATGTTTGCAATCCAGAAAGTAGTTTGCTTTCTTAGATGAGTCTTTTATTGGCGCAATTATTGTCTTTGCCTCCTTTTAGATTTTTCACTATCAGTCCATTCCATACCCAACGACAGTGGGAAGATTCAAAGACAGGATATCCTGGATTGGGAATGTTGCCAAGGGTGATGCTTCTGTTGCTATCCAAAGCCCAGTGATGAGTGACAATGGGACGTTCATCTGCAGCGTGAAGAATCCTCCAGATGTGTACCATAACATTCCCCAGACGATGCTGATCGTTACGGAGAGGGGTGAGCCTCCATTTCAGCAACATGTCCTCATCTAGGTGTTACAGCTGTGTTGCAGCTTTGTCGGAATCTTAGAAGTCCGAGCGTCACATGTGAAACTGTTTCACGTCCGAATTTCAGCAAGTTACCTCAGCCCTTCTTTCTGAGCTAAATACATCGAGAACTATTGAATTTATTTGGGGCAGGAAGGGACAAAGCAAGCTGTGGTGATAGCAGAAATCAGAAGCCTGCATTTGTTGAGGAATTGTGGTTTCCACATATTGCAGCAGTACGTTTAGGAAATACTGGTCTTAAAATAACTGTCACATCACAAACACGCATTCTTAGTAATATTTAATTTCCTCATCTGCCCTGCGTGTGAGACCTGCCCTGGATTTGCAGCTTAGACACGCAGATAGAACTATGTCGTGACTTGCCTTCCTTTGTATTTTTTGCATGTAAAGCACGCTACCGTGTTGGATGTGTGATAGGAGTCCTACAGATTCAGTGACAAGCTGTTTTAAATCTGCCAGCTCTCTGCTTTATTCATATAAAGGCTGGCAACCTGCATTCTGGATGATATTTGTCACAGAGATTTAAGAAAGCCATATTTTACTTATTTTACTACTGGTACATCTGGGCTGTTCTTTGTCTTTCCCACAGGCCTTTCCTTCCAGCTAACGTCAGCGGTGCTGCTGTCCATTTTAGTATTTCTCCCTTCCATCATTGTGGTCATCCTGCTGTTGGTAAGGATGGGAAGGAAATTTGGTGTGTTAAAGGAGAAAAAAAAACCTGGCTGTAAGAAATCCTCCATCGAAGTGTCTGATGAGTAAGTTCTGGCTGGAACCCCAAGCCTGTGTTTCTACTTTGGCCTGTGTCAACAGGCCAAAGGACAGTTTCTCCACTGTTCTTCATTTCATAGCTCTCACCATCTGCAGTTCGGTCACTGAAAACTACTTCTCCATGAGCATAATTTAGCCACTGCTCAGAAAGCTTTGGAAAAACCCCATATTGGAGCCTAAACTAAGTGCTGAACATGCCCCTTTTTCTGCCATTTGTGTGAGGCCATGGAACTGGAGCAGTTTAGGGTTAGAGAGTCTTTCACTTCTGTAATTGGATTTGTTTCAGCCTAAATCAGCAAGATATTTTGCTTATGTGGGCTTTATGTATTGCATTTTGCTGTGAAGTATCCATAACAGCAAAACAAACCGAATAATGCAAACTGGTTCCCCTGTGGTGGCCTGATCAGAGATGCCAGGTAATGAATGAGCCTTGGAGACTAAATTCCCCTCTGAACTGGAGAGGATTCTGTTCTGGAAAGGTTCAGTGTTGGGAACAGTAAGGTAACACTGCTACTGCTGGAGCTGCACCTGGTTTTGCAATGAATTCAGTAGTACAATTTCTTGCAGAATGGGTTTTTAATACAATCTTCTGATTAGTGTTGTAAGATTTGCCAGCCAAATAGCCACTCTTCTTGTATTCTTCATGGCACTTAAGTGAAATGTCTGCCTTCAGAATAAGGGACCTGACATTCTTTGTTCTTTTGGGGTTTGCTATGCAGAGTGGTAGATGTAGAATTCCTCGTCCATAGGAGATACTCATATGTGTGTTGGGGGAAGAGTCCAATCTAATCCTATGCTTTTTCTGCAGGCCCGAACGTACAGAGACAGAAAACTGCTTGGGGAAACTGAGAAGCTGGTGTCTGAACTGTGTGGTAAGTGAAAGCTGGTGTTTTCATAAGTGGTTTTGTCACCTTCGGTGCTCAGAGGAGGTGCTAAGAGCAGCAGGTAGGGCTTGTCAGAGCACCTCTGGATGTCAAAGAAGTGTCCCAAATGGTCAGGCTTATGCTCCGTGGTGTTTTCTGCATATGGGCTATAGGGGGTGAGAACTGCTGGCCATACTGAATTACTGGTAGGGAAAGTTGTCTTGAGATCCACCAGATTGATTTTTCATTTTACTTCACTGAAATCTGTCATGATTTCAGCTCAGAGGGCAACTGAGCATCACACTTCTGCTCACTCCACCCTTCCCCCCAGCATCGAGAAGGAGAAAATAAGCAAAGGCCCAGGATTTGAGATAGGACAGGGAGGGATGGCTCACCTTTTATGGTCACAGGTGAAAGACAGACTCATTAGGGGAAGAAAAAACCCATAAATTTAATACAGACACTAACACCACCACCACTTAACAGACAAGAGTAGGACAGTGAGAAGCATTACCACATCCTGAGAACATCTCTCCCCACCCTTCCCTTCTTCCCGGGCTCAGCTCTGCTCCCGATATCTCCACCTCCTCCCCGCAGCGGTGCAGGGGCAGGGAATGGGGGGGTGCAGGCAGTGCTGCCACTTCTTTCATCTTCGGGGGGTGGGGTGTGGGGGGAACTTCTGGAACTTCTTCCCCCTTCTTCCAGCGTGGTCCCCCTCTCACAGGAGGTAGTGTTCCACAAACTTTCTCCAACATGAGTCCCTCCCACAGGCTGCATCCCTTCCCGAGCTGCTCTGGCATGGGTCACCCCCGCACGTTGCAGTTCTCCCAGTGCCAAGCTGCAACAGCAGGGGCTGCTTCCTTCCACAGGATCCCAGCCCCCTTTGGGTGCAATCCCCTGCAATAGCATGCCGGTGTTTGCTCCACCATAGCCCTCCATGGGTGACGGGTGGGGCTGCTCTGCCGTCTCACCACAGGATACAGGGGCGTCTCTGCTCTGGCACACCTCCCTCTGCTTTCCTCCTCCGTTATTCCACTGACCTTGGTGTTCACGTAGATGTCGCAACTCCAACTCCTCCTCCCAGGTCCCCTTCTTAAATACATTATCACAGAGGCACAGCCACTGTCGCTAATTGGCTCGGCCTTGGTGCAGAGGTGGCGCTGACTTGGAGCCGGGGGAGCTTCGAGAAGCTTCTCGCAGGGGGTCACAGCTGTAGCCCCCTTCCCTGATGCCAAAAACCTCCACCACTCAGTCAAAGCCAGGACAAAATCAAAGCTGACATGTTAAGATGAAAATTCAGAATTTTAAGTACTAGGTACTGTGCTGTGTAGTTTCTTTAAAGGCTCTGCAAAACCAGTTTTGGGGTTTGACAGTGCTACGGTGGGGAACGGAGGCAGTGATACCTCAATCCACTGTGTTTCTTGCAAAGTTGGTAGTATGAAGTCTTGCCTCTTTTTGGAGATCTTCCTACTTGGAGTGTTTTTGTCACAACATAATCCTGCTAAACTCTTGTGGTTTGTTTGTTTCTGGCTTTTTGTTTGTTTTGTTTTGTGAAGTGGTGGTTGTCTTCTAATTCTGTTTGTTCGCTTGCTACCCTGTCAGCAAGCTTCTGTTAATCAGATGTGTTGTGCTGGAACTACTAAATGTTTTTGCCACCTGCTGTACTTGTTTTGTAAAAAGCAGCCACAGCCGTAAGTGTAGCACATTCCAAAGTCAGCTCACTAATATGCCTAATTTGAGAGTGTTTTCATTTTTTCCTGGTGTCCTACAGAGCAAGCTTACCTCAGATGCACCTTTACATCTTTTATACATGGTCAGGAGGTATGTTAAGGAGGATTTAAATAGGTATTGCTTGATTCACTATTCTAATGTCAGTGATTTCATCTGTACTAAATGCAGACAGGTGTGTGCTGATGGTTTCTATGCTTTATTAAATACAGAATGAAAAGTGGGCAGTTACTCAAGTTACATATGAAATATTTACAATTCTACATAAGACACAGCAGTTACAACACAGCAGTATCACGGAAAAAGAGTTTTGAGAGGTGCAGAAAGCAGAAAATGCTTTATGCAAAAGAGTGAGTTGCCATGGGAGATGGAAAGGCTGTTGCAAGTGACATGCAGGGGAGCAGGGGGGCACCGTTGCTTTACTGCAGGTGAAGAGATGGGGAAGGGATGGGAGACCCAGTTCGGTGAGACAGATGCTGTCAGACAGTTGGAGATTTTAAAAATTGAAAAATGTCTTCTCATCCTTTGAGGGAAGGCAAATCTGAATGGTGTAATCCTGCTGCTTTCATATTGAGCGTCACGTGTTTGGTACTTTGCTCTCTGATATCAGAATATTTAGTTTACCAAGTCTCTGAACATCCTGTCTCACTCCCTTTAATGACTCTACATTTTTGAGGTTTCTGTAGTGCACTTCTTCATGCTTAATATGTTACTGAATAATTAAAATTGCAAAGCCACTGAAAATGTGTTTGGACTTAAAATGGCTGGAAAGTTACTGAGATTTCCCTTATAGAGCTGTTACATTTGAGTCTCTTTCAAGTTGAGAGTTGCAGAGCTGGATTGTGGGGACGCCGTCAAATGATTACTGTGGTTAAAACAATAGACGACGGGGATTTGAAAGTATGTGGTTGCTTGTAGCTGAAAAACAGCTTGTGCTGCACCAGAGCTTCTCTGTAGGGATTGGTGGTGCTTTTTAAGAAGATGGCTGCCTACTCTTTGTGGTTCGCCGTTTGCTGGAGCTTTAGCTGCTACTTCTCTTAATACATGCTGCACATGTTGCTGATACAGTGGCAGTTCGTCTGTGTATCTGTGAGAAGTCAAACAGATTTCGCTGCAAGTGCTTGTAAGACTGCAAGTCCTGTGGCTTATTCAAGCACAGCAGTATTTTGGAAAGCATTTAAGCTCTAGTCCGGAGCCTAGCAGACTCAAAATTTTGTTGAACTCATAACTTGGTTCATGTCTTCATACATAGTCTCAATTTCTCTCTCCATACTCCCTGTCTAGGACACGGATGAGGAAGACCCATACTGATGAAAGACTAGAGCTATGGATAAAGAACAAAATTACAGCACTGAAAATCATGGCTAGATAGGTGTATGAAGTCTGCTGGATACCCAGTTCAGATTGAAGGACCTGCTCGAACATTGGTAGACTGGAAGAATCATGCCAATGGGATAATTCACTTTTATTTAAGCACAAAATAATGATTTTGGGAATCTTTCTAATTTATTGGAAAAAAAAAAATACCTCCTAACCTCACTTCTCCAGTGCCTACAGAAACCTCCGTGCCTACAGCTGTACAGCCTGTTTCCTACCAGCAGTCTGACACTGCATGTTTCTTAGTTTACTTGCAAATTTGTTTCCTTTGTTATTGGTGGCATCCCTCCTTTTCTGTGCCCTTGAATTCCAACTGCCTGAAGCACGGGCTACTCCAGAATGATGTTGGCTCTCTAAGGTGATCATCATGGGGCACCGACAATGTTTTTTTCTCAATTTTTGTGAAACATATTTCTGAGGACGAAAAAATGTTTGATTAGTTGGTATATGACATCCTTTGTCTTGGAGTGAAGAGAACCTACTGCTTTTTAACTATTTCTTGGTTTAATCTGCCACTTAATTACAAGATCACCATTTTGTTCCTACTGTTTTCTGATTCTATTTTTAAGTCACCAACTGCACAGTAGTCTTACCTTACATTGTTGAATTTTATCTTTCCTTCTTTTTTCTTATTATTTGTCCAACAGCTGCATTACTAGGTATATCTCCTTCTACTTGTAGAAGTGAAGCACAATTCATATAAAACTAATCTTTTAAAACCAGAAATGCAAATGGGGACTCTGTATCTGGGGAAACATTAACCCCATCTACCTCAACCATTGACTCAAGCAGTATCCAAAGGAATGATCCGTGTTCAGAAGAACAGCCATGTTCCTCCTCTCTTCTAGGTACCCTTTTAGGGAAACAGCTAAACTGCCTGGGAAGAAAGAGTACTTTCTCTTTCACCCACCTCGTCCAATAGTGATGGCAGAGAGCAGTAGGATTCACGTCTGCTCAGTACCTAACCAGCTGCTGTCTTCTGCTTCCTTTCTGTATGCGGCATTGGTCAAATAGTCTCTTTTTACACGTGTCATAAGTTTACTGTTGACTTTGTGCCGTTACCAATAAATTGCTTTGTTTCATTCTCGGCTCTGGATTCCTTCATTTGGCTAAATATAGTTGAGCTCATAAAGCTGCCGTCCTGAGTTGTCGCTTAGCTGTAGAAACTGTCATATGATGATGGGTCAAGGTGTTCAAGGAACAGATTAAACTCCAAAGGGAACACGTGCTGAGTCCCCCTTTAGCAGCTCTGTGATGGCTGTCAATTACAGGTACGTTGAAGTTCCTGACTGCAAAGCAGATTAGCTGTAGATCTGTGTCTCCAGATAAAGAAATACATTTTTCTCCTGTCTATTAGAAAGTAATATTTAAAAAGCTTTTGCTTCCTGGTGACACAATGTCTCTCCCAACTAAAACTTTCCTGAGAAAGGATGTTGGTGGGACATGCAGTGTAGAAGTGGCTTTGTTGTTCCACTTTCAGCACTAGTACATCACTTGTTCTTTGTGGAAATGAATGACTTGTTCTCTGCAGAATGTTTTCCTTCAACTGTGACTCCTTTGCAAACTGCAGCCTAGATCCTAGGCAGATCTCTTTCTGGTGCAAAGCTAAATTGCCACCTGGAAGCTAATAGCATTCTGGATTGTGAAGGGCACTGAGCATGAATGAGACTTAATTTTCTCTTCCTTTGTGTCCTGGTTTCAGCTGGGATAGAGTTAAGTTTTCTTCTTAGTAGCTGGAATAGCGCTCTGCTTTGGATTCAGAATGGGATTTGGTATGAGAAGAATGCTGATAACACACTGATGTTTTCAGTTGCTGCTGAAAGATCAAGGACTCTCCAACTGCCCGTGTCCTGCCCGTGCGCAGGTGCACGAGAGGCTGGGAGGGAGCACGGCCAGAGCACCGTCCCAAATTGGCCAATGGCACGTTCCATATCATGTAACGTTTTGCCCAGTACAGAGAGGAGGGTCGGCTGGGAAAGGGGGGGGCTTGCTTTCGCTTCCAGGATTGTGGTTTTGGGATCTTGGCTTTTCCGGGATTGCTAGCTGGGAACTGGCTGGGTATCAGTCAGTGGGTGGAGAGCAATTGCATTGGGCGTTACCCGTTTGTACTTTCTCGTATTACTGTCTTATTTTATTTCAATTATTAAACTGTTCTTAACCTACGAGTCTCCCTCCCCTGGCCCCTCCAATTCTCTCCCCCATCCCCTGGGCAGGGGAGGGCGAGCAAGCGGCTGCATGTTGTTTGGCTGCCGGCTGGGTTTGAACCCTGACACTCTGCTAGCTGTATGGAAGTTGCTCTGTGTACCATTACAAGCACTGACACTAGGGTAGAGAGCAGTGATTGCTGTGGTACTCCAGAGGAAGAGGAAGGATGAAAACACGCTTTCAAAGTGACTGGCGGTGGTGGTGCCAGCTGAAAGCAGTCCCTGCTGTGTATCTTGTCTGTGTTTCGAAAGGGTGCAGCTGACTACGCTGTGAGAAGCGTGTTGGCAGGGGCCCTGTGCCCGTAAGATGCCTGCTACCCTCTGGCCCTGATAGCACCAACAGTAAGGCTCAGCGAAGTCACTCGGTGTTGCTTGCTGCTGATACCTCATCAGGACGAGATGCAGGCCGAAGGAGCCGTGGTTCTTTAACCAGCTCTGATCCCCCAGAACAAGCCGGGAGGGAGCACAGGCTGCAAAAGCGTCACTTGCCAAGAATCTCTCCGTTCTTGACTTCTCACACAATGACTGGTCGCGTCGCTCTGCCGCGATGGAAGGACTGGGACTGAGCCACATCTTGTGCCTATGAAGTGTCTTCTCCTTATGAAGCTGCATACCCATCATCTGCTCTCAGGCACACGCATCTCTAGTTCTTCTCGCCTCTCCGTGACAGTCCCTTCTGCATTGTGATGTGTCAGTACCTCAATCTAGTTCTTCACTTCCTCTTGCAAGCTGAAAGTGACCACCAAACTGAATCTGAAATTAAAGAGCCGAAACCAAAGACTGGTAAGTAAGACAAATGTCTTGCACGTACGACCTCAAGACGATTTAGCAAATAATTCTTTTAGATACTCCAAATTAGTCACCGAAGAACCCTTCACGCAAGAGGCAAGTTGACTGCCCCAAACCCCACAGGGTGAGTATTTTTGCCATATTTGCATTTTTTTTTTTTTTTTTTGCCTTTCCTGAAAAAAGAACTAGGGAAACATAGAAGTGCTGAAGATTCAGATACAATGTGCAAAAGTAGCAACATGTGAAGGCAGTACAGTACCTACGTATTTTTTTTTCCCAGTCTGTTTAGTCAAGGTGGTTATCCCGTGGAAGGATTTGGGTATGTCAGCACCGTAATACACAGAGCAGCCTGGGTGAGTGGGTGCTGTCTTCAGCTGGTGCACGCACAGCACCCACTTGCTGGTGCATGTCGCAGAGAGAGACCCTGCAAAAAGGTGTTCCCAGACCGGACCGGACCAGAACTTATTCTGAGAAATAGGGTAACGAGTCCAGGAAGGATTTGATGCCAAAGAAGGACCAGAGCCTCAGTAGCTCAGCTGCAGAGAACTTTTGAAGTTCTGAGTGTAGATATCCCAGTACACAGGCTTCTGTGTGCTGAGGGCTTCTGTTTTTTTACGCTGGCTTCTATTTTGGGTCCTGCGTGGGGGTGGTCGTAGGAGGGTGTAGCTCTGCTTGAGTTCTACAGCTTTTGGCAGTATAGCTGGAAAGTAGGATGCTTTGGCCTGCTGCACTGAGATACACTGCACCAGCTGAGAGCTTTGGAGCTAGGCATGACTTTTGCTGTGCTTGTAGGTTGTGTGTGCACAAGTGCAGGTTGTACAGCAAACTGTGTCATGGCAGGGCTGCAAACAGTGGAGTCAAACCACACAGCTCTCCCCTGCACCTCCAAAAAACCCAACCCTCCAACGCATCGTGTTTTTTGAAAGGCAGATTTGAGAGCGTTCCAGAAGGCTTGCTGCCACTTTTCAGGATTTGGTTTGTGAAAAGGGGAGCGCAATGGAGGGCAGAGGAGGCTCTACATCACTGACTGCAGGCAAGAACACTGTGAACTGACTGGAAAGTCACAGTGACTGTTTCTCAGCCTAGAACAGACCTGCGGGTCCCCCAGCAGCTCATTCTGGGCCTCTAATCCCTGTCTGAGCCTGTCTCAGGGTGTTTCTGAGCTTTCTTTGCAGAGTGAAATATATTTGGAAAGAAAGAGGCAGTAGCAGTCGTGCCTGGCCATGCAGAGAGATGGAAGCTCTCCTAGGGGATGAGCCGAGGTGGGGAGGAGGCCTCCTCTGCTCCCTGCTCGCGCTCTGCAGAGCTGCAGTAGCTGTTCCTGCGGCTCCGTGGTGCGTGCACGGAGCTGGCACGTCCCCTCTCACCCCCCTGCTGCCCTTTGCACCCGGTGGTACTGTCACCGTCCGTTCTGCGTGGAGTGCCAAACACCTAGGCGCTGCCCCGGGAAACTTGCTACCCCACGACCACAGGTCTGTCGCTGTGGCTTTCTGCTCCACAGCACTGAAGGGAGCTGTGGCTCTCAGAGCGATAGGAACAATGGCAGATGTTCACATATTTACTCTAACTCCTTTCATGGCTGTTTCTTGGGGAGAAATATCTGGGACCTTTTCCAAGCCTTACTGAAGCTGGCCTAGAGATCCTCTGACTGGCACAACGGAGGAAAAACGGGGGAAGCTAGCAAGGTTTCAGAGATGATTCAGCTCTCGTTGGCTATTTCTGCAGTAAAAAATGCATGTATTGGAAAACATGTGCTGGTAATGGCAGCCTCAAATTCAGCTGTAACGTGCAGGTTCTCCAAGTGGGAGGGCTTCTCTCAATAACTTGCTGCCCTTAAATATGTTTATCACTTTTGAATGGGAGTAGCTTTGAATCCTGGAGCAGAGACACAGCAAGCAGGGTACTGACTTTTGCCTTCCTGTGATTCACCTGTGAACACTGGCTGGCATATTCCTGATGATGACAGCCAGTCCTTCCTCGGGCTGCAGGATATGTATACAATCTGGCTTTGCTTCGAGAGCTGTGTAGCAGGTCAAACTGAATACAGTGACCAAACATGACACTGTCTGACCAGACCCTGAAGGGTTCCAGCAAAAGTTCTCACCGCAGGCAGCACCCTGGAGCAAGGGGGCTATTTCTAGAGTAAGGGGTGTGTGGTTTTAGGACCAAACTTTTTGGAGTATGTAGTGGAAAAAACGTCCCATTGCTTTCTGAGCAGAGCTAACATCTATGAACATCTCAGTTCAGATGCTAGACACTCGACCCCCAAGCCACTGGAAAGATTCATTACTTAAGGGAAAATGCAAAGGTGTTTCAGGCTGAGTCCTGCCCCCTTCGCTCTCTCTTCCTCTCCAGAGCTCAGAGCAGTCTCAAACCGGCCAGAGACCTATCTGACATCTGTGCTCCACTGGGTTTCGGGCTCCCAGCTGGGATTGTGGCTAACTTGAGAGCCTGACCGTCCAGGCAGCAAAGACTGTGTCCCTCTCCAGAACTGAGGGAAGTCTTTTTCTGACCTTGGGGTTCAGTTCAGTTGCAAGTTTTTGGCGTTCTGCCCCAGGGGAAACTGATGCATGCGTCACCTCTGCTGTTCTTTTCAGAATAAGATGAAGGTGTTGCTGTGCCTGACTCTGATGCTGACATGGCTGGGTAAGCTGTAAGTCGTGCTGGTGCTTTTACTTACCTCGCCTGCTTTCCCCTCTGCCTTTGTGGAAAGACCCATCAGTTCCTCTCTTCCTGCAGTGGGAACCCCTTGGGGTTTCCCAGGCACAGGGAGCTGGCAGCAGTAAGTGGGCTTCTGGGTCCCAGTAACTCCTCTGGTCTCGGGGTGCTGCATATTCCCTTCCTGCAGAGCTCACACATACAGAGGCCTCAAAGTGCGACGGCCTCCCTGGCTGGAGCCCTGTGCTTGGCTCTGCTGAAGGCAGCTGGCTCCCCTGGGCTTCTCCACTGGCAAATCTCTGTCATTTTCAGCTCCACAGCTGGTCAAGGCCAAAAGAGACCTGTTTGGGAAGCTGTAGCACTTTGCATTTATTATTTACAGGGCATCAGACAAGTACTTGGTGCTTCGCCAGGCCCCAGCCCTCAGGGGCTTGTGGACAGAGTGAGCAGCGTGGCTAAGGCACCAGGAAAAGTCTACCTGTCCGAGCAGCTCCCGCTGAATCGCCTCACCCTCTTCTTGACAAACAAGTGCCAGAGCCTCAGCTGCTGCTCCTGCCAGGTTTTGCCAGTGCAGACTCTGGGGCATGCAGGGTTTCTTTTGATGAGCTCCGGGGACATTTTCTGCCCCGCTTGTTTCCCCTTCCTGCTGCATGCTTTGCAGCCCGCCACGTTGGCAGCTGCTTCGTGCCGGTTATGTCAGCTCTGTGCTCTTTGATGTGCCTCTGTTTTGTTTGTTGTTTTTTTTTTTTGTTTTTTTTTTTTTTTTTCCCCACTGTCCAGCATCTCTAGAAACCCTAAGCAGTAGTTATGTGGGCAGACAAGTCCCAGCCCAGGTCAGGAGCCTGTGAGCAAGGGGTAAGGAAGCCAAATGGGCAGGTTGTGAAAGAGGAACTGAAATTCGTGTGAAGCGGTTGAATTGCCCCTGGCCTGGTGTAGATGAGAGCGGCACTGGTTCTCCCAGCCGGTGACTCACAGGAGCAACCCTGCAGGAGCTGCAGGCTTTGGCTTGGAGACGCAGAGGGCTGGGGTTGTGCTTCCCCACTTCCCTTCTGCGCGGCTTGTTCAGCAAGCGCAGCAGCCCTCGGTCTGGCGGCTGGGAGGATGTGCTGCCCCGCATCCCCGGCACGCCAAACGCAGGGGTCAGGGAGAGGCTTTGCCCGCACAGGGAGCAGAGCCTCCCCGTTGCGTTCTGGACTGGTCAGTGCCGTTAGCCCCAGGCTTATCTGGAGAGGAGATATCTATGGGGACAGGCAGGCTGCATCCGGCCGTCCTCTCTGGACTCATCCTGCTGTCCTTGTCCCTGGCAGAGCGATGCAGCGGGTGGGTTGGCTGGGTGTTCACGGAGCCTCAGCTTCGAGCCAGCGCTGGGGACTCTGTCCTGCTGCAGTGCCTCTTCCTAGACCCAGTGGCCAAGGGCTGGACGATGGCCAAGGTGGACTGGCTGCGCACAGCAGGAGCCGGCACGCAGAAGGTGGGTCGGGACCAGGGGGTGGCTGGTTGGAGCGGTGCACGGGGGCGAGTGGCAGGGGAGGGTGGGCAGGGCAGCCTCGCTGCTCTCCGGAGCCTGCGGGGAAGCCTGCCTGGCCCGGGCCAGGCCTTGAGAGGAAGAAAGTTCCCCCGTGGGGCAGTGGGGACCTCCGCCGCACCCCGTGGTCCCACGCCATGGGGGGAACCACAGCACCGGGTGCTGCGTCCTGGGGCTTTCCAAGAGAGCGTGGGAATGAGCTGGGCTGCCGTGCGTGGCGAGTGCTCCGCGGGGAGAGGGAGGGAGCGTGGGTCTGAGGGCTCTTGAGCAGGGAAGGCACACAGGGCAGTGCCCTCCGCTGGGCTCCCTTCACCCCCCGATGCCATCTGTGCCCCGGCAGGAGGAGATGGTGTTTTATTACTACAGCAACCATAGCATCCCTGTGGGCCGTTTCCGGGACCGGGCGCAGTGGCAAGGGGACATCTCCCGCTGGGATGGCTCTATCCAGCTGCAGGATGTACAGGTGAACGACAGTGGCACATATGTGTGTGAGATCCGGCTGCTCCAGCGCAGCAGCATCTTCAAGAACCACACGGTGCTGCACGTCAGTCCCACGGGACAGAGAGGTACGTGCGCTGTGACGGCTCCCATCTCCTGTCACCCTGTTTGGCCCCACGCAGAGGGGCTGCAGAGGCGCTGGGCGGCTCTCAGACCTGCCAGCGCAATTTTTCTGGAGTAGGGCTGGGGTCCCTGTGTGTACCATCTCCTGGCTTGGTGTCTCCCCAGCAGGACGAGGAGCAGCAGATGCCCAGGACTCTGCGGCCCCGGGCGACTCTGGGCTTTGGCCTGTGACTGTGGGCTGTGGCTGTGTGGCCGTTGTGCTGGCTTTCCTGGCCGGACTCAGCCTGAGGAAGAGGTACCAACGCTAGCTGTGGGTTTATGGGGCTGAGCAAAGCACCTCCTTGCAGCCTTCCTGCACTGTTCTCCCTGGCCAAGCACTAGCCTGACCTGCCCGAAGCAGAGCTGGAGCTGCGGGAGCCGGAGGGGTCATCACCCGGGATAACGCCGGGGTGCGGACTCCTGCTGCCCTCTGCTGTCGTGCTGTCCTGGCCGGTCCCCGCTTTGCTCCCAAACCTCCTGGGCTCCCAGCGTGCCAGCAGCGGGGATGGCCTGGCCGAGGCGTGTGCACAGAGGGAGGGCAGGAACAGGAGGAGTAGGCAGCGATGCTTCTTGCCGGAGATGACACCACCGTTGCCTTCCCTCAAGGTCTGCAGCCAACACGGCCCTGGAGAGAACTGGAAATGGCGACAGCAAGAGCAAAGCAGAGGTGAGAACTGAGGCTGAACCCAGTGGAGGGGAGTGTGTACACCGCCACAACCCAGGGGAGCCCAAGAGATGGAGAAGGGGAGGGATGGGGCACGTGGGGCTGCAGGGTGGGCACGGAGCACCCGCGCCTGTGCGCACACCCACCCGTGCCGCGTGGCCAGCCCCCCCAGCCAGCACACAGGAGAGCTGCGGGCTCCTCGCTGTGCCGCCGGCTGCGTGTGCGGGTGGTGCTTGGAACGCGGCCCGGGTCCTGCCGTTTCATTTGGCGTGCGGTTCCGAGGAGGTGCTGATGGAGCAAATGCTCCCGCAGCCGAATGCCTCGGAGCCGAGAGGCTTGGCAGAGGGAGATGGGGTTCTGGGCCACGGCCTCCCCCTGAGGCTGAAGCCAGGGTCATCCTCATGCAGAACAGTTGCTGTCTCACCACTAGCTAAGGCTGTGTGTCCTCGGGAGACAGAGGGGTCACTGACATGGGGTGTATGGGCACAGGGCTGGGGATGCTGAGGGAGGAGATCCCGCACTGGCCAAGCACAAGGTGCTGTTCGCTAGCCAGCCGTGGCTGTGACTCCCAGTGCTAGTCCTGTGACTGAGGTAAGGTAGCCCTCCTGTATTTGGGGGCTGCTCGTTTCCAAGTGTCCTTGCTCTCCCCCTTGTAGGAAGCGCTTTACTCCTCAATCCCTGGAGCTGATGTTCCCAAGGCTGAACAGGATGCAGGGAAGAAGAAGAGAGCTGAGGAGACCTACATAACCATGGTGAGGAGGGGAGCGTGGGCAGGGTGTGCAGCTGTAGGGCTGGTGTGACCCCCTCCATCACCGCCCCCCTCCCCAGGATGACGGCATCCAGAGCCTGACCCCTCACTCCCCACCCCGGACAGCAGCATCCCTTGCCTCCTGCCCGCTCCGAATGGGCCCCGATACCTGCAGCAAGACTCACTCCCTGTGCCTTGCTCCCTGCAGCACCCTTCTCCCTTCCGGGATAATGGCATCTACGTGGAGCTGTCCAAGAGGGTGATCCCTGCGGAATGGATGGGAGAGGGGAGACAGGGTGATGGACAAAGCGAGGAACCCCACAGCAGACCAGAGGCGGCACTTCCCTGGGCTCCAGAGGGGGAGAAATAGCCGTGCTGGGGGACAGAAGCCCCTTCACCAGCAGGTGTGTGCAAGACAGCTTTGTTCCTGGCCAGCACGGCGCTGCTGTCAGCCCTTCCTCAAAGAAGTGGTGCCACTTCCCCACATGCACCAGGCAAGAGCCACTGCCGGGGCTTGCACACCCCGGTTGTCTGCTGGGGGACCAGGGGAGATAGGGCGCGCTGGCTTTGGTCTCCTGGTCTCTGGAGCGGGGCACAGCCTCCCTGCTCTGGCTTTGATCCTGGTCTGTACAGCTCCAGATCCCGAGATAACGATCTCCAAGGAGAGCCTGGTGGTGGAAGGAAGGGGGAGATGCAGCAGGAGCCGTGCAGGCGTGCCAATGGTGGCTTCTGGAGATAATAAAACTCAGGGAGTCTTCCTTGTCCCTGCCTTCCTTTTACCTCCTGCTGCAGCGTGTAATGTCCAAGTGTACCAAAACCGCCTGGCCCAGGGCCTGGGAGCACCTGCACCCACGTGCAGCGTGGCACACAGCACCCACGCCTGCCCCGCCGGCTCCAGGGAGCCGCAAAGCCAACGGGGCCGCGCAGCGGGTCCCTCGGCAGGGGCTGCGCTGAGCCCCGCTGCTGCCCCGGCTCTGCGGGGGGATGGCGGGGAGAGGGGCAGGCTCCACGGGCAGTGGGGTCCCCCACGTGTGTGCGTGCTCACGCATGTGTCCCACGCACCAGCCGCTCGGGTGAGCGTCTCCCCGTGCCCCCTGGCCTCGCTGGCCTGGCCGGGGGGAGTCCAGCGGGCTCCCCGGGGCCCGTCTCGGGGTGCGCTGGCTGGTCCCCGCGCTATATATAGATGCTTGACACCTCCATGTGCGGAGCGGGAGCTGCTGGGGCTCTGCACCGGGAGACTGCAGCAGCCTGCGCCGGGCTGCAGTCCTTGGTTTCACGTTGACACCCTACTCTCTTTTCCTGGATGAAGCCAAGCGACGGGGGTTGCAGGAGGATTTGGCCACCGGAGCTGCTTTCGGGTTGTTGGGGGTCACGTACAGCCTCTGCTGCCTTTGCGGGGTTGGGGGACCCGTGCCGGCCGAGCAGAGCGTGCTCTGCCTGCCCAGCGTGGTTGGGAAACTGTGCTCTGTGTGTGCAGTGTTTGCGAAGCGGGTTGTGTGTGTTCACCCTGACGCTTCTCTGACGCCTTCTCTCCTGGCTGCCCTGTTTCCCCTCCTGGAGCTTTTTGGGGAGCAGAGCACCTCTGCGTCCCTCCTGCCTCCCCGTTGCCCCGTCCCCTCCTCCCCAGGACTCTGGTGCACAGGAACTGAGATGTCCTATGGCTCCAGGGCACCCCTCGCCTTCCTCCTCCTCACTGATGCTGCTGCAGCAAACCCCACCATCCTGCGTCCAGCAGCATGAGAACTCAGTGGCTGACCGGCTGCTGTCACTGGCTCTCTGGTCTCCATGGGATCATGTTTTCTCCTTCCTGCACCCATCCCTGCAGCCTGAATCCAGGCTTCGAGTCCATGGCCCAAAGGCTTCCTTGGCCAATGCTGCGAAGGGGACCAAGGACCTTCTCCAGCGCTGTGACTGCTGGGTGGAGCCTCCCTATCCCGAGCGCTGGATGAAGAGAGGGTGTTGCCCTGGGGTAGCATGCTGCTGGGGAAGGGAAAAGGTGCTGGCAGAGTCTGGCACCCCTGGGAAGCGAGGGGGCTGCCTTCGCACCAGCAAGGGTGCAGACAGGCGCACCAGGAGCGACTCTACCTGCTGCAGGCTGCCTGCCCGTGGCTGTGCCTCCTCCTGGGCATCCTGGCCGGGCTTGCTGTTCCGGCTGCCTCCTTAGGACCCTCTGCCCTTCCCAGGCCAGACCAGTTCCTCTGTTCTCTGCCTGGCTTCAGGAGGGCATTTCCAACGTTCCTGGACCCTCAAGAGTGGGATCTGCTGCTGTGAACGGCATGAGCAGGGCTGGGTTTCCAGCCTCCAACGGGGCAGAGGTGACACATCTGCATGCCACCGCTGAAATCAGGGGGCTGCAGGGGTCAGGGGAACCCTCAGGGTCAGGCCCGTGCTGTGAGGCACTGGCCCCATCCCTGACATCCTGGGGGGAAGAGGAACCCCTGAGCACTGCTTGCCCCAACAGCAAATTGGCACGGCCAGAGGGAATCCCAGCAGAAGCCGGTTCCTCCTCTGTCTGGGGCTCGGCACGCTGCAGGAGACGCTCTGCGACAGCCCACGACCAGACCCCGGAGCACGGAGCAGGAGCGCCAGGAGCGTTCGCCTTCTGTTCAGGGGAAAATTTTTCCGCCCTCCCACTTCCCCTGCTGAAATCCACCAACCATAGCATTTACTGATTTTTTCGATCCAGCACCGCTCCAGCCAGCCATATTGGGCTGTGGAAATAAAGCAGCTCTAATGTTATATGTCACCTGCAAATAAGCCGGGCGTTCGAAAAAAGCAAACCACCACCACAATCCACACCAACACCAGGTCCTCTCCATACACAAAAGTCCTTCAAAATGAGCCCGGAAGCTTGGCTCCCGCAGCCCACCTTGTTCCTCACTGGCCTCAGCTTGCTCCTCTCGCTGGGTAAGTGCCGACTTGACCCCTTGCATGCACACGGCTGTCAGGGGAGAGCGCCCAGGCTGGGGAGAAACACCCTCTCTGGCCAGGAGCCCCCTCCCCACATCCCAGCCCCGAGAAGCCCCTCCTGTTGCTGGGGAAGCAGCGAGCCAGTGAGAGATGCTGTGCCGCAGGGACGGGGATGCAGGTGGTCCGAAATGCACCCCGCTGAAATCCGCCGGCCGGGGTGACCTGCTTTTAGGCAGGATGGGGGGGTACGGTGCACCTGCATCTTCTCTTAACAAATCCGCGCATCCTGCTTGCTGGAGGTTTTGTCTAAGCGCGAGGCTGTTTGCATGCCAGGCAGGGGTGTGGGCTGCAGCGGGGGGAGAGGGGGCAGCTCTGGCTTTGCCACGCTGCGACGGCGGCGGCTGGTGGGCTGCGGGTGGCTTGCGACTGTCCTTTGGTGTGTGGCTGGCTGCTGGGGCGGCAGGCTCTGGGCTGGCGGTGCTGCATGGGCTGGGGGGGCACTGTGGACTCTGCATTTCTGCCCTGCCCTGGAGCCAGCAGTGTGTGTCAGCAGCTTTGGCTCTATATTGATCAGAAACAGGAACGCATCACCTCTTTGAAGTGCTGTTCACACTGTCCTGGGGCTCCTGGTGGGCTGCCTTTGCTTTAGGAGAGAGGCTGGGAAATGGAGGGTACAAAGCCCAGCGAGGTTCGCTTTAGAGGCTGCCTGTAATTTTACCCACCCCGAGCCCTGGGTGCAGGGTGTCGTGTGACAGAGCGTTTGGGAGCACGGAAGGACACAGCCTGGAGAGTCGCTCCCAGGGATTTTAGCAGTTTCTTTCCTCACCTCTGTCGTCCCCCGGCGCTGGGTGCCCAGGGCAGTGGCAGAGTTGAGACCTGTGCCCATAGGTGCTCCCAGGACACGTGCCTATCGCGTGCTGGCTGCTGGCGAGGACCCTCCGGCTGCGGTACGGTCCTGCCATACCAAGCAGCACAGCAAAGCCCAGGCTGGGGCTGCCCTGGCGCTGCAGAGCCTGGGGGAGCTCCTGGGGGCACCCCAGCCCTCTGCAGAGCCCTGGGGCACCCCGAGGGTGCAGCACCAAGCCACAGCACCCAACGGCAGGCACAGAGGGCATAGTGCCAGGGCTGCCGGGCGCTTGAGCCAGTGCTTCTCTGCAGGGACCCCTCCAACCAGGCCTGCTGGGCTGTGAAGGGTCCTCCTGGGACAGGCAGGCTCCTGGATCTTCTCTCCCTCCCCCTACAAGGTTTTCTTGCAAGCATCTAAGGGGGTGGGCTGCGATGGGGCAGCAAGGCTGGGACACCGGCTCGGGCCTGGACCCTTCTTCCTTCCTTGGGTGCTGCGACTCGTCCCCCATGTACCAGCTCTCCCCATCCCTGCCCCCCAGCACCCTGTGGGGAGCCCTCCCTGTGCTGGGGCTGGAGGGAGGATGCTCGCCTCAGCTGCCAGCGTGAGGAGGGAGCCATCTCCAGGGGCTCGGCCATACCTGGAGGGCACCCCTCTGCCTCCAGAGAGCTGGCCTCAGGATGCTGCTGGTTCGCACCTCGCAGCAAGACCTGTGGCTCGAAACAGCCATGTCTGCAACTTGGAAAAGCCTCTTTTCCCTGGCTGCAGAGCCTGGCCCCTTTCCTGCCCTGCTTGCAGACGGAGTGGATTAGCCAGCGGAGCAGCCTTGACATGCATCCAGCTTGGCCACAGGGCTGGACACAAGAGCACCTCAGGAAGAAGGTTTGAGAGCAAAGAGCAGCAGCCAAAGGGCAGAGGTGAGGTGATCGGAAAAGCACCCGCTGCCAGTGTCACTGTCCCTGCCCTGGGGTGCCACAGCCCCCCTTTACAGTCTCATCCTTCCCAGCAGTCCTGCCAGGGCTCTCCATCCCCGTTCTTGCGGGCTAGTCTTGGAGTTTGCAGCCAGTTGGCTGCCCAGGGGCCTGTCGTGGGTTGCACGCCCTCCCCTTTGCAGGCTGGGGAGAACATGCTGGATGCAGGCACTGGGTTTCAGGTGCTGCTGGGGCAGCCAGCAGACTAGGGGAGCTGCAGGAAAGGAAGAGGGAGCAGGGCACAGACACTTCACCCCTGCCCATGGCCCAGGTGAAATGTCCTGCCCTGTGAGCTGCACTGGGTAACACCCCCCCCTGCTTCTCTGCTACGGCAAGGCCGGGGTGCAGGGACTGCTGTTGTCCCCCCAGGAGTGACTGAGATCTTGACCCGGTCATTCCCAGCTAGAGTATCCTCGAGTGACCACCACTGGGAGCGGGGAGCATCTGCATTCCGCCCACAGCCCCCAGGGGCTGGCCCCGGCAGATCCCAGCCCTCGCCGCTGTAGTGCGTCCTGCCGGGAAGGAAATCTGATGAGCGCAGCCATAAATTTCTCCGCGCATGTGGCGCCGAGCCCTGCATGCTGATGCTGCATTCAGCCCTTTGCATAGCGTTATTGATTCTGCAGCAGGAAAGCCTTGTTTAAGTGCAAGGAGCAGGGCTTGCCTGGAGTCAGCAGAATTTAGCAGCGGGCACAATCAGGGCAGGCATGGCAGAGAGGGGTCATCGGCCCTTGCATAGCAGGGCCAAGGGATGGTGCCAGGGTTGGGGCGGCTCCCCCCTCGTCTCCTGTCGCTGCCGTGCAGGGGAACCCTGGCCCTGGCTGCCCACAGCGTGGTCTGTGTGTGGATGTGCCTGAAAAGCAACACCAGGCCCCAGGCTGAGCTCCGTGCAGCCCACCGGCGAGCAGGGTGGGATGGGGAGACCGGCTCAGCCAGGAGGATGGCTCCTTGTGCCCCCTTTCTAACTCCTCTGCATCTCTGCTCTTGCTCTCTGTGCTTGCGGCAGCACCCACAGGACTGGGCATGGAGGTCATGGCTCCTGCCACCATCAATGCCTTGAATGGCTCCTCCGTGAAGCTCTCCTGCACCTTCAACTCCTGCTACAAGGTGGAGAACAAGCAGTTCTCCCTCAACTGGACGTACCAGGAGTGCAGTAACTGCTCCGAGGAGCTGGTGAGTCTCACCGGGGCTGGGGGGTCTGCTGAGCAGTCCTGAGACCAGCTTGAAGTGGTCGTGCATGTTCCTTGGGGTCCCGAGCTTTCTCCTGATGTGTTCCCCTGTGATCCGGCCCTCCTTCGCCACGGGGAAAATTAGCAACTGACTGGGTAAAGAGCCGGCGGTCAGGGCAGCTGCCCCGGCATGGCAGGACAGGCAGGCGTGCGTGGGGAGAGGCTGCGAGCAGACCCCGTCGCTGGGCGCTGCGGTGGCCAGAGCTGAGCCGGGGCAGGGCTGCTCGGGGGCGAGCGTGCGGCGGGGGGGCACACCCGGGGCGGTACGTGCCAGGGAGGGGGATGCCCGGCTGGGGAAGGCGAGTGCGTGGGGTGCCAAGCACTGTCTCACCTCCTCTCCCACGCGGGGGGCTGCCCAGTTCCTGCAGTTCCGGATGAAGATCATGAATAAGCAGCTGGACCGCTTTGGGAACCGGGTGGAGTTCACGGGGAACCCCACCAAGTACGATGTGTCCTTCACCCTCAAAAATGTGCAGCTGGAGGACGAGGGCACCTACAATTGCTATGTCCTGAACCCCCCGGACCGGCAGCGGGGCCACGCCAGCATCAGCCTGAAGGTGCTCACCAAAGGTAAGTGGTAGAGTGGTGTTCCCTCTGCTGTCAGGCACCCATGGGTGCTGGCTGGCTCCCTGCTCCGCCCCGTGCCCTGCCTTCACCCTGCATTGCGTGTGCAGGGTTTGCTCCCCGTTGCTCCCCCGGCTGCCCCAGGCACAGGCTGTGTGCCCTGAGCCCGTGCCCTGTCTCCCCAGAGCCCCCAAAGCACGACTCAACGGTGGCTGTCATCGTGGGCGCCTCTGTAGGAGGCTTCTTGGCCGTGGTGATCCTGGTGCTGATGGTGGTGAAATGCGTGCGCCGGAAAAAGCAGCAGAGGCTGAACACGGATGACCAGAAGACGGAGGAGGAAGGGAAGACAGATGGCGAAGGCAACCCGGATGAGGGCACCAAGTAACGGCCCCCTGCCCACCCCTCCCTCTTCACCCCTGTACAGCGTGACCCCCTTGATGTGCTTCCCAGAGCGAGGATTTCTGTCTCCCCAGAGCATCCCTCCTTCCATCTAAATACCCAAGCCAGCCTGGAGCAGGGCGCGGAGAGAAGGTGGTCCCCGGAGCCTGGCCGCCCCGGGCAGGGCTGGGGGGGTGGCTGAAGTGCACCGAGGCTGCCCCTGGGGCTGAGCTGGGACCGGCTTGTCCCCTGCTCCCGCTGGGCACGCTGAGAGCCAGAGCACTGTGAGGGACCATGGAGGGGTGTTGGGGACGGGGTGGAACTGGAAAGGGGGGACGAGCGCGGTCCCCATGCACAGAGGGGCTGGAGCAGGGGGTGCCAGGAGGGGCAGAGTGGGGCTGGGCAGCCCCATGCCCAGATATCTGCACCCTGTCCCACTAGAATAAGAGAGCAGGGGCCAGCGGCCAGCAGCCATCTGCCCTGAGGGCCACGTCTCACCCCCGAGGCGCCTCTGCTGTGCCCGGGGCACGGACACTGGTGTACCCGTCCCCGAGGGATCCCCCATAGCTGCCCGTCTCCTCCTTGCAAGCCCTGTGTGCCAGCACTGAGGGTGCTGTGACAAGAAGTTTGTGCTCCTTAGGGACTGTCCCAGTCTGCTCAGAAGCTGGTGGCCGGGTAAATACCATGAGCCCACGTGCTGTCTCTGAGCTTTGCTGGTTTCTGGAGCCGCTAATGGCTCCTGGTGTGTAATGGATGTACCCTTCTGCCTCTTGGGCTATTTTTGGGCCTGAGCATCTCAAGCAAAGGTGCTGGGCTGACTTTTTTGTGCTTTTTTCCTTCTTGGGAAGGGTAATTCTAATGGAAAATGTTCTGCTGATGTGCCAAACCGAGGTGGTGGGGAGCAGCTGCTAGGGACAAAGAGCTGCTGGGAGGAAGCGGAGTTTTGGGGCGCTTGCTGGGAAGGACTGGGCCCAACCGCAGGCCCAGAGGCAGGACAGCTCTGTCACACCCCCCCGCGCAACCCTGCGATGCCGAGGCTGCCTCCTCCAGCCTCCCTGCAGAGCACTGCACAATCCGTAACCGCCACGGCAATGCGCTGCCAGCCCGCCCGGCCGCGGCCCTGCAGTGCCGGCTGCCGCCCGCCTCAGCCCCCTCCACGGTCCGGCGCCTGCCCCGCTTGCAGCAGCTCCCCCGGCGCACCCCGGGAGCTGCCCCGCGCGCTCTGCGCTCCCCTCCGAGCAGCGGCCCGGGCAGCTCGGGGGGGCAAGGGCAGGCGCGAGCGAGCGGTCATCGCGCCTGGTCCCACCCTGCCGCAGGGCAGGGGTGCAGAGAGCCCCAGGGATCGGGGCCGGCGGTTCTGCCTGTCTCGGGCTTGCCGCCTGGCCTTGGGCAAGCCCCTTGCCTCCTGCGCCAGGCTGGTGGGTGAGCTGTGCCTGGCTGCAGTGCGGGGAGCTCGCCCCGGGGCCTCTTCTGGGTCAGACTGGGAAAATGACCCGGGGAAGTGTCCCCTGCCACACCGTGCCCGGGCTTTTCTTCTCCCGTGGCAGGCAGGACGTGGGGCAGGAGAGGGGCCATGCACGGAGCCCCTGAGGCACTGCCCAGGTGACAGCGGTCCCCTGTCACCACGAGCAGCACTGCCAGGGGAGCAGGGAGACCTTTGCCACAGCACCCGCCGCCCAGCGCTGCCGCGTCCCTGCGTGGGTCCCGTCCTGGCCATGCCGCCAGGCCCCGGGGATGAAGGGATGGCCGTGTGCTCCCTGCTCTGCCCCCATCGCTTTCTGCCCCGGCCCCGTGTGCCCTCTCCACCCCGCTCCACCTCGCTGGGCTCCGCGCCGCTCCCCTTCCCCTCTGCAGCAGGAATGCGCCGTGTCTGCCGTGCGGCTTCCCCCTCTTCCCACCGGCTTGGCTGCGCGGGGAGGGCTGGGCTGAGGCTGCCTGCCCCCGCGCACCCCCACGCCGGACGGCTTTGCCCGGGCAGTGCCGGTGGGGAGCCGGCCGCAAGGCTGGTTCCCCGGGGCCGCTGCTGCTCGAGGCTGGGCTGCGTGCGGCTCCACGCGGGACTGAGCTGGCAACTCCGCGGCCAGAGGCCTCCGACTGCTGCACAAGAGCAGCCTTGCATCTGCCTTTCATTTCTTTCATGCACTATCCTTGGATTGCAACTTGCCAATGCATCTGTATGTACATAGCTGTACACAACAGAGAGAATCTCTAAAAATATATATATACACACAGGAGGCGCTGTTATCCGTCATGACTATAGTTTTGGGTTTGCGCCTTCCGATGGGTTTCTTCTGCCAAGCACTCTGCTGAGTGTAGGATGTTTTTATTGCTCTTTGTACAGTTAAACGAACAAAAGAACAACAAAACACAAACTTTGCACTCGACGCTTTTGTGCTGCTGCTGCCTGCTGGAGGGGCAGGACAGGGTCCCCTGTCTCTGCCCTGCCCGTGTGTCTGGCCGGGGGGATGAGAAGGCTCCTGTGTGCCCGGAGCTCGGTCCCGCCGAGGCAGCAGGTTTGCTTTGGGTGCCGAGGGACCCAGGGCAGCCGCCGCAGGGGCAGGTACCGGCAGGGCAGTGCTGGGGGCGGGCGAGTGGCTGGTGCTGCCCGAGCCCTCACGCCCCCAGATTTCAGAGGTGCTCTGCACGGGCTGCAGGAGCTCCGGCTGTACTCCAGGGAGCTGCGCCTTGCCGACTTCCCCACCTCTGCTCCACAGCGAGCTGGGGACGGCGGCTGCTCGGGGCACGGCAGGTAAGGCTCAGCAGGCTCCAGCGGAGCCCAGGGCATGCGCCGGGCAATCGGCGCTCTTAACCCAGCCGCTGTCCATCCTCACAATCCATCAACGCGGTGCAGTTACACCAGAGCAGTGCAGCACTACCAGGGCAGAGCTAACAGGCACATCCATCAATTTACCCACCGTGGAGACACGAGGGTGAGGGGAGCTCTGACAGCCACCCTGAGCTGTGCCTCTCCCCGCTGCCCTTCAGCTGGGGCCGCCGAATGCCTGCGCATCCCAAGTCCGCACGCAAGCAAGGTCTGGCCGGCGCACACCACCCCTACACACCTACGACTGCCTCTTTCCTGGGCTAACGCTGCCGGCCTGGCCTGCCCAGCAACCCCACCTCGCTCAGCCTACGGCCGCTCCGAGCAGCGGGGTGACAGCCAGCAGCCCCAGCAGCCCCAGCTCTTCCCAGTGCCGCCTGCCTGGCCCCGGCGCTGCGCTCTGCACCCCTCGCGTGTGCCCGCGGGGTTAACTCTGCGGAAAGCTCCCACCTCCCCGCAGGCAGCTCTCCCCGCCCTCCTCGGGAGGAAGGACACCAAAATCACCTCTGATGCCCTCCACTGTCACAGTCCTACAGCACCGGGCTGGTGCTGGGGTACAGCCCAGCCAGGCTGCAACTGGTACCTGGCCCACGGCCGGGAACAGCTTCGCTGCTGCAGGAAGGAGCAGCTCTGGAGGAGGGCGGTCGGCTTTCTGCCCTGCCAGCTTCAGGGGGAGTCAGCGGAATGCAGCCATAGGCAAAGGGGACGGGGGACCCACAGGTTGGCCGTTTGGGGACGCCTCTGGGAGAGTCACTAGCGAGAAACGCGTGAGGAAGGCAGGCACTGTGGGATCACGGAGGAGAGCCCTGCGGGACACGACGAGGGTGAGTTTTCATCACTGCAAGGGACCGAGGGCAGTGACTGCAACCCTCCCAGCGCCAGGGTGTCATGAATCCTCCAGAACCAGGGACAGTCCCTTGTACAGACGGTATAAATTTCCTTGGACCAGGTGGGATTAGAGATGTTGAAGAGCAGGTGGGGAGATGGCGGGGACCTCAGCTCAGTGCTGTGCAGAGAGCCCCGGGGGACTGCTGGGGTGCCTCAGGGGGTCCCTGGGAGGGAATGCCGGGGAGCTGAGGGGTGTGAAGGGCAGCACTGGGGAGCTGAGGCTGGAGCTGGGGAGGGTCCGGTGGAGGTGGCCTCAGGCTGTGCCAGGTCAGGAAGAAACTTTCTCCTGGGACACTGAGGGTTGCCTCAGTGTTTCCTGCAGATGCCTCTGCAGCGGCTGCCGAGGGACATTGTTCCTCTTTCCCTGCTTGTGTTAAAGGACCCGTGAAAGGGGGCAGGGAACCTGCCCGCCCCAGAGGGCAGCCAGCTCTGCTGGCGGGTGCAGAGGAGGCAGCCGGCAGGTCGGCTCTGCGCAGGGAGAAGGAGCCAGGAAGAGGGGAAAAGAGGGGAAAGCATTGCTCCAAGGGAGAGCTGCAGGCAAGGGAGGGCTGAGAATGACAAAGGCAGCCAAGCACTCACCCGCAGTCCGAGTCCCGGGGACCTCTCACTCAGCTCCCAGCCAGGCGTGCCTGGCCCAGCCAGGACGGTTCTGCGGAGTGTCTGATCGCTGCGAGTGCCTCCTGCCCGCTGCCGGCTCCCGGGCTGCCAGGCCACCTTGTCTTTTAAAGGTCACAGTCAGAGGACCTTGCAGTAAATATAAGGTGCTGATGGGAAGCTCTGTTCCAGCGTCGCCACCTTCTCCGTCGGCAGCAGGGCTCTGCCTGCTCGTGGTCCGGGAGCCCAGCATCCCTTGGCTCTGGGAGGTTTGGGAGGGGGCCAGGACTGTCCTCCCGTTGCTGCTGGGAGCGGGGCTGGGGCTGCCTGGGCAGGATGCTCCGGGGCAGCGGGGGCCAGCGCTGTACCTGCTGCACTGAGCTGGGAGGCTGCAGCCCAACTGCTTTGCTCAGCCCTACCCTGCTCCATACCCACGTGGAGGGAAGCAGGAGCCCTCCTCGGAGAGCAGCCCGGCATTTTAACCCTCCCAGCTCCGCTAGTGCAAGCTGAGAGGGAGTGAGGGGTACACAGGGGCCTGGCAGCCGCTGTGACTCCCCCGGCATGCTGCAAGCCAGCTGGTAGGACCCCCAAGCCCTTCTTCCTGTCCCCCCTGGGAGGTGACTGTCCAAGTAGAGGGTGCTCACTTTCCCTGAAACCAGACACAGCAGCCTTGTGCTGGACTCAGCAAAACAGGTTTCCGCTGAGCCGCAGTATCCCCGGGTCCCATGCCGGACACCTCAGCATCGTGCCAAAATCCCAGGGCCAGCTGCTGTGAGTGCCCTTCCCGGCCGTGGCACACAGCCCTCACTGAGGCCGGGCTGCAGGAGAGCAGAGCTTTTCCCAGGCCCGCGGCAGCGGCAGATGTCTCGTGAGATCCGTCGACCGAGGAGACGGGCCGGGGCTGCCAAGTGTGACAGCTCCATCAGGCTCCTGTGACAGGGAGCATCCCTCTCTGAGCCCTGGGGCTGCGTGGCCAGGGGGGCACGGCTGGCTCTGGGCACGCAGTGGGACTGGGCAGCATGACCCCAGGCTCGCTGCCCCTGCAGAGATGCTCTGCAGGGAGACAGTGGCCGCAGGGGCACGTCACTGCGGAAGAAGCTGGGTACCCGCCTGCCCAGCACACCCGGTCTGTGCCCACAGGAGCCCTTTCGTATTTACTGGCTGACGCTCCCAGCTGGGTGGTGCTGCTACTCCCAACTTCCCTGCTTCCAAAAGGATTTAGGGCTCTGCCGGGGGGTTCACAGTGGCAGTTTGGCCAAACCCATCCCAATTTTACCCACCTTTTTGGAAGCAAACTTGGCAGACACCTGAGCATCCCGGGAAGGAGTCTTCCACAGGTAATGGCCTTTCCCTGCACCAGGGTATGGGCTCTACTGTTTCAGGTCCCCAGTGCTGCGGGTCTCTGTGGTCCTGGAGGGTCCAGCCTCTGCCTCACCTGCCCCCCTGCTTCAGCACCTGTGACTGTGGCCCTAGCAGCCATCATGCAGCCTTGCAGGGGTGACAGGCACCCCTCCACCCCTTCTGCCAAGCTGCTCCTCAGAGGTGTGCCACCCCTCTCACAATTAGTGAGGTTCCAGCAGATGCAGCGCTCCTCCTGCCTCGGCACACAGCTTGCCTGCTCACCGAGCCGGATCCATCACCGAGCCGTACCCATCACCGAGCTGTAGCCATCACAGCCGCTCGCCCAGACACCTTCTGCCGCATCAGCAGTACTGTCCAGGCCACTCCTGCAGCGCCAGCTGCCAGCGCTGCCCAGCCCGCTCTGCCTGTACTGTTCCTGTCTGTTGCCAGCTCTGCAGCCCTAACTCCTCAACCCACAGGCACTGCTGGCATCTTCTCAGGGTCCCCTGGGACGCCCCCGTGCCCTGCAAAGCCTCCTGCTTTCCTTCTTCCCTCCTGCTTCTTGCTCCTGGCCAGGTGGGAATGAGAGTGAGCTGCGAAGGGGGTGGGAGTGGGGCTGAGGAGTCTCTCAAAGTGCCTTGGGGATGAGGGGCCGTGGCACCCCGGCCATGCAGACAGGGCCTTAGGCAGGCATCCCTGCGGGCAAGCTGCCCTGACACCCGAAAAAAAAACCATCCTGTTTGGGGAAGCTGTAACGCTGTACCCAGCAAGGGGGCTACAGCCTCGCCTGGCCCCGCGGGGTGAGCTTTGCTGGGACACCAGCCTTGTGCCAGCAAGAACTGCAGCCCCGGAGGAACGGTCAGTGCTGTTCCTGCACCACGAGCACGGCAGCACCTCCTCCCCCTTCCCGCCATGCCCGCTCTCAGGATGCATCACCCCCAGCAAATTGCTGCTCTGCGCAGAGGTCTGGCCGACTAATGGATCTGGGCGCAAAGGTAAGGCTCTATCTTTGCACGCCACATCACCGGGGGCCTCCATTAGGAGGGGCCCTGCCACCGCCCTTTGGGATGCGGTCTGCTGAAGGTTAAGGCTAGTGGCTGTGACGCTGACAAAAAGGTTGCGGAGCCGTGACCCTATGTGCAGCCAATTATCCTGGAAGAAGCTCACAGTGAGAAAAACAAGTTTTCCAAGTGTTCTCTCTGGCGCCGGGCGGATTGCCCCCGCAGCCTTGCCCACCGCTTCCCAGCTCTGTGTCCCCACCCGCGGCCGCAGAGCTGTCGGCGGTCTGCCCTGGGGCCGGGGGGGTGCCGGCAGCCGCATGGGGACAGCGGGCAGGGGGACTGGGGGTGTCACCCTGCCGCGGCGCTCCGGACGGGAGCTGAGCCCCAGCCTCGGCCCGTTTTGCGTCCTCCCGGCAGCGGCGGGGGAAGCCACCAGCCCCGCGCTCCCGAGGAGTGTGTGTGTGTGTGTGTGTGGGGGGGTCCTCGCTGTCGGGGCCGAGCCCCGCGTGGGGGCACCCAAAGGGGCGACCCTGGGGAGCTGGGCTGGCGTGGGGGCGTGCGGGACGGGGCGGGGCGGGAGGATGCGCGGAGGGGGTGGGAAGGGGGGGGGGGGGCGCGGAGGAGCGCGGAGGAGGGCGCAGCGCGGCCCCGCCCGGCGCGGTTCCACCCGGCGCCGCTCGCCCTCCGCGGGGGCGGCCAGAGGCGGGCCGCTGCGGGCCGGCACCGGGCGGACCGCAGCCATGGCCCCGGGCTCGCCCGCCGCCCGCCGCCGCGCCGCGCCGCGCCTGCTGCCCGCGCTGCTGGGTAAGGGCTGCGGGGGGTGAGGGGGGTGCGGGACCCGCTCCGCCCCGGGCACCGCCGGCATCCTCCTGCCCCCCCCCCCCCCCCCCCCCCCGCCGCGCCCTGGGGACCCTCGGGCACCTCCGGCAGCCCGCTGCGGGGTGGCACCGCGGGGTGCCCCCGGCTGCCAGACGCCCCTTCGTCTTCCCGAAGCGGGGTGACCCTTGCTAAGTCGCCCCCCCCACCCCCTCCCGCACCCCCCCCGTTCGCGCTCTGCTGCTTCGCATCTGGCCCGCCTGCACCGCAAGGCATCGGACGCCGCTGCTCGGATGAATTTCCCGTCCACGGGCGCTAATGCAGTTATCTCTGCTCCGCAGCCGGAGAGTCCAAAGCACTGTGGATAAGTGACTTGTCCAAGGTGACTTCGCAGCCGAGTCCGAGAGCGGACGCTGAAGTCCTGGCTCCGGCCCCTGCCCTGCCTGCATCAGTCGCTAACATCGCCAGAGCTTTCTTCTGTGAGCACTGCGGCTGCATCCCGCTTTGCCCTGCTCCGCTCTGCTGCTCTGTGAGCAGGGACCGTGGCTACCTGCCTGCTAACGTGAACTGGGGAAGTAGCTGTAGGGAAGCCATGCACTGCTTCAACACGGCCGCCAGCACGCCTGCCGACAGGTCATTCTTTTTACAGTTCAGTTTGTAAAACAACCATCTGCATGCGCTTCTCCCCGGCACGGGGATGACCCCATGCTGCAGGGCCGCTGCTTGACGTCCAGACCTGTGGCCGGGGATGCCCGAGACCCCCTGGCTGCACGGCAGAGGAAGGGGTTGAGGGGTTCGCAGCCGTCCCCTCCCCAGTGCAGCCCCTGGGGCCGGTTCTGAGCCGCCCGCATCAGCCCGCGCGCACCGGCTGCACTTCTGCTCGTGTAGGTGATCCGTGTGTCAGCGGGCACAGAGAGCCTGAAACCGAGCACTGCCTTTGCAGCACTTGCTGTTGGGAAGCTCCCTTGTGAGGTGTTTTAGAGGGTATAGTTCTTAAGCTTGTTTTAAGTGAGCTGGAGACACGAAAAGACACGTAAGTACCTGACTCCCTGCAGGATTTGGGGGCTGGTACGTGGTTGAAAGTGCCTTCTCCGATTGATGCAGTGCGAGCTGCTTTCAGCACGGGGCTGGCAGTGGGGTGGTGGGAGGGACTCGGGGATGCTGCAGACCAGGGCACTTGCGGGTCCGGGATCCCGGGCGTGGAGGTGGGAACCTTGTCCCCCAGGTCGCGCAGGTGGGCTGGGAGCCTGGCAGGGGAGGTGGGAAGAGGAGGGCGTCTGGGCAGGACTGTGCCTTTTGGGGATGCCCTGCTCTCCAGGGACTGGCAGCGGGCTCCTGCCTGCACCAGGGAGCCACAGCACAGCTTTTCCATCCATGCGCACGGGAAGGGTGAGGCCCGTGTGTCTTGTCCCAGGGCACCTCGTGCCTGGGCTGGGAGCTCCTCGTTCTCGGCGGAGAGGAGCCTGGCCAGCCCGCCAGGCAAGGCTTGCTGCCTGCGCCAGGAGGTCACCGGCTTTTATGGGCGCTGAAAGTTTTTGTAGAACAGCTTTCTGACAGATGGCTGAGGTGTCCCGTGGCTTTCAGGTGCATCCTGTGTGCCCTTGCCATTAGGGCTGCGGTTCCCAGACTGGGTTTCTGGGAGCGGATAGGCTGGCTCGGGACGCTGGCCTGGGCTGGAGGGCTGTCGCTGCTGGGGCTGGGTCCACGCTGCTGGGCATGGCTCGGTGGCTCTGGGAGCCCTGGTCTGGGGCGGGGGCTGGCCCGCGGGGCTCACCCTCTGCCAGAGCAGAGAGCAGGCAGGCAGGGCTCTGGCCGCAGCAGGAGGGGCTGCTCTCTGGCTGCCTTTCCCTGTCTTTTGGGGAAAGCTTGTGCCTGCAGGCGTGGGAGGGGGCCTGCAGCCCCTAGAGAGGCTTGCCCTGTGCCCTGAGGGTTGGGGCAAAGTGCAGCAGCTTTGGGCAGAGAGAAAAGTAACAGTGGCAGGTGGTGTGGCAGGTTCAGTCAGTAATCTCCCAGCCTCCCAACTGTTTTCCTCTGTGCTTTATTTAGTGGTAACGTATCAAGTCTGTCTTCCTGAAACCACAGCATGACAGGAACAAGATCAGCCTCCATTTACCCCACACATTCAATTCAGATTACGTTCATGACCTTATAGCGGTGGCAGACAGGATTAAAAGTGTTATAAGGTGCGAGGAATCGTCTTTCCTGTAAGTAACTGTCTGCTTGCAGCACCCTGCCTGCTCAGGCATACCTGCAGAGGCGGGCATCCTCTGCTAAATCTTACTCCAGGTAGCAGCACGATTCCCTCGCGGCACTCCTGGCTGCGAGCTCTCCTCTGTAGCATCCCCAGGGCTGGTTTCTGAGCCTGACAACTGCGGGAGACCTCCATCTGGTGGGAACCACTCCCTAACGTTAGCTGAAGCCTCTCGAGCAAAATGAAAAGCGCTTCTTTGTAAAGTCAGATAACTCCTTCCCTGCAGTGCTTGCAATGCAGCACTGCAGCAGGGCCCGAAGCCCAGGATGCAGGGCTCTCAGGCTTGGCTTGGGCTGCGACGTGCCTGGGGAGTTGTTAACACGGGCATGTGTGGGAGAATAAATCAGCAGCTGAGGCGGCTGCAGAGAGACACGAATATGAAGCTGAGGGCAGTGTATCCAAGTTAAGGCGGCAGTGGAGCTGGGGGCCAGCTTGTAGCTGTGGGAAGAGCTCTGTGCCCCCTATTTCGGTTCTCCCTGTGCCCAGGGAAAGCTGTGTAGGGATGGCTGAGTCCCTTTGGTGGCTGAGGTCTGGGAAAGGGGAGGACAATGTTTTGCTGGGTGGTATCACATCTTGGCCATACCCCATCGTACAAGCAGGGCGGGGCCCCGCTGGGATGGGGATGGGGAGTGGGGCTGCTCCCCCCGGCCCGGAGCGGACGGTTCATGTGGACACTGCTGACCCAGCACAGGGGTGCGGAGCCAGTCCCCTGTGTGGGACCCCGGGAGCTTCCAGGCATGCCCTCGGCTCTTGTACCTGCTCCTCGACGCATTTCTCCCTGCTGGCAGCGGGGAGAGGAGCGGCAGAGCCGCGTTCTGCAGTTTGAAGGTCATCCCTCAGCTGCAGCGGGAGCCGAAGCTCCCGGCGAGGCAGGCGTGAGGGGGTGCCGCTCCGGAGGCGTGGGGGGACGGGCGACGTGCCAGGCGGCCGGGGCAGCAGTGCTCATTAGTGCTCCAGCTCCCCGCTTGAAGAACAGAGCGCTCTGCTTTGCTTAGGGCTTTTTTTTCCCCCCCCCCCCCGCTTTAAGGTCTAGCTGAAGGCCTTGTGGATAACGTGCAAATCAGGGCTTTCATTTGCATACTTTATTCGTGGTGATATTATGGTTCCCTTTGAATCCCTGCTGTCTCTGGGTGCCAGCCAGCCCCTGCTGTTCCTCCAGGAGCAGGTCCCCTGTCTCTGCCGAGCTGTCCTGGGGCTGGGCGCGTTTGCTCCGGCCGTGGCAGCCCCCGGGAATGAAGGGAACGAGGGGTAACAGACCCGTCCCTGGGCTGCGGGAGGACAGGAGAGCTGGGCTCGTGCCCCCCGTGCTGAGGCTGTGAGGAGGAGGAGGAGGATGCCGTGGGTCCCTGTTGGAGCCGGGAGCAGGACCTCGGGGCGGGGGCGATGGCTGAGCCCCCCACGTGCTCCCCGGGAGGGGATCCCCGCTCTGGCTGGTGCTCCAGCTGGAGGCCGGGGAGCAGTGGGGAAGCAGTGGTCCCTCCCACGCACCTTTCTCCTCCTTGTCCCCTCCGCCCCGAGGGCGCAGGTGGGCAGCAGAGCCCCGCAGCAGGCTGGGCTGCGTGCCCGCGCCGTGTCCTCACGCTCTCCTCCCCTCTCCCTGCCAGGTTTGCACGTCTTCGCCATCGCCTTCGCCTTGGAGGTGTCGGTGGGGAAGACCAACACTGTGATGGCTCTGAATAACTCCAACGTCCTACTGCCCTGCACCTTCACCACCTGCATAGGCTTTCAGGACCTGGTCTTCACATGGTATTTCAACTTGACAGAGATGGTGGGTTGCTCTCTGGGCTTCGCCTGTTTTCCTGGCAGGTCCTTTTGTACTTTCCCAGTGCAGACCAGCACTGCAGTCCTCCCAGAGTTCCCTTTCTCCCCTTGCAGGATGCCCATGGCTCCAAGCGTCTCTAGCTTGGGGGGACAGGGCTGTGCAAACTGGGTGACTCAAATACCCTGGCACATCTGTGCTTTTGGCACAAACCTGTTCTGCATTTTCTGCTGCCCACAGGCTCATTTCTTCTCAGAAATCCATCATAAACTGGCTGCTCAGGTGCAAGGCTACACTTTGGGCAAAATATGGTTAATTTTCCCCTCCTGCACTAGCTCTGAAATACTAAAGGTTCTGTATAGATTTGCTCTCTGCTGGGAATATTCTGCTCTTAAACTCCTGAGCAGGTCTGTCCTCGCAGACTGGTCAGCCCTGGCCGGCCCTAGAGCAAAGGGACTTTCTCTGCCCTGGGGTTCTCCCGTATTTTGTGTGGTCTGTAACATCACTGCAGGGCAAGTCAGATTGATCTGTTGCTTCCCCACGGGCTGCGCATCAGGTCCCCCTCCACGGCCATCCCTGCTTTAATGGGGTGTGCGGGGACGCTCGGCCCGGCGTGGCTGTGCGTGCAGAGGTGGGGCAGGAAAACTCAAGCCTTTCCCTCACGGGGGTTGTCGGGAGCCCAGCTGACCCCGCGTCCTGAATCCCTGCCTCTGCAGATTTACCATGGCAAGATAAAGAGCAAAGCCTCGGAGCCCTTCCTGGTGGGACGCAACCCCCGGGTCGAGTTCGTCGGCTCGACGACTGGAAAGGACAACAACATCTCCATCGTCCTGAAGAATGTGGAGTTCAGCGATGCTGGGAGATACACCTGCCACGTCAAGAACCCCAAGGAGAAGAACGCGCAGCACAACGCCACCATCTATCTCACGGTGGTCCAAAAGAGTAAGTGCAACCCCGCGAGTGGCACGGCAGCGGGGGTGCACACCTGCGCCGGCCCCACCTCGGCTCCTGGCTGTGGCAGTGCACGGGGTGTCCTGGCTTCTCGGAGGTAGCTGCCATCCCTGAAGGGCAGGGCTTGGCCTCGAGCCCCTCTGTGGAGGGGGTCGCTGCCTTTTCGGGGGGTGGCTGTGCAGCTGGGAGCTCCCTGCTCCCCTACTGAGGCCCCTCAGCACCTTCTCTCCTGCAGTGGTGGAGGCAGACAACACTGTGACGCTCATCATCGTGTGCATTGTGGGGGGGCTCATCGGCCTCCTCATCCTCTTCATGCTCATCAAGAGGGTGGTCCTGTTCATCATCAAGAAGACCCAGGATGGGAAGTGAGTTCGGGTGCCGGTCCCGGCGCCCTTCGGTGGGTGCTGCCGTGGGGCAGGGGTTGTGGTGAGAGGGGCCAGGGCAGGGGCTGAGGGCTGTCAGCAGGCTGTGTGTCCTCCCCCAGGAAGGAGTGTCTCGTGAGCTCGTCGGGGAACGACAACACCGAGAACGGCTTGGCTGGCTCCAAGGCGGAACAAAAAGCACCCCCAAAGGCATGAAGCAGCGGCGCTCCGAGCCCCGGCCCGCCCAGCAGCGGGGAGGGTGGGCAGGGGGACAAGCCTTTCCCTTTTGTTTTCTTGCCAAACTGCCAACGCTTGAGACATGTTTCTATTACACACGTGCCTGCAACCTGCACTGCTTCTCGGAAAAGACTTCGGCTGCCGTGGGGACTGGGAGCTTCTTGCGGACTTGGTCTGGGACGCTGCCGGGATGGAGGGAGCCGCCTGCTCCGCTCTGAGCGAAGGCAAGAGGGTGCCAGGCGGGCAGGGAGGGGGCTGGGTGCTGGGGAGTACCCGGTCTGCAGCCGGGGGTGCAGGCTGGTGGGCGGCCAGGGCTCCCGGCACGCCTGGGGGGTAGAGGCTGCGAGCAGCTTGGGGTGTCTTGTCTGACTCTGGCAGTGCTGAGCCGGCACGGGCAGGAGCTGCCTGCTGCATGCTGAAGGTTTCTGGAGCAGAGCAAGGCTGCACGAAACTCGCCGTAGAGACAGAGGCTGCTGCCTTCGCTGCGTTTCTCAAGGGTCCGGCACGGGAGGAAGGGAGGAAGCAGGGCTGTTGTGATGGGGCTGGGGTTCAGCTCTCCCCTTCAGCTTGAGAACCAAACCAGTGAAAGACCGGTTGCTGTCAGGGCTGTCATCTCCTCCCAGTAAGAGCTGGGCGCCGTGCTCCCGCCGGGCGAGCTGGCCCCGGGGTGCCTCGGTTTCCCCTGTGGCAGGGCTGGGGGGCAAAGCGGCCGGGGCTGGCCCTGTCGCGGGGTCGCTGCCGGCCCGTCCCAGGAGCACGGCGGGGTGAAGCTCCACGGTTCGCACCCGCTTTGCCCCCGCCCAGGGCCACCCCCTGGGGGCAGCGGGGGGCTTCTCCCCAGGGGAAGCCTTCTGGGGAGGCGCTCCCTGGGTTCCTGCTGCTGCTGCTCTCGCTCCTCCTCCCCTCCTTTTAAAGCTCGGCACTTAGAGCAGCGATGCTTTCGGTGCCGACTCACCAAGGCTTAACTCGTTATGCAGATGTTTTTTATATTAGACTCCAGTGGGAAAACGGCTGTTTGCGTTTCCCTTCCACCTGAGGAAAACCGTGGCACTCCATCCGCGATGCAGGGAGGGAGCACGGTCGAGCTCTGGCGAGGAGAGCCGGGCTGGGGCTGCGCCAGCCCGCTCCTGGGCCTGCCACCGCCCTGCCGGGTGACCTTGGGCAAGTCGCTCTGCCTCTCCATGCCTCAGTTTCCCCGTCTGTAAAATGGGGATAATAATACTGCTCTACCTCACAGGGGTGGTTGTGAGGCTTCCTTGGCTAACATTTGTAAAGTGCTTTGAGATCCTCAGGTGAGGGCTGCCACAGAAAGTCAGAGGGTCTTTGCGAAGGGTACCCGCAGCGGGGACTCGGGCAACCCAGCCCCCTTCCCAAGGGCTGTAGTAGGATGTGAGACATGAAGGGAATGAGCTGATCCTACAAGTGAAGTTGACAACGTCCTTTACAATGTGATTTGTTCCCTATTTCTCCTCTCTTTGTGGGTGTCTGTCAGTGTAGCTGCAGGACAGGCAGCTCCCCCATCCCCACTCGGAATTGGGAATCAAAGCTGAGCCCTGACTCCCCTGGCTGCAGGCGCTTCTACCCCGACAGAGGTGCCGGAGTGGAAGGCAGGCGAGGGAAGGCCAGGTGCTGCCTTCTGTGGAGACTGTTGTGGGAGGGCTTGGACCCCACCTGCCTGCTCGTGGGGCCTGTGGCACGGGGAGCTCCTTGCAGCCTTCGCCCGGGTGCACGGCCGGCTGGCTGCGCCCAGGCTGGGCGCAGGGGTGCCCGCCGGAGCGGGGCCGTGCGTTTGGGACCGGGGACGGGTCCAGCGCCTGGCCCCGGGCAGGTTTCCTTGGCTGCTGGTTAGACAGGCAGGTGGGAGTCAGGTACCCAGGACCCCAGTCCCCTCTCTGAGGATCCGTGGGACCCTCAGGCAAATCACTTGAGTTCTCTGTGCTTCCGTTTCCCCATCTGTAAAATGGGGACAGTAAATCTGACCTACCTCGCAGGAGGTGTGAGGCTCCCTGCATCGCTTTGCAAAGTGCTCAGAGATCCTGGGGCAAAAGGCACTCTGTAAATGCCAAGTATTGTTAACATGCCATTGTCACGCACGAGAGTCTGGGCAGGAAGGTGTGAGACCTCCCAGTTGCCCCAAGAGACCCCCCAGCCCATCCTTGGAGGAGACCTCCTGTGGGAGACGACAGTGAGGCAAGGAAGGGATTTTTTTAAAGAACTATTTTTAGCTGTCCTAACCTGTTGGCCTTTTTTAGACGGTATCTGGACGCAGTTCCACTTACCACAGGATATGCAATGCTGTACTATGCATGGATTACTCCTTTGGCTTGATGGAAAAAGTCAACGTAACCGGTTTCTGAAATGTAACTCTATACACATACGTGTGCGGGTGCCGTGCGCAGCGCCGGGGGCTCGGGGGAGCAGGCTGGCTCAGGAGCTTGTGCCATCTCCTGTGGGGTCCCTGCTGTCACAAGGGCTTTGGGGGGGTCTGCAGGGGCTTTCCGGGGCAGGTGGGGGAGAAGGCCCTGCCGGAGGTGCGTGCTGCGACAGACACGTATGTGTATAAGCATATATAAATACATGTAGGAGATACCTGCAGAGAAACACAGGATGTGTACAACATGCTGTGTGATGACTTACAGCACATTTTTGCACTGTAGAGGTTTAGTTAGCTTTGCCTTGAATGAAATAAAGTTTGTTTACTAGAGAAACTCGCTGTAGTTGGGGTTGCTGTGGGTGTCTGTTCAGGCCGCCCATGCCTCCTTTGGCGGGCAGTGTTTGCAGGGGGCTCGGCGGGTACCTTGGTGGGTACTCGGTGCGCGACCGCCTGGGAAGCAGGATCCCTCCCTGCCACGTTGCGTGGGAATGGCCCTGATTTCTACCAGGGCCAAAGCTGTGCTAGAAAAAGTTGATTTTTAAATCAAGTGTTTGTTTGTTTGCAATAATTTAAACTGAGCCCAGCTTGTCTGAGTGGCTGAGGTCTGCGCAGCACTTTCTTCCTTGTGTGCAGGAACAGCTTCTTCACAAGAGCCAGCAAACAAACCCTGCCTTGTGCTGGGAGAGCAGCTCCGGCACAGCGTGGGGTCTTGAGGAAAATACCCCTGGCAAGCAAGAGGGACAAAACCTTCAGAGGCTGTGTGAAAAACCAAATACTTTCTTTTAATGGGGGTACTCCACAGCACAAACATTGTGTCTCTCTGTATAACAGTAGTGAGCAAACAGGAGCTTAGCCCCGCAGGAGCCCTCCTGCCACAGCAGGGTCGGTACAGGGCAATAAATTAATCTTTCTCCGGAAGGGAGCTTGAACTGGTCAGATTCCTTCACGGTATCGGTGGCTGTCACTCCGAGCCGCCCTTTGCCTCCTTGGCTGGCCTCTGGCACGCGAAATCACAGCCTGCCAGCGAGGGTTGGGAGGCACCGCTCACCTTCCGTGGCTTGAGATCCATTTCCCAGCAGCTGCCAGAGCCGAGACAGCCAAGCGCGTAGGGACGGGGAGGGAGGCGTGGGGAGAGAGGAGGGACCTGTCCCGGCAGGTCTCAGAGCTCCGACTGGAAGGAGAGAGGGAGAGAAGAGATTGCAAGCTTTGAAAAGGCAGCTGAAACCAGGAGGAAAAGGGTGGTGTGTCCTTCAGGAGCTGGCTTAGCTCCCGCGCAGAGCCCAAGGGGGCTGGCTGCCTGCCTGCAGCCCCGCAGCGATGCTGTGCTCTGCCAGTGCGGATCCCCTCAGTGCAGAGCTGCCGAGGGTGCCCTGACCCTTCCCCGCCGCCCCCCCGAAACCTGCGTGACAGAGCAGCCGTGCGTGTCGCAGCAGCGGTGTCGGCAGCACGGCACTGACCCTCCGGACGGCGTAGATCCAGTCGAGGTAGGCACGGACGCTGGTGTAGACGCCGGGCGTGCTGGGGGTGCCGCAGCCCTGGCCCCAGCTGACGATGCCCACCACCTGCCAGTGCCCCCCCGAGTACAGCAGGGGCCCGCCGCTGTCCCCCTGCGAAGGACAAACCGTCTGAGTGGGGGCTGAGGAGCCCCCGGCACGGTGGGTGCTGGCGCTCACAGCTGTTTCCCAGGAGAACAGCTTTTCCCTGCAAGGGGCTGTTTCACTGACGGGTGCAGACCAACCCCCCTCTTTCTGCAGCAGGACCCCCCACCTGGCAGGTGTCCACCCCGCCTTGGGGCAGGCCGGCACACAGCATCTTCTCGGTGACCTCCCCATGGTAGGCGACCAGGTTGCAGCTCTCCTTGTCTATGAGTTCCACCTCCGCCTGCTGCAGGGTCTCTGACAACGTGCCTGCGTGAAGTGTGGCCGCTCGGAGGGGCCCCCGGGCAAACGGGGAGCCCACCAGCCCGTCTCCTCCTGCGAGCGATGCTGGGGGGGGGCTCTGCCCTCGCCCCTGGGGGCAGCCCCCCGTCACAGCCAGGCACAGCGCTCGCCCCCGTGCTGTCCCACTCACCGTGCTCCCGCGTGTAGCCCCAGCCTATCACCCACAGGGACGTGCCTGGCGCCAGCTCCTCGTCGAAATAGGGCAGGCAGATGGGCTTGCTGCTGTCTGGAAGGGAGAGGTGAGGTGCAGGAGATGGCTGGGCAGGCTCGTGGGGAAGGTGCCCCTGCCCAGACTGGCCGGGGCCACCCCGATCCCCGCTGCGCTCCCGGTAAGGCACCGCTCACATGTGGTCCCCTCGCATCGCTGCTTGGTGCCCAGTGAGCATTGCCTCTTGCTCCGAGGAGGTGTGTGCCTCATCTCACCTGAGACACGCAGGGGAAACCGCAGCTTCACCAGGGCAATGTCATTGTCCTTGGGAGACGTGGGTGTCACCTCAGCCAGGAAGACCTTCTCCACGGCGAGGGTGGCGGTGCCGGAGAGGAGGTTGGAGCCGGCCTTCACGCGCCAGCTCTGAATGACAGGGTTGTTCCTGTGCACAGACGTGCCTGTTACTGCTCCCCTCTTTCCCCTCCACGGCTGCTGCGGGGAGGGACGGCAAAGCCCTGCCTACACGCTGCCCTGCTCAGCATCAGCTGCATTCACCCAAGGGGCACGAAGCCCTGCGCAGACACGTTAATTATGGGACACTTAAGCAACGCGTGGCATAAACCCTGAGGGACGCAGAGCCTCGAGCAGCCGCCCCAGCCCCAGCGCATCGGGGCCGGCTGGCCGGTGCGCTGCAGCGGGAGGGTCGCCGACTCACTTGAAGCAGTGCGCTGCCGTCAGGACCCAGCTGGGGTCGATGATGCTGCCCCCGCAGATGTGCTCCTTCCTGTACTGCAAGCTGACCTGCCACGGCCAAGCCTCGATGGTGGCCGGGCTCCCGCCCAGCACGCGCGGGGTCCTCACGCTCTCCCCGCAGTCTTCTGCCGGGCGGCAGAGCAGCGACAAAGCGACACGATTTAGCTGCGGCAGCGGGGAGAGAAAGCACCCACTCTGCCCTCCTCCATCCTCGGGGGTGAGCGGGGACGGAGGCTCCTGCACCTCCCAGGGAGGGGAGCGCGGTCCAGGTGCCTCACCCCCCTGGGACACTGCCTATGTCACCCCTCCCTGGGACATTTGGCACACCACCTCTAATTTTCTCTTTGCACATCGTCCCCAGGCTTGCTGAAATCGGCTCATCCAGCCCTTGCCTTCTCCAGCACACCAAGCTGATTAGTTTAAGCAGAATAATTCACCAGCAAAAGTCAACCCACCCAGGCAGCAGGTTAAGCCTCCTGGGTGTTTAAACTCTGGGAGGTTTATACTGTCTTAACAAAAAGGCTATCAGTAACTAAATCCAAGTTTTCTCATGCAAACAGTGCGGGAAGTGGGGAAGGCTTGGGCCAGAGCAGAGTCCTCGGGGCCATCACGCCAAGAACTAGGACACATGTTGTAATACTTACTGGAACAAAAGAGCGAAACAACCCATCCAGAGAGGCATTTCCTGGAAGAGGGAGGAAAAGGGCTGGATTCGGTGGAGGAGGGGCTCTGGCTCTGTGGCCAGGCACTGCAGGCTGCCGCGCAGGGCGAGGGGCACGGCGGCCAGCCCTGCACAGCCCCACCACTCACCTGCCCGGCTCCGGCCAGCCCTGCACAGCCCCACCACTCACCTGCCCGGCTCGGGCATCCCCAGGCTGCCGTTGCTCAGCACGACCTCGCGGGGAGGCAGGAGCTGCCCTGCACCCACCTCCACCGCCCGGAAAGTGGGGGTGCTGAAAGACAGGGGGGGCACGGGTCAGCAAGCACACCCTGGGGTGCACAGTCCCAGGCACGCTACCAGCGGGGCACAGATGCTGGGAGAGGACCGGCACTGGTGCCCGAGCACCTCTGGGTGCATGGAAACTTGGTGGGTTAGGCTCAGACTAAGCCAAAGATGGTATAACCCAGCTCCAAAACTTTAGGGACCGAAGCTTTACAAGCAGGTCCTAAATGCTGTCCCGTGGCCCCAGCAAAGAGCTGGTGAGAGAGGGAGGAAGCAGGAGCTTAAGAAGGGAATGTGGACCCTGTGCCAGTGAGCAAGAGAAAGATCCCATAGAAAAAGGGGGCTCCTTGGGACAGGGACACAGGGATGCCAAAAGAGGCAAGTGCCCCAGCCCTGGAGGGATGGGGGGGACTGGCCACTGAGCCCAGGACCAGGGACAGGAGCGTATTGAAGGAAGGGGAACTACTCCCTGCTATTCAGGGAGGCGTGGGGCAGGTAGCTCCCAGGGGACCTCAGGGGTGTCCCTGCAGTTACCTCTTGTGACATCTGTGGCCTGTGCTCAAAGGCTCAGTCCCTGATTTTTTGGAACTGGAAAATACCATCTTGGGCCCAGTCTAGGCTCCTCGAGGAGTCCAAACACCAGAACCAATCTCCTCCTCAGTATACCCCTAACTTAAGTCAAACTTTCCCTCGATCCAGGGCCACTACCAAACACATAGTGCGAACAAACTATTGCCCCAAATCTTGGCTTCAACCAGCCTTAGTTGAATACAGCACTACGAACTTGCTGCTAGCTCGGGGCAGCGCACAAGGAGGGCACAGGTGGGTGATGTGGCGCTTCATCACAGCTGCACAGCATCCACCTCCCCAGCCCAGCACCCGTCCCCACCCAACGGCTGCTCTCCCGGGGCTTTAAAAGGGGCTGTGGTGCCCTGCCCCCCTCCCCAGCTGAGCTCTGCACGGGCCCCAGGAGGGGCTGCAATGATGAGGTGAGCCTGCTGCTGGGGTGGCTGAGAGTCAGCGAGGGGGAGGTGGGAGCAGGGCAGGGTGCCTGTGGGCTGGGGACGGAACGGGGACGCTGAGCACAGTATTGCGCTTACAGGGGAAGCTGCTGCCCAGAGACCACCCAGCTCCTAGGGACATGCGAAGCACTCTGTGTGGCGGGGATGGACCGAGTCCATTAGCGCGGAGCTGTGAGTGCTCTGTAAGTAAGCAGAGCCCTGCTCAGAAAGAGCTTTTATGGGGAGAGGACAGATAAAGCAGGCAAGAGAGGTGTGGAGAAAGCAGCCATATACCTCCTGTAGCCCATCAGTTCGCAGGCTGCTTTTGCCAGCACCATGTTGAAGTGGTCGTGGCAGATGCAGAACCAGGCTCCAGTGTTTCTGTTAAGCACCTGAAGGATGGATCTGTCTTTGGAAACACGGGCTGGAGACAGACACAAAGTCAGCTTTGTCACGGGTGACTTTAGCAGGCGGGGGCTTGCTGCAGCAGCCCAGCCCCTCCGGAGCTCTAGCAGGGTGTCCCGGACTCACCCCCAGCTGGTGGCCCCTCGGGGACCCACTGGGGACAGTTGGCCTCGTCCTCGCCCTGCAGACAGTCCACCTGCCCGTCACACACCTGCGGCAGCGGCACCAGCTTCAGGGGATGCTTGCAGAAGAAGTAGTGGTAATCCAGGTAAACCTTGACTAGAGGGAAAGGGGGAGCTCGGTGCTGAGCTCGTGGTGCTGGCGGGCTCAGGGTTTGCCTGGGGGGGCTCAGCAAGAGGGTGGCAGAGCTGGGCTGAGCCCGGGCTCCGCAGCCGTTTGCTGAGCTGTGGCTGTGCCCAGCAGAGGCAGGAGGAGAGGGGAGAGAGGAGCAGGAGCCGTACCCAGGAACCCGACCGTAACCAGGCAGGCGAGGCTGAGCACCGCTGCCAGGACGGGGATGCCGATCCGCTTGAAGGACTCCAGCGCCGTGGAGGTTTTGCGTCTTGTGCTGGGACCTGCAACACAGAGGAGCGTGGCTCCGTGTCACCAGGCCCAGCCTGGCAGCACCCGTGCCCCCGGCTCCCCCGGGCATTACCTCTGCCATTCAGCCGCTCGGAGGCTAAATCCTGCAAACCAGAGGGGAAAACCAGTTACCCAGGTGAAACCTTGGCCTAAAAGCAGTTGGCAGGCGGGAAGAGTCTGTAGCAGTGTGGCTAGCCGGCGCTTCGCACGCCAGGCGCACAGCTACGTGATCGGGCAGCCCGGAGAAAGTGGAGGATCAGCTAAGCCTGGGCAGGCACAGAGGCTGCTCCTGGGCTTGCCCGAGGACCCCCGAGGAGAATTAGTGGGGAAACTGCCCCAACCTACAGCTTCGGTTGCTTTAGAGCTGCTGGGGATGGAGGCGGCAGCAGGGGGGTAGCATGTCCTGGTGCGATAGCGCTTGGCTCTGCTGTCACCTGGGATCATCGGCGGCGTTGTTCCCATGGACACCACCTGTGCAGTTCCAGCAGCTGGCTATTAATGTCATCGAGTTGCTGCCTTTAATGCACCAGAGGCTTAAGAAGTCATAGGCATTATGAAAGAGGCACTTTCAGATGTGCCAAGGAACCCCGAGTCAAAATAAATGTGCCCTGCAGGGCTGTGCCACCCAGACATGTCACGACTGGGTTTTACTGTTTGGCTGGCCCAGCGTGGGGTCAGGAACCGAGTGGCACAGCCCAAGCCCTCCCGGCAGGCTGCTGGAGAAAGCAGTCTGGCCCCTGGGAACCGGCGCTCTCGGGGCCGGGGGGGGAGGGACGGGCTGTGCCGCTGCTAGGACACACAGTAAACACAGCCCGGGCAGCGGCCGGCGCTGCAGCAAGTGATGGATAGGGCATCCATCCTGCCCGATCGCTTCAGTAGTATTGCCCTGCAATAGCTTCTTGTATGAGAGATGCCCAGCTGCGGCGGGAAAGGTCCCGTGAGCCTCACCAGCCAGCGGCTGCTGAAGGAGCTGCCCCTGTCCTCGGGGTGCAGGTTGGGGCTGGGCGAGGAGCAGAGCCCCTTTGCGGGGGTTTCAGCTGGACACTACGCTTCTGTTGCCCTCTCTTACAGCCAGGCTTCTGCTTCGCAGTCGAGAGCTGATTCCCGGCAGCTTGCGGTTTGAAAGCGTGCTCCTGCCCTGCTGAGGCTGTGGAAAGCAGCACACTTGCTTTTCCCTTGAAAAAGCCTTGAGTGAGCTCTTTTCCTCTGCTGTTGCTTCTGGACTCTCTTGCGACGGGTAAGGTGAGGTTTTTTGCAAGGCCTGCACCCAGCATGAACAGAGGTAAGGAAGATTAAAAACTGCAGTGAACCCCCAGATCCAGGAGCATGAATCAGATAGAACTGTGGGGTTTTAGAAGCCTTTGCTCACGTGGGTGCTGAGCTTTGGGAGCAACACACTTTTTTCCCTGGGCAGCAGAAGGCTGGAGACGATTGCGTTTGTTGTTTTGAGCGAGAGCAGAGGCCCCTGTGCAATCTCAGGGCTCGGAAGTTGAGGCTTTGAGGAACAGCAGTGCGGTGAGACCAGGGATGTGGCAAGGGGCCATGCTCCAGCCCGAGGCTGGTAGGAGGGAGCGGTGCAGCCCTCCCTCTCTGGGTCACTGTGTTTGGGCATGCTTAGCCATGCACAAAGACTCTACCAGCAGGATTTTACAGGCAAGAGCCAAGCGGTTATTTGTGAGTTAACACACAAAGATAGCCTGGATTTAATGTGCTGCTAGCTCAGCGGTCACTGCCCCTCGCCCAGCCAGGAAATGTTGCCTCCCCATCACAGCCCTGCTGCACGGCTTGGGCTGCCGGTTTCGGCTGCTCCCCAGCCTGGGAACAAAAGGGACCTGTGCAGGGCAGGACTGGATCCTGCCCGGCGCTGGTGGGGCTGCGGGCACGTGGCTGTGCCCCAGCATCAGCTTTCTGGCTCTTTTGAGGAAATGCCAGGGGCCTTTCTCCAAACGGCTGGGCTCATCTGCCACGGATGCTGAGCGTGGTGAGCACCTGGCCCTGGACAGGCTCTGCACGGCCCCTCGGGTCCTTCTGGCTCCAGTGACGGCACTGCGGGGCTACCAGGGGATCCCAGCTCCAGATCAGCCCGGCTCCTGGTGGCAGGGAGTCAGGGACCGGCAGGGTGGGAAGGGGAGCGTGTCTCCTGGATATCCCATCTCGGCTGCCCTTCCCGAGCCACTCGTCTGCAGCTCTGGGTGCGGGCAGGAGCCCCAGGAGTTTTGTAATGCCGGCTCGGCTTGCTCCCGAACGCCACCCACGTCCTCCAGCGCAGCCAGCTGAGGGCGCGTGGGGCCAGTCCTTCCTCATGCTGACCTCCTGTGTCACCCGGGGCTTGGGCTGGGCACGACCCGGGTAATGGGATCCTAACGGTTCCCTGCAGGAACGGGCCCCGGCCACGACGGCTCCTCCAGGCTCTGCAGCATGGCTGGGGGGCCCTGTGGCTGCCCCCCCCCCGCCCACAACCTGCCCAGACTTGTGCTCATCACCCCGGCTGGTGCCGGGCTCCTTTCTGACAACCTGGTCTAGTGTGGATGCAGGTCAGAAGCATGATGCTGCAGTGCTGGCCACCTTCCTGCACAGAGAAGGTATTGCCCATTGGTTTTGGTTGTTTCTTGTTTGTTTGTTTGTTTTGCATTTTCTTCAGCCCATGAACCTCCTCACTTTCAAACCAATTCAAAGCTTGGGGCTGCCTCTCCGTGACTGCCCACTCGCTCTCAAAACCACACTACAAGTGAGATCTGCACTGGTTAAATTCAAAGGCAAAAGCCGTGACAGCTCCTGCGTGGAATGGAAGCATGTGATTTCCTGGAGAGCTCAAGGCTACCGTAACTAATTGAGTTCCCTTGCTGTATTCTCTGGAAGTACGTTAATGCTGCTATGGCTAGCCTGCACTCCAGCTGTGCAGATGCTGGCCACGGGCTCCCGATGAGCTTCTGCACCCACGCCATCTGAGCAGGCCTGGGCAGCTGGGGTGCAGTTGGCCTCTTGCCGTTTGCTCCCCGCCGCGTGTGGCTGACAGGCTCTGCGGTGCACAGGGTAGCTGTGCCAGCTGCTCCTGAATGAGGGAACTTGGGACGTTCCTACGCAAACCCCAGCTCCAGAGGGTGCAGGGTGCTGGGACCTGAGGCTAGCTCCTTGCCTGCAGGGGATTTGACCTGTGGGGGTGTGTAGCCATCGCTGCCTGCACCCCCGAGGGGATGATATCCCAGTGGCTCGCTGGTGGAGGGGTTTATGGTGCCCAGGGAGCTGAGCCATGCGTGGCTGCTCTCTCAAGGAAGTCTTTCCCTCCCAGGGAGGGACTGCATGCCAGGCTGGGGTTTGGTGGCCATGGCTTTGCTTGCAAAAGGTGCTGCAGGAAGGTCAACTGAGTGTGTCCCTTGTGCTGAGCAGAGAGACCGGCAGTCCCGCAGTGGGAGCTGCACTGGGGTCAGGGGCACGGGCCTCTCACCCAGGCGTTGCCTGAGAACCAGCCCCTTTTCGGGAGGAGGGGGTGGGGGATAAGATGCTACAGAAGGGCACATTCCCCTTGGTGAGGAGGCTTGTGAGACACACTGCCTCGCTTCTCTATTTCCCGGTCTGGGAGAGGGCCAAGCCACAGAGATATGTGGGAGCGAGAGCTCGTGGGGATAGCCAAGCGCCGTATCCAACAGCTACAGCGGAGCATTGAGAGAGACAGGTAAAATCATTCCCTGCCTGGGTGCTGGGGGGGCTCGGGGCAGGAGCAGCAGCCTGGGCTGCCTCATCGGCAGTGAAGCGCTCCTGGCTGGCTGTGGGGTGCGGGGGTGCTGGCTGCCCGCTCCGGGGCGAGGGGCTGGCTTGCTGACGTGCGGGGAGGGGGCAGAGCAGCGGGCAAAGCTGTCGGTAACTCACCATGTTCATCCAGTTCTGACGGGGCCTTCTGCCTGCAGAAACCCAGCAAATATCCTCTAGTCCGGGACACGGGGAGGCTGTGGGGGCCCGATGCCTAGGGAGCCAGGCCAGCAATGCTCCCACCGCCCCTGTGCGGGTGCTGCTCTGCCCGCCCTGCACTAACACTGGGGCAGGACCGCCCAAGCACTCCTTAAAACCCACAACAGGAGTTGTGAAACAGGAATTGTGATTTCTATTGTAATATAACACCAGTCTATCAGCAGCACCATCACCTGAAATAATTTCCTGAGCATCTGCCACTGGAGGGTGACTCACCTGCGGAGCTGCTGTCACAAAATAGCTTATCAGGAGTGAACTGACTGACAGAGCAGGATTTGTCCTGCTCCTCTCCCGATGATAAGAGGAACCGCAGCCATCCCGCTCTTTGTCCGTCTCTTCCGCATTGCACCGTGTTGTTTCTAAGCAGAGGTTTTTGTAGGTGGAGGAGGAAAGGAGAAGAGTTTATGCAGGAGGTTACCGGGCCATTTATATGCTCCTGTCTCTCAGGTCACTCGGTCTGTGTGTCCCAGAGCAGCCCCAGGTCACGGCTGGCAGATGCTCCTGGCAGCGCCCGAGTGCGATTAAAAGGGAAGTGAGCGGGTGCCCGTGGCAGGTCACCCCTGGGGCTGCCATGCAGGCTGGGGGCCACGGGCAGTGCCGGCCGTGGCTCGGTGGGAGCACCTGGTGTCCTGGGCAGGCTCTGTGGAGTCGTTGCTCCCTGGGGGAATTGGGGTGCCCACCCCCTCGCCAGTGGTTGTAACAGTGGGTGCTGCAGCAAGCTGGGCAGGGCAGAGGTTTGAGCGTGACCCGTCCAGACTCCCTTACCTGCCCTCTGGGACAAAACTCCCTCTTTCTCCCTGGCTTTTGTCCCTGCTGTGGTACAACAGTGCTGCAGCAACGGTGACTGCCAGTTCCCACGCCACTGGGACGCTCCTGGGCTGTTTATGGAGATTTACAGAGGCCTGCTATCCACGCGGATGCGCTGGGCTCCGTGCCGAGGCTGGGTCTGCAAGTGGGGGGCTGCGGTGCGAGCTCAGGGGTGGCCTTGCCCTTCTCTTGCAAACCCCCTTCCCTTTGCAGAGCCGCTGCCCCGGGCTGGGTGAGCTCACTGGTGTTGCACAAGTTGAGGCTGGCAGGGGTGGGTGGGGAGAGGAGCTCTCACAGCCCCTGCGCCCTGATTCGGGAAAGTGCTGTGCCTGTAGACAGGTGCTGAGGCTGCCTGTGGAGCTGTGCACATCTCTGATTCAAAGCTGGGCTACGCGTCCAGGAATAATCGCTCTGGGATGGAAAGAGGTTTGGTTTAGCTGGCTGATGGCGGCACTGCTGGGCAGGGTGGGCATCTAGGTTTAGGTGTGCAGGGGCCGCTTGCTTGGGCTGGGGTCAGCCTCGCTGGCAGCTGGCTGGAAAGCCATGTGCAGACTCATGCTGGAAGTGGTGGGTGTGCAGGATCTGCTGAGCAGCTAATCACCCTCTCCCCATTTTGTAATCAAGCTTTCCCAATGGTCAGGGAGAGCTGCTGCTGCTGCCAGGCATGTGCACTGTGCCAGCGGGGAGACTGCGGAGCGTTCCGGCCCTGCAGCCCCTCGGCTGGGGGGCTGTGCCATCGCTGTGCCAGCTCGCCCTGCCCACTCTGGGGAGAGCAGGCAGCGTAACCCGGTAGGCTGAGCAGGGATCCTGGCATCTGCGTGTGGCTCTGCAGGTAAGGGACACCCTCCCCACGCTCGCTGGGGAGGATCCAGCCCACCCCCCCTGCCCCAGGAGGTGTGGGACCTTGGCAGGCTGCAGTCTCAGCTCCCACCCGCATGGTCCAGGCGATGCCCAGAGACCATGGGATGGAGGGTGGGCAGCGGCAGCCCACAGGCCACCCACGTGCTTTGTGCAGGAGGGTGCCCAGCACTACTGCGGGAGCTTTCGGCTTGCAAACTGGTTTAAGGGGCTGCGGGGAGCTGGGCAGAGGGCTTGTGTCCTTGGCGTGCCACGGTGGGTCCTGGCTGGGGCAGCCCAGGCAAACGGCTGTGCGGGCACCTGACGCAGCGCAAGGTGCAGCGTGGTGGAGCGAGCGCTCCTGTCGAGTCAGGGCATGCCCGTCTCTTGTCAGGGAACAAAGTGTGACTTAAAAGCAAAAGCAGCTCAAGAGATGGGCGCTGCCCGGCCAGCAGGGATCAGGCAGAGGCTCTGGAGCGAGCTCAGTCCCACGCGTCCAGCACCACCTGCGCAGCTGCAGCCCTGTGCCGTGCCGCAGAGACCCCTCGAAGCGCGAGCAGCCTTCCCAGAGCATCGCGCTGCTGTGGAAGGGAGAGCAGCCCGAGAGCACGGTGGGGAGCGGCCTTTCCTCTTTTGAGGTGAAGCGAAGGCTTTGAGGAAGCAGCTGGAGTCTGCAGATGTTATGTCACAGCTCCGCGTGCCTTCGGGGCTTTGCTTCCTGGAGTGCGGCTGCGTTTCCAGCCCGTCACCCTTCCCTGGCCTTTTGTGTGTGGAGCCCTGGCATGACACAGGCTTCCGGGCATCCCGGCTCCGTCTGGGGTCAGGCAGGGGCCAGGCAGGGCTAGCCTGGGGCTCCATGCAGCTGCCAGCCTCCCCGAGCCACATGGACATGCACCCTGTCCCTTCCCGCTGCCCAGCGAGGGGCAGTCCCGGCCTCTGCCCATGCCGGGCGCTGCCAGGGCCTCGGGGTCTGCAATGTCCGTCATCCCTTCTGCATCCGGCCAGCGTCCCCACGTGTCACCTCTGGGTCTCGGTGCCGAGATGCTGACTCCTGGGGAGGGCTGCTCGGGGCTTGGCTCCAGCCCCGGCCACTTGTGTTGGGGCACAGCATAGTCAGAGGCTGCGCCTGGAAAAACGCACGGGCTTCCAGGGTGGAGGGATTTTGCCCCTGCCTGCCCCGTTTCCAAGCTGTTAATGGCTATCCCTCTTTGCTACCTTCTACCTGCAGCCATGGGAGATGATTTCCCCCTCTTTCTGCAAGAGGGCAGTGATTGCCACCGAACTCTGCATCTCGGGGCTTTGAGAAGATGATCGAGCACAGCCGTAAGTGCGTTGCACCGGGACGTGTCTGTGACTGGGGGCAGTGGGTGGGGGACACCCCGTCACCCTGGGGTTCCTTCCCCCCCCGTGGGTGCCCTTGCCCTGCATGGGGCTGTAATCTTCGCGAGCATCCCCAAACGCCCAGGCTCGGGCTCTGTCTGGGACCCTGCCCATCTCCCGGCTGCTGCTCTTTGCCAGGAGGAGGACACAGCCACTCGTGCACCTTGCCAGGGCTGGACACCCCGGTGTCCAGGAGTCCTTGCCCCTTGGGCTCCCAGTGCTCCCAGTTCAGGCTCTGCCAGGGTGCGTGTCCCTGCCGGCAGCGGGAGCGCGGAGCTGCCCGTACGGCAGCCACCCTGCGCGGGTGGGGAGGCTGGGCCGGGCCGGGGCACGGGTGATGTACCGTCCCTCGCGTGAGGAGCGATGTCTGCTGGAGCTCCTCTGCTTTCTCCCCTGGGAACCAGTCGAACCGGCGGGTGAGGAGCCGTGCCCGGCCTCGCTGCGGCAGGGGCGGTGAGGTGGCTGTGTCACTGGGAGGCGAGGGGACGGGCAGGACGTGCCAGGCTCCAGCGCGCACCGGGCTCTGCTGCAGCAGCTCCCAGCCTGGGCTAGCCGTGAGCGGCTCCTGCGGCACGGCGCTGGGCGCCAGGAGATGGACCCCCAGGCGGGTGAGTACGTGGCATTTTTCTCCCCTTATGGGGTAGAGATGGGGATGTTTTATGGCTGGGGCTTGGCTGCTGCTGTGGCTGTGCCTGGAGCGGTGCCGCTCGGAGACATCTCGCTGGGACGTGAGGATGTCTGCTCCCGAGGGTGGCGGGGCAGGGAGCGCCTCCCACACGCGGCACGGGGCCGGGGCTGGGCATGAAGCCGTCACCCTCCCACCAGCGGTAGGCGTGGGGAGAAGGCAGTTTCGGCAGCCGCTGATTCAGGGAGGCTATTGCACCACGCTCCTCCTGTCCCGCAGCTCCTGCTGCGTGAGTCACTCCTGCAGCAGCAGACTCCCTGACCTCAGCCCCGCCGGCCTGTGCCGGGGCCTGGGGTCACCCCCGGCCCAGCAGCAGCCGGGTGCTTTTCTTGCCCGCGTGTCCTGGCCAACTGAGCCCTGCCGCGAGGGCCCCGCGGAAGGGAAGGGCAGGCTGGTCCTGCTCGTCTGCTGCGCAACTCGGGAGCTGGCGCTGCGATGCTCTGCGGCTGCCCGGGCGTCTGTGATCCCATCGGGTAGAGCAAGTGCTGCGGGTTGCAGGACGACCCGGGACCTTGCTCACTATGTAAACACTGTGACCACAGGGGAAATGTTCTCACTCCACTGGCATCTGTCTAAATTTAGCTGCTGTTAGGTCATCCTTTTCCGCTGTCGCCTCCCTCCTGATGCTGCAAGGCACAGCACCCAGTCTCTGTGCCGGGCGCTTGCCCCAGGCCCTCTACGCAGGAGCTGTGGGGCTGACCATGCGCCGGAGCAGTGGCCAAATCCTGCTGTCCCGGCTGGGCACGGCAGCCCACAGAGCTGTGCTCACCACTCCCTCCGCCTGCGTTTTGCTGATGGGCCATGCTGGGCCTGACTGGGCAGCTTACTGGTCAGGGACGCTGGGGCACAGGCGGGCGTGCGAGAGGCTGTGCTGCCTGCGAGACGGGCTCATGTGGTGCAGGGGTTTGGGAGAGCAGGAGCTGGTGGCAGCTGGGGAGGTGTGATTCGCAGCCCTGTGCTGCACATCGCGCGAGGTTTGCTCTGTGCAGCCTGCCGTCAGCAGAGAAATGGCTGCTCATCGGCTCTGCTGTGCCTGGCCACCTTGGTCTCCCTTCGGCAACGCCGGGAGTGTTGGGCTTTGCCAGACCCTGCGGTGTGGGCGGGAGGGAGGGAGGGGGTGCAGAGCCCCCGCAGAGGTCCTGCACGCCCCGTCCTCATCATCCTCATCCCAGCCCGGCGCCTGCAGCAGGAGGCTGCTCGCCCTGGCAAATGCATCCTCTAGAGGGAACTGCCCGTCCAGAAATGGGGCTGCACGGCTGCGCAGGGCGGGCTGCAGGGACAGGCTGGGGTATGGCACTGCACGGCTGCGGGACCCGCAGTGCCACAGCCCTGGCACCTCCCTGCTCTTCGGGCTCTTCTCCGCTCAGCCGGCTGCTGCCGGGGCACGGCTGGCAAGATGCACCAGAGCTGCAGGGCACCCTGGCTGCGGGAGGTGACAGCCGGCGAGTGTCTGCCTGGCCCCAGCCCTGCTCCACCACCTCCTTGCTCTCCCTGCACTTTTGCTGCCAAAATTACAGCTAAATTGAATGGCTAAACCCAGATGATCGCCAACAGCTCCGTGTGCAGCTGAGGAAGGTGCTTCACCCCTGAAGCAAAGCCTGCATGGGAGCAGGAGTTGGGGATACAGGCATGGTGTGGGTGGCCAGCTCCCTGCCCCAGCACAGTGTGATGGGCCCTGGGCACAGCCAAAAGCTGCCGGGGGTCTGGGTGAGCTCCTGGCGGAGACAGGAGCGGGAATAGCAGGGGATCCTGCTTGTGGGAAACGTGGGATCCTGCTTACGGGGAACGTGGGCTCCTGTTTACAGCCGTTTTCTTCCTGTTTAGGCTGAGGGCAGTGGGTCGCCCACGCTCCCCTCTGGGCTCCCTTCCCCTGTCACCATCTGGCCCACCGGCTCGCCTGGGGACCGCAGAGGTGGTGGCTGTGCGACCAAGCTCACAAGCCTCTAGCATGGGGCTTTGGGGGTAGCAAAATTCTCCGTGCCACGACGCTCAACAGCCTCGCAGAGCGCAGTCCCTCCAGCTCATAGGGACAGTGCAAGGCGGAGGGACGTATGGCAGCTGTCCTGTCCCCCTAGGGGATGATCACAGCCCCCAGCTTCCCCAAGGTGTTTGTCTGCACAACCCTTTCTCCCTCTGCTTTACAGGGCAGGAGCCCATCGAGGTGCTCAGGGTTGTCCTGGGTCTCGGGCTGGCCTTGCTGACCCTGATGCTTCTTGGCTACGCCATTGTCCGGTGGTACCAGAGGGGCCAGTGCTGGCGGCGTGAGTCCGGGCAGAGCTGGGGGGCAGGCAGCAGCAGGGCAGGGAGGGCTCCAAGCAAAGGGCTGCTGGTCCCTGGGGGCTGGGGAAACCCGTGTGCAGGGTGGCTCTGGGGCAAGCTGGGGGTGTGCAGAGGCCGAGGCGGGGGATGCACAGTCAGGTCCTGGTGCGGCTGGCTGTCCTGCCCATCCCCACGCCACCACGCAGACTCGTGGCAAAGCAAAGGCGAGTTCACGGCACCACAGGGCTCTGACCCCTCTCCTTCCTGCCTCCCCAGGGCCCGACTTCGTCTTCAACCTGTACCATTCCTGGTGAGTGAGGGGCGGGCTGGGTGCTCCCTTCACAGGGTGCCAAGGTGTCGCAAACCTGCTGAGCACGGCTGTTTGGATGTGCTGTTTCCCCGGGACAGATGCCCTGGGGACAGCCCCCCCATCCCGGAGGGCTGGCAGGGGCTGGGGCGGGGGGCAGGCAGCTCACGGGCATCTCTGCCTTCCCCGCAGCGGGCTGGGGCCGACGGCAGTGGAGCTGGTGCCACCGTTCAGCATCAGCGGCTCGCTGAGCCGCCCCAGGAGCAGCTACGTGCCCTTCCGCAACGGGGGGCCGTGAGGCGGGAGCCGGGCTGGCGTACAGGTAGGACATCACGCCGCTCCTCCCCGCTCGGCGGTGGGTGAGCGGGTCCCCGGCCGCGTGTGCCCCCCAGCAGCGCCGGGCGGCTGTCCCCCCGTGCCTGGGAGCAGCCGTGGGTGCCTCTGCAGGGAGCCCAGGCGCTGGGCGAGAGGGCTGCGCCCTGGACACTCCGTGCCTCCGGTCATCGCAGCTTTCCCTGGGATAGTCCCAAGGTTTTTCCTGCAAAAGTCCTCCCCACGCCTGTGGGGCGTCAGGGCCTTTCCCTGGGCTCTGGTTTTGTTTCCCCGGCTCTGTGCAGGGTTTGGTTTGCGTTGCCCTTCCCGTGCTCTGCTGTCCTCTGCCTGGGAGCGGGCACCCGGCCAGGGGTGAAGGCAGCACGGGGCTGGACCCCCTGTGCTCTCTGCGCCACTTCCCTGTGCTGCCTCACGCCCACCTTCCAGCAGCGACAGAAAGAGCAACCAAAACCAGCCATGGGGAAGTTCTCTATTCTTGGTTCTTTAAAAAACAGCCCCCGAATATGCTGGATTTCTACTGAAACTGTAACGGTGCAGTTTCTGTTTTTAAAAGAGCTTCTCCATCTGCTCCCTGCAGCTGCGTTTCTCTTGCCTTGGCCGCGGGCAGCACAGGAAGGTGCCTGGGGCCGGCTGCCATCGCCACGCTGGTGCACTGGCCCTTGCTTGAGACGGAGGAAGAGGGAGCTGCCTTATCCCAGGCCACATCGGCATGCACCCTGGAGAGAAAAGCCACCTTCCCCATGGCTCGGGCACACACCAGCCCTCAGGACCAGCCAGCTTCATGCCCAGGAGACCTCGGGCCAGGCTGTTGGTGACCGGGGCAGCAGGAGTGTCGGGAGCCAGCTAAAAAGGATTGCAGTGAGGCGTAGAACTGGATGGCCAGTCTTGTGCAATAGGGGAAAATGCCGTAAGGAAATGAGACTGCTTCAGACTTCCCTCCTCGGTCAGATATCTGGACCAAAGTGGAAATTGGTGCTCCACTCTGATAGTACAAGCAAACACCTCAGAAAGCCCCTGTGGGCTTTCTCATGGCTTTCTCATGCCAGCCACCTGCAACCTCGGCAGAGCAAGCGGCCATGGAAGCACCTGGAGCACAAGGGCAGCCCTGGCCAAGCTGCTGCGGCCCTCGGGGAGGGACCCCTGCCCAGCAGGTTGGGGCTGGCGAGGCACGGGGCCTTGGGGACTGTTCCTTTGCAAACTGTCTTCTCGGAAGGAAAACAAAAATTCAGGAGGCTGCACGTAGGGAAACTGGTGAGGGCGGAGCGGAGAGACCCAGTCTGCAGCCCGGCTTGCAAGGGAGCTGGTGGCCAGCCCCAAGCCCCCTCCCCTGCCCTTCCCCGTGCCCGCCGCGCTGCTCCTCGCGGGGTTTGTGCGGTGCTGGGGGCTCTGCAGCCCCGCTGTTGGAAACATTTGCCTAGGCTGGCGCTGGGGGAGGAAAGGTGGGTGCAGGGGTGCAGCCCCTCGCTGGGGCGGCCGAGGTGCAGCGGGAGAAGAAAGCCGCTTGCAGGAGGAGTCAGAGCCACGCGGCCTCCATGTGTTAGGCTGTGACTTAATTCAGGAAAATGTGAGCATCTGGGATTTCCAGGGAGTTGGAGGGACAGTCCGTGCTCTTGGCTATTGAAGCCGAAACACGTGGTCTGTGGCTTTCTGGCAAACGCATCTGGGTTTCATAGAAAGGAGAACCCTGGCTGCCCGCGGAGAGGGGAGGAAACGCTGCCTCTCTCGGCCCTGGGTGCTGCCTCTGGACACTGCCAGCTGGAGCCTTTCATGGCGAGCAGGAACTGGCAGCACCCAGCACTGCGTGGGATCCGGCCACAGAAGTTGACGTCAAGAGCGTTTAAAAGAAAAAAAAAAAAAAGAAAAAAAAAAAAAAAAAAAAAGGTAAAAAAGTCATGCTTAGTTTTGATGACTGTTTTTTTCAGAGGAAATTGAAAAAAAAGAAAGCAAAAAGCCCCAGCCCCCAAAATACCCAAGGCAGAAGAGGTAGTGGAAATGGAAGGGCAGGAGGATGCACGTGGCTGGCATTGATGGTGGGGTGCCCATCATGGCCAGGGGCCAGGTGCTCCATGTGACGCACAGAGAGCATCCGAAGTGCAAATAGTGCAACGTCAGATGTAACAGAAGGAAATGTAGCAATGCATCAACAACCTTTCTCCTGGCTGCAGTGAGTCATGTTTTCACCTGAAAAAAACCTACTCTCCAAGTTGGGTTTTCACCAACAAATTTAGTGGGACTATCCCACCGTGAAGGTTCTTGGAAACTAAGTGACTTTTGGAAAAACTCTCCGGTGACCTGGCAGTAGTCAAATGTAGCCCGTGGTAAGTTGTTCCCATTTCATGCTTGTTTCCATTCTGACAGAAACTATACCCCCACCACCCAGTTTCAACTTGTTCCGCTCCTCCCTGGAGCTGCTTCTGTCCTTCCCTGGTGCGTGTCCCCGAGCTGCTGCCCCATGGGACACGCTGTGTGCCCAGGGCACCCCTGTGAAATCACCGCAAGCTGCCCAGGTCCTTTTTCCTGCTGTTCCTCCAGCGTGTGCTCCCACACACAACACTCGCCTGGGGCAACTACGCGGGTCCTCAGATGAATGGGAAGCTCTCAGTGGGCTGGCTTAATTCTCCTGGTTTTCCAGTTGTGATGTGGAAACACACCTCCCCATGTGAGGGAAAGGCACATTGCCTTTTGCTGCAGGGGAAAGTCCGTATTTGAAAACGGAAAACAGTTTGACTTTAGAAGAGGATGTACAGATGAGTGGACCAAATAAATAACACCACATCCTTTCTGTATTTACAAATTAAATAGAATAAATAACGTCTGTACACAATAGTGGCAGAACATGGAGCATAGCATGGGCAGGTCTGCCCTGGCTCGTGGTGGGTTCGTATGGCAGCTGCTGCACACATCCTGCACCCCGTCGGAGGTAGCCAGCACCCCGGCCTCTGCCACAGAGGCTGAATGCTGAAGGGTCTCTGTAGGGTCAGGAAAGTCCCTCACTCCCTCCAAGTGAGGTGAGCCAGGGTGGGAGCAGGACGGCTGACGTCAGGTTGCTCTTCGCTTTCCGTGTCTGTTGTGAAAGGTTTGGATGGCATCAGTGGCGTGGACGTCAGCTGGAGGAGCCCAGAGTTCCCCTGGAGAAGGGGGAAGTGGGGAGGGGAAGCGAAGGGCTAGCGTCAGCCCCAACCCCGAGGGTGGCCCTGAGCCCAGGGGCTGCATGCCCCACGCTGGGCTGCTGGGGAGGGCAGACAAGGTAGGATTGCCCTTTGGAAACATCCTGGTGTGTATCCTCGGGCTAGGTGGTCAGAGGGGGCGGGGGTGAGCCCCTCCAGCGCAGCCCCTCGCCTCTTTGCACTGGATACCGGCTGGAGGGACGGTGCAGAGCGCTCTGGGGGCTGGCCGCAGCCGAACCGCGGCCCAAGCAGCCCCAGAAATAGCTAAACTGGTGCTTCTCAGGCAAGTCTCAGCCGAGGCACCGCTTAGTTCGATGCGTTAACATTCAGGAGTCGGCGGTAGCTTATCAGAGTAGCTGCTCCCCATGGGCAGTGGCTAGAAGAGGTAGTTGGGTCAGCGTGCGGGGCCGGTGGGCACCCGCTCCCCGGCACGGGGACGGCTCACAGGCGGCTGTCCTTGCTGTCCACGTTGAGCAGGCTCAGGGGGTTGATTTGCACCATGAGCCACTTGTTGGTGCTGAGGCTGGAGACGAGAGGCAGCGTCTCCAGGAGGTCAGTGTTGAAGATGCTCAGGTCCAAGGGAGGTTTCAGGAGCTTGGGGCTGGCTTTGGCGTCCACGGGAGCACCCGGAGCCCCATAGCTCAGCAGAGTTGGGGCTTGGGGCCCCACCTGGCTGGAACAGTCCCAGGCAGTGGGCTCCCGAGAGACCCCCCATGGAGCAAGGTCCTGTGCATGGCTGCGGGGGTGCTCGGGAGAAGACTGCTTCAGATACCCTTTGACCACAGCCAGCTCAGAGCACTCTAAATCCAGCAGGATGTCAGTGTTGCCCGGGCCCTGCAGGGATCCCGCACACCCCAAGAAGGACACCCCTTGGGCAGGGTCCTGCCTCGGCTCCACCGTGCCCTTGGACTGCTGCACGTACCCACGGAACTCCACGGCTTGCTGGCTGACCTGGCCGGCGTCAGGGAGCCGGAGGCTGAGCTCCGCTCTGTGGGGCTGCCCGGCCTCCGTGGGGCTGGCGTTCCCGCTGCCGGAGGAGCCCGTGGGGCGAGGGCGGGTGCTCTCCAAGCCCACGCCGCTGTCGTCGCCGGTGGGCAGCTGCTGCTTGTAGCCCTGGGGCTCGGGGCCTGTGGAGCAGCTCAGTTCGGAGGAGGAGGTGTGCAGGCAAATGCCGCTGTCGGTGCTGGTGCAGCTGCTGTCTCCTCGCCCCACGACCCCCAGCCCCAGCAGGCACACCCGGTCCTCAGGCCACGCTGGGAGCCTCCAGCCCTTCTCCAGGGCCAGCTGGGCTGTGCCAGCGCTGCCGGCAGGGCTGCTGTCCTGCTGGGGCTCCTTCTGGCACAGGAAGAGCTGCTGGACAGGATCTGCATCTGGGCTGCTCGAGGACGAGGGCTCCTGCTCCACCCAGAGCGAGCTCTGCTTTATGAAAGACTTCTGGGAGGGAGAGAAAAGAGGGGAGTGAGCCGTGCTTCATCCCTGCTTGTTGCCTGCCTCTCCCAACAGCTACCCAAGCCTGCACTCTCATGCCGGCTGCAATGGGTGCTGCGTGCCCGGCTGTCTTACCAGGACGGACGGTGGCCTCATGGGTTTCTTTATGTAGGTGCATGCCAGCAGAAACCCCAGGAGGCCGAAGAGCAAGAGGGTGATGAAGGAGGAGCTGACGATGCTCAGGACAAGCTCTGCGCTCCCTGCAAGAGAGGACGTACCCAGGTGAGGGGGGAAAGGCAGAGTCCTCGGTGCACACAGCACGGGGGCACAGAGCGGCTGCCCTGGCACGGACCCCTGCGCCCCCCGGGGCCAGGAGGCTGAGGAGGGATGTGCACCCCACAAGGCCCCCCCTCTCCTGGCTCCCCGTCACTCACTGTCTCTCTCGCCGATGGTGACGCACTGCTCGTCAGTGCGCGTGGCGCGGGTGCGGCGGCTGGCCACGTCGGGCTCCACGCTGATGCAGTACTCCGTGCCCCAGAAGAGGTTGGTGACGTTGAACGCTGGGGTGGTCTCCACCACTTCATACTGCAATGAGCAGAGCATGGGCTGGCACCCGAGAGCGCCCAGCTTCTGCAGAAGTGCTGCGCCCCGCGCTTCCCTCCCTCTTCCTCCACTGTCCCCGGGGGGAAGTCCCCAGGGTGCTTAGCAATATGCCTGGCAGCAGCTAGACCCAAAATCCTAACAGGAGTCAGGGAACCTACTGCGACAAAACATGCAGAGAAATCTCTCAGCAGTGTTGTGGCTGTGACAAAGCTCGATATTAAGTTTTACGGAAGACTCTGCTTTAAGAGCGTGTTTTTCAACAGCAGCGTGTGTGACAGATGGGGACAGCACGGGACCAGCAACTCATCTCACCGTCCGATTGTCCTGCGCCCTCCTGACATACACCCGGTACCGCCTCGTGTGCTTCTGTATGTCATCGTACTTCACGGTGAGGTTGCCCACCCTGAGGAGCAGCTGGAGCTGCACGTGGATGGTGTTGCCCGTTACAGAGAGGCTCTGGCCCGACAGGCGCAGGCTGGCTGGGAACAAGATGGGTGGAAGAGCACGTTAGGGTTTCCTCCTGTTTGCAGCTCTAAGAGCCTTTGCAGCAGCACACTGAGCTGTGTCTGCTTCTCGCGGCCGGCGCTGCCCGTCCTAGGTTTGTCCCGTCCCATCCCGTAGCCCGGCTGCCCTCCAGGAAGGTACGAAGAGACAGACATCCCTGCTCTCGCCTATCCCAAAGTTCTTCCCGAGCAGTTTGGCACCCTGACCGCTGCCATCCCCAGAGCCCTCAGCCGCAGGGTGGAGGCAGACACCCCACCTACCATCTTGCGGGGAGAAAGAGTTGGTCCTTTGCCACGGGGACGTGTGGTTTCTGGACACAGCCCTGACTCGTGCGTAGTAGCGCAGGTCAGGGTCCAGAGTGTAGTATGTGAGGTCGCAGGAGTGCCCCGAGATCTTCATGCAGCTTGGGATGGCTGTCCAGGAGAAATTGGTGCCGTAGCTGCAGAGAGAAGCGCCCGGGGTGAGAGCGGTGTGGGCAGGACCTCGGTTGTCACCGCTGTCGGTATCAGGTCCTGGGCGGGGGCCAAACCCCCTTGTGCCCTCATGGCTGTACTCACACTTTGTGCTCCACTTCGTAGCAAACGTCACTGGGGGGGCTGCGTCCCGGCTCCCACCGCAGCAGGTGATGGGCTATCTCCGCCACAAAGCGCACGTGCGTGGGGCTCTCCAGCTTCTCACCTGCGGGACCCAAGGCCAGCGTTGGGCAGGGCTGCGTGGCATCCTGTCCCGTCCCGTCCCGCTGCTGCCCCGGGAGCAGGGCAGAGCTCCTTGCTGTTGCCTCCTTGGTGGCTCGCCGGGAGCTCGGCTTGCTGCGTGCAGCAGGGATCACCCACCCCCCCAAAAAGCACAAGGATTTGCCCAGGCCTGCCCCACTTCCAAGTTTCAGTGTTTGCTTGTTCGCCTCTTTCCCTTCCTCTCTCTTCTGGGGAGAGCCCGGCTCAGCCCAGCCGAGAGGATCTCGGTGTTTTTCTGGCCCAAGGAAGGAGCCTGCTGTGTTTGCATCCCTGACCGCCCCTGCCAGTTGCTAGCAGGTCTGTTTAGGTTCAGTTTTCCTGTTTTGCTCATCTGCTGTCTGGAAGAAATAGACTTTTTCACACCTCCTGCCTGAATTTCAGTACTGTCACCTGGCAGCAAAGCAGCGCTAATGCCATCTGCCACCCTTTCTGTGCTGGTTTCCTGAGCAGCCGCTCTCTGACGGCAAGCACTAAGCCGTGCCGCTGCCCGGGGGGGCTGGCAGCGGAGCACCGCGCTAGCCACCGGGGCATTTCACACTGGTGGGCTGACGCCTGAGGACTATCACAGCCTTTGGGCTCCCCAAGAACTAAGAGAGGCAAGTGGCAAGCAGGGAGCTCTGGCCGTGTCCTGCTCCAAGCGGGTCAGGGCACTGACCAGCCAGCGAAGGTGTCCGAGCTGCAGCTCCAAACCGCAGCAGCTCAGCCTGCCGCCTGCCCTGCGTGCGGTCCCCCGCCTCCGTCCCCAGCCCGGCGCAGGGGGCTCGGGGGCGGAGGGGAGCGGCGGCCTGCCGGGAGCCGTGGGGCTCAGGCACAGCCCGCGGGGAGCTGCAGACCAGCGCAGCGGGGGCAAGAGAGACTCACCGTCCGTCGGCCGGGCGAGGAGCAGTGCCACACACAGTGCCAGGGCTGCGGCGGAGCGGGCCATGCCGGCTCAGCATCCTCCGCGGGCGTGGGGCTGGGCGAGCAGGGTGCCGAGCTCTGTTCTGGCGGGCTGCGAAACGCTTGTTTTTCCCCTGAAGGCTGGCTTAGTGACGTCTCGGAGGCGTTAGCGCAGTGGGAGGAAAGCAGTGGTGTAGCAGCTTCCACTTTTCTTTACTGTCCACCCACTTACCCGCAGCTAATCTCTCAGCCCAGGCTGGGCATTTCCTACGAGCGGCATTCAAGGAAGAGCTCTGGGGGCTTTTCTGAACAAAATGGTACACTGCTGAGAAAGGGAAAATAGGAGTAAATAATGCGTGTGCCTTTGCTGCCTCCTTTTTAAATGAGATGTTAAAAGCACAGCACAGGGGCAAGCACCGGCACCGAGGATGACCCATCAGAGGGATTCTACTGAGCACAGCACCCACCCGGCAGTGTCCCCCTGGGCTTGTCCTGTCCTGCCAGAGGCTACAGCCAGCCAGGTCATGGCCAGCCCTGGGGTTCTTGCTTTCTCTTCCTTTGGGGCTCAGCCCGTACCCTCCTGCTTCACTCTGCAATTTGCCTTTCCCCATTTCTGGGGCCGAGTGGCAACCTCTGGGCTATTATGTGTCCTGGAAACAGGGTGGTGTCGCAAGCTCTGATGCTGGGTGCGGTGGGGGGGCTCTCAGCCAGACCCAGGGCCCTGGTACAGCTGTGATGCATGTGGCTGTGTGCTCTGGCCCCGCAGCACTGTCCTGCCTGGCTGGTGATGCCTCAGGTGCTAGGACCTGAATTACCACCCAGCCAGCGGACAGAGTCCTCTGCTTTGCCTTCTGGCAGGATGAATTACAACAGAGCTTGCTTGAGGGCTTTCCTGAGGCCTGTGCAAACCCAGGAGCCCTCGTGACAGAAAGCAATTTGTCTCAAGAAGTGGAATTTCCCACTGGGGAATTGGTGGAAAGGACACAGATAAAAAGAGCAAGAGAAACCGAGAGTGCTCTGGACAGCCTCAGAAAGCTTCAGAGCAGTCCCTGGCGCAGGACCTTGGGTCCCTTTGCCACAGCAGAGTGGCTCCTCAAAGAGCCATCTTAAATGCCTGAAAGTGGGAGATTTCTGCTTTTTTCCTTGACTCTGAACAGTCTGTCCCCTGACTCATCCTTCCTGTAAAGCCCACGGGCTTCCACAAGCTCGCAGCCTGGCCGGAGCAGCAGCAAATTCATCAGCTGCAGGTGGCTCCAGCGGTGCCACTGAGCCTGGCAGCAGGACCTCGGGCACGGCACGGTGGCCTGCCCGGCGCTCGTGGCACCCAGGGGCACGCAGCCTTCAGGTCCGCTCCGCCGGGGCCGTGGGGAATAGGGCACGGGGTGCTGGTGCTGGGTGCCCGGCAGCGGGGAGAGGCTCTGCCTCGCTGACAGCCGTTCCTCTGCTGAGCGCCAGCCACTGGGACGGGCAGGGGACGGTGGCTCCAGCAGCAGATCCTCCCCCTGGGTCCGCCCCAGCTTGACTTTTTTCTGCCCTCTTTGGGAGAGCAGCTGATGTCCTGTCACTCTGCTGTCAGCTTGTGAGTCAGATCTGGCAGCCACTGAATTGAGGAGTCCTGAGATGAAGCACAGCCCATCCCACACAAAGCCACAGCTCATGTTTTGTGTAAAAGAACAAAAACCTAAAGCAACGGGACCAAAAATGAGGAAGGAGGGAGCCTCGTGGAAGAGACACTGCGGGGCTGGTCCTGCAGGTGAGGCGGTTCAGAGGCTTGGGAGAAATGATGGCAATTTAGGGGAAAATGAAACAGGCTGAGGAGAAATGACAGTTCTGCTGAACGCTCAGATGCTGAGTGGCACAGCCAGCCCGGGGTGCTTGCGCTGGCATCTGAGCTGCTGCACCGGTGCGGGTGCTGCCAGGTGCCTCGGGAGGGGCTGGTGCCAGGCCAGCGCGGCAGTGTCCCTGCACGCTGCCCGCTCTGCCTCTCGCAGCGCAGATGCTGCCTGGCAGCCCTCTCTCACCAGTGCTTTCCCCCCATCCTCCAGGGAATGTCACCTGGCATCCTCGAGGCTGCGGAATTCACCTCTCCGTGCTACCTTTGCTGCCCCCAGCCCTGCTGCGAGGGGCCCCGGGGAGGGAGCGCCTGTCTCGCGGGGGAAGGAAGGCTGACCCATCCTTGCAGCCCGAGGCAGGCGGGCACGGCAGCCCCTGCCCGGCGCACAGCCCTGTGCTGTGCTGAGCACCCCCAGCCCCGGCACAGGCAGGGGGCCTGGCGACAAGTGCAGATGAGCTTTGTGTCAGGTGTTGCTGACCGCCCAAGGCGCGTTAAAACCAAAGCATCACCGAAAAGAGCAGCCCCGCGTTTTCAACATCAGCAGGAGAGGTTTTGAGTTCACAGGTCAAACCAGTGCTCGAGAATGCTACTGAGTTTCATTTTCATCTTCAAAATAATTGACTAATCTTTGAATAGGAATAGCCACATTTTTAACAACCTGTAAATCACCTCAGTCAGAACCGCACAGCAGGTCTTTCCCCAGAGCCTCTGCAGCTCCTCTCGGGGCAGCGAGGGCTTGCAGCCGCCCCAGCCCCACGCCCGGCTCCCCCCGGGGACCCTCCTGCCAGCCGCTAGCCCTGGGTGCCCACTCGCTGAAGGGGCTGCCCTCGTCTGTGGGGGAGGCTGCAGGACAAAGCATGTCCTCGGCTCCATCCTCCCACCTGCCTGGCTGCCGCTGCCTCGCACGGTGCCTGCATCCTGGTTGCCACATCCTCAGCAACACCGACAGCTTCAGCCCGGGCAAGGCTGGAGCAGGGCTGGGATTCCCAGTGGGCCCCAGCCCTGCGGGTGACGAGTCCAGCCCTGAAATATCCGCTCACGGGCTGCTGTGTTGGCCAGGCAGGGTGACAGCCCCGCAGAGAAACCGAGCGCCTAGAATGCCCGGCAGAGCGGATCTCTGCTTTTCCCTGCCCTCCACCACCGCAGAGCTCGGGGAGGGTTGCCCAGGGTGGCAGGGGGTCGTGTGGCCCCGGAGGGGCATGTTTGGGCACCAGCGCTGCCCCTTGCAGGGCTGGGGCTGGAGGGCTTGTTCTGCACAGGCACAGCCTTGCCACAGGGCAGAGCATCTTGCCTGCAAGAGCAGAGTTATTCCCTTCCCTTCCCAATTCCCTCGTGCCTGGAGGTCGGCGCAGAGAGCAGAGGAGCCGCCGGGCTCTCCTGGGCTGATGGTGCTAGCTCCAGCTACTAGCACCTCGGTTTGCTAGCTGAGAGGAGCAGTTACCAGCAAGAAAGTGCGAGGATTTCACCCAGGAGGTGTTGTGTGTGTGTGACATTTAACATCAGGTTGCTGGGGTCAAGCCCAGGCACACGGTTCTCTGTAGCTTGCTTTCTGTAGGTGGCTTTGCAGAAATACCAGCAAGTAATCATTCCTGGAGCTACTTTCTGAGAATCCCTTTTTGGAGGAGGATGTGGCAGCTTGTGCTTGCAGCTTGGCCAGCCCCTGCCTCCCTCCACTGCACCCCAGCGGGTCAGGGCCCGCAGTGGCACGGGGTAGCTGCAAAAACCAAACAAAATGCTTGTTAGTCCTACGTGTGAAAACTAAAGAGGAGTGTGCTGCAGAGTGAGGGATGGCTCAGAAACCCCCCTGTAAGCAGGGGATCCCCAGAGCAGGCGGCCTGGCTCGTGGCCACCGCCAGGGAAGTGTTTGCCCTGTGTGCTCAGGTGTCCGTGCTGGACCTGCCAGGGCAGTGAGGCCCTGGGTGCCCTCACTGCAGAGAGGCAGGCAAAGGGCTTGACAATGACCTTGCCAGAGAAAACGGGTGTAAACACCAAGATCAGGATGGACCCAGGTGTTGGTCTTCTCCTCCAAGCTCCCCGATCCGTGCCTGGGTTTGGCCCCAGGCTGGGTGTGGGAGAAGGGCAGGAACTGACCCCTCTGAGAAGGGATGGGGTGGGGAGCCCCGGGGCAGGAGGGGGGGGCCAGCAGGATCCATCTCGGGCTTTTCAGCCTTGAAATCAAAGGGGCTTTGGAGCAGGTTTCCTTCATGCTCAGACGGCCCTGCTTGTCTCCTGCCCTTCCAGTGAGCAGGTGTGGGTGGGGAGCCGGATGAATAAGGGACTTACGCTATGAATAATGCTGGGAGAAATGTGCCTGGAAAATAGTGTGTCAGGATGGGGCTCACGGGAGGCACCGCACCACCGGACAGAGCCTCCCGGGACCGGGCCACCGGAGAGGTTGCCCTCCTCTGTGCTGAGCCGCGCACTGCCCGGTGCCAGCCCTCGTGGGTGGGCAGGAGAGGGCAACATTTCTCACAATGGCCTCTTATCCCAGAGGCTGCTCATCCACACCCTGGCCAGAGCTGGGAGCAGCCTGGGCTACACAAAGCACCGGCTGCATCTCTGGGAAACCATCCTGCCTCTCTGCGGTGCAGCGCGGAGCAGAGAGCGCGGGGTTGTCCCAGCCGGTGCGGGACGTGGGCACGGGCACAGGCTCCCACCAGCCTCCTGCAGCTGCGGGCTGGGTGAGCAGGGTGTGTAGAACTGAGGGTCGTGGGTCTGGGGTCCGGACAGCAGAAAGCACACAATGGCGCGGGGCCTTTTTCCTTTTAATCTGGATATTTTAACCTGTTTCTCCCAAATGTGAGTTCTGGGTTAAGCAAAGCATCCCCTAGCTCATGCCCACAGAGGAAGCGGGAGACTGCTGCTTTCTCCTTGCACAGTGCAAAAGCATCGCTCCATTAGCCAAGGAGTGAAAAGGCTTCTAGAGAAACTAGAGGGAAATGGCATTTCATTTGCCTTGAAACAGCATTATGGACTTCTGGATCACCTGGGGTGCATGAGAGGGTTTTTGCTGGGATCAGGCACGGCTGCCCATCCCCTCCTCTCCCATGCTCAGCTGGCACCCACCGCCCTCGGCCGGGGCAGGAGCGGTGCGAGCGGGCACAGCGAGGAGAAGGGGGCCCTTGGGCGGGCGGGCGGGCAGGCAGGAGAGCGGTGAGGACACCCCGGTGCCGGGGACACCGCTCGCCCCCAGGGCCAGACCTCGCCCCGCTCCTGGACTCCCAGACCTCTGGCCGCAGCCGAGGCTCCTGCTGCCCTTGCCCAGCGTTCCCCAGCGCCTGGCTGGGGCGACCGGCAGCGGAGGCAGATATTTTGCACGCTGTGCCTGGAGCAGTTGGGAAACAGGCAGCAGTGGAGCCGGGCGGCAGGTCGGACTGGTTTCCCTCCGCGCCCGGCGCTGGCACTGACGTACGAGCCCGCTCGCCAAACAGATTCTGCCCCGTCCCCGAGGACCTGACTTCGCTCTGCACCGTGCTGTGCAGCGAAGGATGGCCGTGCCGGAGCTGTGATCCCAGCCCAGCCCTGCAGCGGCCGATGGACGGGAAAACCTCTCTGGTAAGGCACGGGCAGCTCCCCTAGCTCTCACCCGGCGGGGGTGGCCATATGGACCCGCTTTTCTCGGGGTTTGGTGGAGGGCCCAGTTTCTCCCTCCTGCTCTCCGGGGTGTTGCCTTTGCAGCAGCCTGTTGCTGCCGGCGGGGAGGAGGACCCGGGGCGAGCTGCCCTCGGGGCTGCTTCCTCCGGCACCCCCTCGGCACACGGCGGGAGGAGGGCTGCCGCCAGCATCCCCGGTGCCAGCCCCGTGCCAGCTGAGGCGTCAGGGCCCCTGGCACTGCTGCTTTTCCACACTGCAGTGGATTTGCAAACCGGGGGGACCGGCTGGTGGGGGTGGGGGCTGGTGCTGCTGGTGAGAGCTGGTGCTGCTTGGCACCACGGGAGCCGCACGTTCCCGAGCCCGCTGGCACCTGCCAGCACGTCGGTAGCAGCGGCAGCACGTTGGCAGCCTTGGCCCCCGCTGCTCTCCCTCGCTGCTCTCTTGGCAGTTTTCCCCTGGCTCTTTTCGGGCTGGGTTGGCCGGGGCCTGCTCGGTCCCAGCCGTGGGGCCTTGCCGAGCATCCTGTCATGAGGAAAACATCCATCCCCGGCTGGGCACTGGGCTCGGCCCGCCCGGGCGAGGCAGCGGGTAATTACTGCGCCGAACACTGCCGGCTGTGCCAGCGACATCCGGAGAGCAAAGCCGGCAGTGATGGGGTGCTGGTGCTCGAGGGGAGGCAGGGCCAGCTGTGAAAGCCACCCTGTTCCTGCCCCTTGGCATGTGGGTGCCTCAGAGGCTTGTGCCAGATCCTGGCTGGGTCCGAGGGAAGGGCAGCTCGCCCCCAGCATCCTGGCTCTGGGTGGCCCCGAAAGCGGGCAGCAGCACTGCGCCTTGGTGAGAGCGGGGCCGGAATTGTCCCCACGTATGGAGACAATTACCCAATATTGGGCATCCCCAGTGGGCCACCGTGGCTTTGTCGCTTGGATTAATGGGCGATTAGGAGTCCTAGGTGCCACCCTCGGTTCTGCAACTGCAGGAGAGTCGCTTCAGCTTTCTGTGCCTCAGTTAGCCCATCTGTGGAATGGGGTGAGCGGCGATTACTCACCCCCTGGAACATTTTCTGATCTCTGCCTGAAGGGCTGCTCACACTGGCATAGGGCAACCTGTCCCTGGCCAGATGGGGCTGACTCAATCGACACGGCTCCTCATCTGTGCTTGCAAAATGGTCCTTGTGCGCTTCGGGATTTCACTTCCCTGTGCGTTCCCCTTTACAGCATCTGGGGCTCAGCAGCGTCCTCCCGCAGCTCCTGCCCGGTTTGTCCCTGGGACTGGGGGTCTGCCCCCTCCCAGGAGCGCACCGCCGAGGCACCGCTCAGCTGCGGCTCCCGAGCGGGACGGGTGTCACTGAGAGGGAACGGGCCCTTTCCCAGGCTCGGGAGGGTTTTGTCGCAGGTGAGCACGAGGACAATGTCGTTGTTGTGTGCTTGCTGAGCTAATCTGCCCCGGACAATCAGCGCTCCACCACCAGGTGAAGGAGCTGGTTTCCTGCCCCAAGCAGCTGTGAGCAGCAGAGAGCAATGGTGAGGGGCGGGCTGACGAACTCAGCTGAGAAAGATGATCACCAAATTATGGCAGCTCCTTCCAGTTTATTTAAGCCAGGCTGCAGCCCTCCTCTCTCGATGCTCCAAATTTTGGGTAGCTGCTGTGCCCTTCTGCTCCTCTGAGATGCAGCTGGGCCCTGGGTCTGGTTGCAACACCTCAGGTGTTGCCTGGCTTCTGCTCTCCCTCCCACTCTGAAACTGCGGGTGACTGCTGGCTGCTTTCCCTGCCATCCCTCCCCGTCTCGCGTGGATCCTGAGCCCGGCCTGCCTCTCCCCTGGCGATTGCCCTCTGCTGACATGGATTGGGGAGCCTTCCCTCCGTGGCAGGGACTTGAGCTGGAGGTCAGTGCACGTGGCAGCTCACGATACAAAGGGGACGGGCTTCTCTGGTGCTGCCATCAGTGCCTTTGGTGCTTTGTCCAGCTCAGCTCAAAGCCTCGGAGCAGAGCAGAGAAGGAGTGAGGAGGTGTTTACGCTCACGACACGTTTAGCAAAGGGCTTGTGTTGCAGACAGGCACCAGCCACTGGTCCCCCAGGCAGCCTGGGCCAGGCACAGGGTGAGCAGGGCTGGCCAGGGGTCCCCTGTGTGTCCCCAGTATCCCTCCCCCCCGACTGTCCCAAAGTCAGCCCTGTCACAGAAAGGAGCTGGCTCTGCTTCCCCCCCCCCCCCGCCTGACTTTCAGCTGCCAGCCCACAGCAGCGCTTAACGCTCTTGTGGCTGGTGGAACGTTTGCAGCGAGGATGTCAGAAAAAGGGCTCAAACCGCAGCCGCGTGTGTGAGATAGGTATGGCTCCGGGTCTGACTTTTACTCAAAAGCCAGCAAAGGATGAGTAAAGGTTTTGTGGGCAGAACTTGCAGCTCGCTTGCTGGGGTAATGCACACTCCTTAACAGAAATATCTTTGTGAGGCTGCTGCTGTTTGTTCTCTGCTCCAGTGACTCTACAGCAGCAACCAGTTATGCTGGTTACCAGCAGCCCGTGGTAAAACTTTTGTTTGCTTCTGCACCAGACCTTAAAACAAAAGATACTTGGACTTCAGACTTTTAAGGAAATAAGCAGCTAATAGTACACAGGAGTGTAAGAAAGGTCATGTGTTCCCTATGAAGGAATAATGAGAGTAATTTAAACCTATAGTGTACTTGCGGATTAATTTGAAATGTTCGCGCACTGGAGTGGGAAATGCTTTGGCAATCAGCATCACTGGCTTACTAGTGAAGCTGCATTGTGTTTTCTAGTATGATGGAGAGGTTTGTCCTTAACAGCTTTGTAATTCTGCTGATCTGATAACCTCAGGGTTGCTGCAGGATGAGGCATGTGAAATATCAGACATGTGGAGATAACATACAAATGTCAATGTAAATGATACTGCCTGGGTATTAACAAAAACCTCATTTACACATAGGCAGGAGAAATCCTTTTTGTAGGAAGGGTTGTTGGCATCTGCCTGTTGCCTTGTTTCTGCAAAGCAGTGGCGCGGGACCTGCTGCAGCGCTGGCTCTCCTGCTGATCTACGCTTTCTAGCAACGGGCACTGAGGGTACCCAGGGCCGTTTCAGGTGCGGGTGTGCAATGCTGGCTGCAAGAGCTTGGCTCCCATCGGCACGACTGCTCAGGCTCCTTAAGGGAGGACACTGCCGGGGCACTCTCCAGCCCCCCCAGCTGCTGTGCCAGCCCAGCCCCCCGGAGCACACCGAGGGGCTCTCCCGGCTCCCCGGCACCTTTAGGAGAGCCCATGAGAAGGCAAGACCGCAGCACGGCTCTCCGGGGCTTGCCACGGGGCTGCTGTGAAATTCAGGTGTAGGGAAAACCAGCCTTTGGCTGCAGGCTGAGCAAATTCAGGCTTGTCATCGCTGCCTGGCGGGGAGGGGGTGGGTGATGCTGCTCGCTCCGTCCCTGTCCCCTGACGGAGCGAGGAGGTGGCTCTCGATGGCCGGGAGACGTTAGCGGTGCCGAGGGCCCTGCGGGCAGCAGGAGGAGGTTTGTGCCGGGGGGTGGCCCTGCGCACCCTGCGGGTGGACAGGGCGGGTGGCCCGGGAGCCCGGGGTGCTGTGCCTGCCGGCTCTGCGGCACGGTTACTAAGGCACGAGGCCAGTGGTGGCACGTCCCCCCCCCCCGACCTTCAGCTGGGCGCTGGGGCAGACCCTGTGCGGGAGCGCGCGTGGCCACGCCAGGGTGCGTGACTCATGGGATTAATGCCCAGGAAGTTACACCACCGCATTGCAGGAAAGGGCACAGCCGTATTTACAAGGCACGAGCCTGAGCAGGCTCCCGACGTGCTCATTAGAGCCCTCGATTCTCAGCAGGAAACACAACGGCAGAGAAAATCCAGCTGGAAGGGGGCAGCGCGGCGGTGGCGGCTCTGGCTCTGCAGAAGGTGCCTGCGCTCTCTGCCCGTTCCAGAGCCGTGGCCAGCCCAGGTGCCGCTCGCCGCCTTGGCAGGGAAAGGGATGTTTTCTGGCTAGGGGGAAATGCCGTCTCCAGCAGCTGCAGGGCCAACAGTCGGAGCCAGGCTTCCAGAGGGGTGCGTCTGAGCCCACCTCTGGCCGGTAAGCGGTCCCCTGGGAGGTGGGCTGGGGTCTAGGTGCCGAGCTGGTCACACTGCTGCCCAAGGATTGCGGCCCCGCTTCTCCCTTGGGTGCCCCTTCTTTGGGACAGCAGCGACGTTGTCCGTAGGGACAGACCTAGTCCAAATTTCCCTTGGAGAGCCCAGTGCCAGCGCGGTCGGTTGTGGCTGTGTGGCGCTGGGAGCAGTGCGGAGACCCAAGCCCCCGCTGGGCTGTCAGGGCCAGGGGCCGGCTGGCCATGCCCTGGCAGTTTGTGTAAGGCACACGGGCATTTCTTATTGCCATAGACGTAGCTGAGATTTTACAAATGGCAGAGGAAACAGCATTGATTGTGGGCTTTGAACACAGGTCCTCTCCCAAGAAAAACAGGAGGTTTTTGTTTCTGTTGCTGACTGAAGCGGATAGAGCACTAGCAAGAGTATATCTTGAGGAAAGGAAACAAATACATATTCTTTGGCAAATTCATGGATCAGGAGTGACACAACTGCAGAACAGCATTCCAGGGTGCAGGACGTTTCAGGGCTTGGAAAACACTGATTATTAAGTATTACTAAATAACAGCTGGAAATTGCACTGTATTTTTCAAATGGCTAATTAAGGATAGATGCATAAATTGGGGCACTAGCCCCGCGGAACTGGGCCACAGTGTGACTGACCCGTTGCCAAATACTCGGCTGATTGCTCTGATCAAAGCGATCAGTTTGGGAAATTCCGCCAGCAGCCATCTAAGGGGGAACAGCTCTGTGACATAGAGGTTTTCAGCCATCCCGGATGGGGTACAGCTCAGGCTTCATGGAGCAGAGAGAGGCACCGCAGCAATAACTTTCCAGGTGGTTCATGGTACTGCGGAGGGAATAGTCACCAGTGGCAGTGGCTGACCGTGTCGGGGAGCTCGGCTCTGCATCGCCTTTGCCTTCTCACTGCTGGGGCGGCAGCTGTGGGGACTCTCCAGTGCTCAACGGTCACTGCCAGTAACGGTCCCCTCTGCTCGCAGGCCACGGCATCGTCCAGCAGTGTCCCGCCCAGCCTCCATGCCTCCCCCGTCAGCAGCATCTTCAGTGCCCGACCTCTGAAGCCTCGAGAAAGCGTCCTCGGCATTAGCTTCAAGCCTTACAGCCCCGAGTGCAGCCCAGCCCCGGCCGCCTGCACGACCTGTGAGAGCACACGTAAGAGGATGGTGCCGAGGGTGGCTGCCGGCTGCCCTGGCCCTGGTCCCACCTGGGGTGGGGAGGGATGGAGGGGGGCAGGGAATGGGTGCCTGGGCCCACAGCTGGCACAAGCCTCGGCCACAGGCTGGTGTTTCCCTGGGGGTGTGAGGGGTGCCGGGGGCAAAGGCGCGGACAGTGACCGTGGCAGGATGGGGGGACACCATGGAGCGGTGCGGGGTGTGCGTGGCCCTGCTGTCCCACATCTCCTGGGTCCTCTGGGGAGCCAGGGAGTTCCGGGCACATTGCTGGTTGGCAGCGGGGTCCGGGCACCTGGGGGGGGCAGCTGCCCCCCCTAACCCTGCCTCCACCCTGCTGCCAGGATCCTCCATGTTCAGAGCTCCCTGCATGAGCCAGCGACGGCTTGCGCTCATCTTCTGCATCTCCATCCTCATCGTGCTGCTCATCGCCCTCATCCTGCTGTGTGAGTGGGGTCCCAGCCTGGGGTGGCTCGGGGATCCTTGGGGGGTGGGAACACCTCAGAGGGGCTGGGGGTCAGCAGAGGCTGGGGAGACCTGTGCTGGGGAGTTCCCCAGAGGAGCAGGCAGAGACGTGTTCTTCCCACTGCCTGAGTGTTCCTGAGATCCGGCAGGCAGGCAGGAGCAGGATTGCTGGGGAAAAGAGATCTGCTGCTTGGGCTGCCTGCGGCGTCTGACAGGGCAGGGGGCTGCGCCGTGCTTTCCTTCTCCTGGCCTTGCTTTGGTGGGCGGCGGGGCACCCCCAGCAGCGCCCACGCCTGCCCTCCCTGAGGCGCGGGGTTAGTAGGCAGGAACCATCAAAGAAAGTGCAGACTGTAGGTGGGACAGGCACAGACGCTGGCGGAATCGCTCTAACCCTCGTGACATCCAGCTGCTGTAGCTGGTGGGCTCGAAGCATTCGTCAGGCTGAATGCATCTTTCTGCAGGAGCAAGCTAGAGGTAGGGTAAGTGAGAGAGGCTTGCAGCAGCTGAGCAGCACGGGGGGGGATGCTTGAAGCTGGCCAGTGCTCCTGCAGCCCTGCATCCTGCAGCTCTTCAGTCTTGGCTCGAATGGCAGCCTGGTGCCCAAGCTCATGCCTGGTGTTTGGGACAACCCCTGTGCATGGCAGACCCCTCCTCCAGCCTCCCGGCCGGCTGGGTCGCAGCACCCTCACCCACCGCGAGCCCCGGCCTCACCACGGCATTCTCTGGCTTCCAGTTATGTTCTGGCGGTCGCAGACCGGCATCGTGTACAAGGAGCCTGCCGAGAGCTGCAAGGACAGCCCCGTGCGCTGCGACGGCATCGTCGACTGCTCCCAGAGGAGTGACGAGCTGGGCTGCGGTGAGGCACCAGGAGCCGGGGCGGTGGGAGCGAGGGGACCCCCCGAGGTGCGGGGTGCCCCTGACCCCCCTGCTCCGCCCCTGCAGTGCGCTTCGCGTCCGACGAGTCCTTGCTCCACGTCTACTCCAGCACCGAGAACCAGTGGCTGCCGGTGTGCAGCAGCGCCTGGGACGACTCCTTTTCCAGAAAGACCTGCCGGCAGCTGGGATTTCAGAAGTAATTCCCTGAGGATGGGTTGTGCTGTTCAGGCGCTGGGCCCCTGCCAGCCCCCCGGGCGCAGCTCTGGCCGGGTGCACAGCCCACTGTGCTCTTTCCCCCAGCATCGTGCTTTTCCGCTGGAAGGCTGTGTGTCCGGCACTGCTCTGGGCATTTCAGTCCATCCCCCCGGGTTTAGCGAGAAGGCAGGGACCAGGCAGGCAGTGCCTCACTGCCTCTCTCCTCTCCCCACCCAGTGCATCACAGACCGAATACGTTCCCCTGCGCATCTCGGGCAAGAGCCTCGCCGTGACCGACGAGCGAGAGACCATCCAGCAGAGCCTCAACAGGTACCAGGCAGCGTCACCTCCTGCCCCTGCCCCGGTGCCGCAGGGCCAGGGCTGAGGCCGCGTCTCCCTCTTCTCTCCTGCAGCTCACAGTGTCTCACGGGAAAGTACGTCTCCCTCCGGTGCACAAGTAAGGGGCCTGGCTGGCAGGACATGGGGCCGAGGGTGGGCAAGGCCACACACATGCTTGGGAGCGCTTTCCTCCTCTCTTTGCACAGCGTTGGGCAAATAGGGCGTTTTCCAGGAAACTTTCTGGGTAATAAAAACTACAAAGATTGCATTCCCGTGGCCTCTGCTGCTCCTGCGAATGTACGGAGCACCGCTGGTGCCTGCGGGTGGTGGGGATGTTGTGCGTGTCCCCCTCCAAGCTTGCCTTCTCTGAGCCCTGCTCTCAGCCCCGCTCTCCCCTCTAGCCTGTGGGCAGAGAATTTCTGGCCGGATCATCGGAGGAAAGGAAACCTCTGTGAGCAAATGGCCCTGGCAAGTCAGCGTGCAGTATGGGCCGATCCACATCTGCGGCGGCACCATCATCGACGCGCAGTGGGTCCTCACCGCAGCCCACTGCTTCTTCATGTGAGTGCTGCTGCAGGCAGCTGCCCGCAGTGCTGCCGTCCAGCCCCGGCCGGCAGCGCCCGCGCTGGCACCCATCCCATCCCTGCGCCCTGCACCTCACCCCTGCTGCCCCCGCCTCTCCCCGCCCAGGAATAGCATGAAGATCCTCGACGACTGGAAGGTGTACGGCGGGGTCTCGGACCTGAAGCAGCACGCAGAGGGCATCCCCGTCTCCCAGGTCATCATCAACTCCAACTACAGCGACGATCACGATGACTACGACATCGCTCTCATGAAGCTCTCCAGGCCGCTGACGCTCTCGGGTGAGGCCTCAGCTCGCCGTGCCGCAGGGCTGGGCTTGGCTGGGGCTGGTGTCGGGGGTCAGAGAGATCCTGGGGGTGGGCAGGAGCAAGAGGCAGCGTGGGTCTGCTCAGAGCATCCCCTGGGCTGCGCGGGGCTGCTGCCGGCTGGAGCATCCCGCTCTGCTGCGGCCACACCGCTCTCCCCGCCCGTGCCGTGGTCGGGAACTGGCCCAACATCCCCTGGCAGGGCCCGGCACGCACGCAGCAGCGGGGGCCGGCACAGACCCTGCCCGGGTGGGCGCAGAGCAGGAGGTTCCCTGCGCACCGCGCTCCTCCCTAGCCGCAGGGCTGGTGACTACGGTGGCCATTTCGCTCCTGGGTGACTCATCCCTCTCTCCTCGCCTGCTTTTCATCATGTCTCCCTCCAGCTCAGGTTCGCCCTGCCTGCCTCCCCATGTACGACCAGCGATTCCAGACCGGCAGGTCCTGCTTCATCACCGGCTTTGGGAAGACGAGGGAGAATGAAGGTGAGGGAGGACGCCGGCTCCCCGCAGGCAGCTCCCGTGTGCCGCAGCCCGACCTGTGAGCGCGGCTCTGCTGTGGAGTTCGAGGGCCGTTCCCGCAGGGCAGATGCGCGGCAGTTGCCCTCCCTGCTGTGCGGCTCTGCAGAAATAAGGTCTGCAAGAAATACCAGCTTCCTCCCTCCCTGCTGCAGAAAGGCCTGGTGCTGCGGAGGGGTCTGGGGGGCGGGGGGGGGCCGAGGCCCACCCTGCCCCACGGCTCCTCCTGACTTGCAGATAACACGTCCCCGAAGCTGCGGGAGGCGGAGGTGAAGCTGATTGACTACAAGATCTGCAACAGCGACAAGGTGTACGAGGGCTACCTGACCCCACGGATGATGTGCGCCGGGTACCTGCAGGGAGGGAAGGATGCGTGCCAGGTGAGCCAGGGGCACACGGTCCCCCCAGGCAAGGTGCTGCGGGACCGGCAGGACTGCCCACTTTTCCTGCACGCTGGTGTCCCCTGGCTGGGTTACATCTCCCGTCTCTTCTCACTGCTCTGCCCCTCCGTGCCAGGGCGACAGCGGAGGGCCCCTGGTCTGCGAGGACAACGGCCGCTGGTACGTGGCCGGGGTGACGAGTTGGGGGACAGGATGTGGCCAGAAGAATAAACCCGGTGTGTACACACGTGTGACAAAGCTCCTCGGCTGGATATACAGCAAAATGGAGGTGAGGCGGCATGGCAGGGCCGTGCTTGGGCAGGGCGACCCACCAGGTGGCCCTGAGTGCATGGAGAGGGGCTGTAGCCCCCCTGCCCAGCCCCTGGCACCTCACCCTTGCTCTCCCCTCTCTCCCTTGCAGAGCGAGAACGACTAAGACCGGGATGGACACTTGCCTGGGCTGTGCCTCTCCGGCCGGCACAGGCCCCTGCCCTTGGCTGCTGCCAGGGCATGACGCTACCAGCAGATCCCCCCACCTACCTCTGGACTGTCCGTGCGGCCAGGGAGCCCCCAGCCTCTGAAAAACACGGCGCCTGCAGCGTGACCCTGCCCTCGCCCCGTGCAAGGGAGGTGGCCTGGTGGCGGGTGGGCGAAGCACCCAGCCAGCCCCGGCCGGCAGCGCGCGGGGGGCAGCAGCCTGTGCCGGCAGCGGGCCGTGCCGGCGGGCAGTGCCTCCTCGCCCCGTGTCTGTGGTTCCTCTCATGTAAATAGACGTGTCCGGACGGGGTGTCGCGAGTGCTTCCTGGCAGGACTGCGGCGGGTGAGGGGCTGCTAGGGCCGCCCCGCGAGCCGGTGGAGGTTGCGGATGGAAGCGAGGAGCAGGAAAGCCGTGGGGTGCCCATGGCGAGGGAGTGCTCTCCTTCGCACGCTGCCCCGGCGGGCAGCAGCTGCCCACGCCTGCGAGGCCACGCTCCCTGTTTTCTCCAGGGAGGGCTGAGCGAAGGGGAGCCCCGAGGTGCAGTTATTCCACCCTCCGGGAGGAGCAAGAGTTGCTCTCATGTTTGCAGATAGGTTTAGGAAGCATGTTGTAAATGACGATCCTCCCAGTGAGAGCAATACCCATTTGTTTACTTTTCTGTGCCGCAGACCTGGTCTGAGCAAGCACTCGCTGCCAGGACTGTGTGCAGGCGGTCTGGGTGCTCCCCGCCGGCAGTGGTGAGGATTTTGGCAGCGGCGGGGGGGCAGGCCTGCTCTCCGGGGGTGGCTGCGGGAGGTGTGACAGAAGCGAGCGGCAGCCAAAGGCCGCGGTGGAGCATGATGCAGAGCAGCCCCTCTGCCACGTGAGCCAGCCCCCGGATCTCGCAGCCTGCGGTTCAGTGACCGTGCTGGATTGCCTCCTCCTCCCTCCGCCTGCCGAGCACGCAGCGGGGGCGTAGCCAGCCTCGCCTCCCCTCACAACCCCCCCAAGGAACCCAGCGCCCGCGTCTCCCTGCGGATGCTTTGAGGCACACGAGGAGCTGCGGGAGATGCCCCCCTTGGCAGTGTGAGCACCCAGCGGGTGAGCAGAGGCTGGCTGCCCCGGGCCGAGGCTGCGCTCCTCTCCCCAGGCGGGTGGTCAGCGGCAGGGAGGGGTCCTGGGGAGCCTGCCTACCCCGCACTCTTCTCAATAAACGTTTTGGTAGTTCTCCACGTGGAGATGGCTCTTTTGGACAGGCTGGAAAGGAAGCCGCTGAGCCCCAGGCAGCAGCGAGAGCTCTGCCCACCCCCGGGCTCTGCACTGGGCCCTGGCTGGAGCCCCCATGCCGTGATGCTCCGGGGCTGCCCCCCTCCTCGTGGCTCTTTGGGTCCCAGCAGCAAAGGGGCAAGCCGTGCCTGCTGCAGTGGGCCCACGGGACCGGCGTGGAGCAAGCGAGCGGGGGGGGGGCTGCAGCCGTGTGCGGGTGGGGGTCTGTGGGATGTGCTCAGCACCCCACTGCACACCAGCTCCTGAGCGGCCCTTGTACTCTTGCCATTCGTGTGATGGAGTGGCTTTCTGCAGAGCCCTTCCTCCTCTGAGTTACTGCTCAGGACTGGGAGAAAGGGGGTGTTTTAGATCTTATGGGGGCTTGGCAGCAGAGGCTCAGGTATGGAGGTAGCGTAGGCGTGGAGCTGTGTGGGGATAAAGCTTCAAGAGAGGGGGATTCATGGGCATGAGCCCAGGGGAGAGCTGAATCAAATTTCAGCTTGTGAATGCTGTGGACCAGAATAAAACACTTTCCTGAGAAGGCTGCACAGCCTCTGCAGTTGCCCCATGTTAGAGAAATGGCAGTAATGAGCACCTAGCTTTGCATTTTCCTTGGGAGGAGGAAAGGTTACTTCCCCTGGTTCTTTGTAACCCATCTTCTTGCAGTTGGAAACATTAAAGGAAGGACTGATGCTTTGGGGAGCTCACTCGCTCTCTCCGTGATAGTCTGAACTGCCTCAGGAGTCTGCCTCCACTCCAGCGGCCGTGGCCCCTTCGCCCCGGCACCGGAGTGCGATGGCCCCCCCCCCTCTCCCTCGGGGGGCAGGGGGCTGCTGTGGCGCGGGGCGGCAAACCCCGAGCGGAGGGATCTGTGCTGCAGTGTCCAGCACGTCAGGCAGAGGAACCGGAAACATCAGTTCCCCAAAGGATGTGAGGACCGGACCTTGCACGGGCCAGGCAGCCCTGTTTCTGACCCGCACCGCTTACGGCCGGGCTCTCCGGCTCTTTGGGGACTGGGAAGGCTCATTTCCCGTCGGCGTGCTGGGGACTGCCATCTCCAACCGCGCACAGGCTCCGGAGCTGCAGAGGCTACCTGCAAAGCGAAGATGAGAAATTCTCGGGGTGTGGGGGCTGCTGCAGGTGTGTCCTCCCCCTCACCTCCTGGGAGCAACCCCTGGCTTCCCAGAACTGGCCGCCTGATGTGGAAGATGTTATCTGCAGGCAGAGAGCCGCGGTTTGCATTTGAATTTTGGGATAGTCTAGTCTGGCTCTGTGTGCAGAAAGCACCCACCTTTCCTCTGAACTGGGAGCTGGCCCCAGCCTGCAGGGTGCTACTTGGCAGCTGCTCCAGACCTGCACCAAAACAGTACGAGCTGTTGCCTTTTGGGAAACACTGAGTCAGCCTGACCTCAAATAGCTTTTCAAAGCAGCAACCCAGAAACCTCCCACGGCATGCGGGAGCCTCCCATGAAGGGGGTGTGCAGAGGCCAAGGGACTGTTTTCCCTTTATAATGTCTTTGCTGATTCGTGAGTTCAGGGGCAATAACCTGCTGCTGACACCAACTTGCTGTAGCTTAGGCTGGAGAGGAACTTGAGCTGTGGTGCAAAGCCCGGCCTGTTAAGGCTCCTGTTGTTACGGGGCAGTGACCTGCTGGGAAGCGCAGAGCTGCGAGACTGATGGTGGCAGTGAGAGAGGGAGCAGAGCCCGTGGGTGTGGGGAGGTGTACGTGCTCAGCTCCACCGTGCACACGTGGCTGGGGAGCTGTGCAGGGGTGCAGAGGATGCCCTGCAGCTCTGACCCGGGGTGGGGTGAACCCCGAGGCAGGGGGGCCCACGGCCGTGCCAGTTCAGCCTCCCAGGGAAGTGAATGGGCCTCATCCGGGCTCGGGGTGCTAGGGAAATGCTCAGCCGGACCAGAAGTGCTGCTGGCTCCTGACTCAGCTGGTGCTGCCAGAATAACCCTGGAAACTGCTAAAAATAGAAGCGTGAGAAGGGCCTGGGGCAGACCTGCCGGGGTGGGCTCTGCTGGGGTGGGCTGTGCCGCCCCGCTCGCGCGCTCAGCTCCAGTGCTGCCCCTCGAGCCCGAAGCGGGCTCCCCAGGGGGGGTGCCCCGCTGCCCCCGCCCCACAGCCGGGGCTCTTCGGGAGGGCGAGCGCAGGGTGATACAGGGAGGCTGGTGCCAGCAACGGCAGCAGCCTCCCCCTTCTGTAACCCCCCGGGCAGTGGCTTTGGGGAGCTGCAGGGCGCTGGCCCCGGGGGAGCGGCAGTGCTGCCGGCCGCGTGGCCGGCACTGGGCTCGGGCACCTCGGTGGCATTTCTCCATGTCACCTCCTTGCACATCCTGCTTGGAGGCAGCAGAGGAACGGTGGCGGCTGTGGGGTGGTGGCTTTTGTCCAGGCACAGGGACTTGCCAGGGCAGGGTACAGGCTCTCGCCGTGGGCGACCCAGGTGTGATGTGCGCTGGTGTGAAACCCGTTGGGTGCCCTGGGTCAGGGGCTGAGAGCCACCTCTGCCCCTGGTCACAGGGGAGGCAGCGGGGAGGACGGGGGGCTCCTGCTGCCTGGCCGCAGAGGCACTGCACCTTTGCTGACCGTGTTACGGCTGACCACCCGGCACGTGCAGCGGTGAAGGCAACGGGGGTTTTCACAGACAAAAGAGGTTAGGATGGGGTAAGAGTAGGGGCTGCCCCGACTCTTCCCCACTTTAAGTTGATCTGATGAAATTGTGATTTCAGTGGTTCTTAAGTTAGAGACCCAGCTTACACTTGTCCAAAGGCTCTCTGAGTTCTCAGGGTTTCTGCTCAGAAAAGTCACAGCGTGCCCCACACAGCAGCAGCTCCTAACATTTCAGTGCTGTCTGAGATGGCATGCTGGAGACACAGAACTTTCTCAAAAGAATTAAACAAGAATTGGAACCCAATAAGAGCTGATCTTGCTGGAAGTACGTTCCTGGTAATGGTGCCATTTCAGCACGTGGAGTACCTGCTCCTCCGCTGTGCATTTCACCTCCTCAGAGGTTCTTGCTCTTCTGCACTCTGAAATAGTCTCTCAAAGCAGAGAAATTATTTCTGCCCCTAATACGGATTTGGTATTTGTCTTCTAAACCTAACATCCAGTGGTGTCTCCTCCCAGGCTCACAGAAAGGTATGCTGTGCTTTCCCAAGGGCTGAAGTTTCCCAACCCCATCAGAAGCGACTAGTTTCCCATGCAGCTGCCCAGCTGCCTGCCCGCGGCTGCTGTGCTCTGCTGTTCCCAATGACAATGCCGTGCAGGTGAAGCAGACATCTCGGACAGCGCTTCAGCTCTGCTCCCGGAGCACTGGAGCAGAAAGGTCCTTCTGGCCGTAGCCCCCGGGGGAGCACAGCGGTGGTGGGGGCCAGCCCAGCCCCAAGGAGCCTCCTGGGCCCAGCCCGGGCCGGCACCGGCTGCTCTCGCAAAGCCCCCGGGGCGTAGCACCCTGCTTGCTCGGCTGCGTCCTGCTCTGGAGCATCCTCCGAGATGAGGGGCCCTGAGCACGGCCCCACATCTGGCTGGGCTGTTTCCATAATCCTCCATGCTTTGGAAATCATAGGCCAGTGTCCCGCAGGAATATAAATTACAAAAATACAGTCTTGCGGGCACCATGTGAATTACTGTGCATTAGCGGTGTTTTTCCCCAGCTCTCCTTTTATAGCTCTTTGTTCTGTTGTGTCAAAACTGATGTTTATATGGTTTCAGAGACGATGTTTCTCTTCAGAAATGTTTTTCCCACAGTTTTGGATTGGTTCCCTTCCACGGTTGGCAACATCATCACTTGGCACAGGGTCACTGAACTTCAGCTTGTGCAATCCCCACGCTGGCTGCGCTCGACTAGCGAACGCGGCCCTCAGCAGCTTCAGCACGGTCCGCTGCTTTGTCCTTCGCTCCCGGGGGAACCCAGAGCACCAGGACTGACCTGGGTCTGATGCAAGACCCTGGCGTTGGGTTAAATGCAGCCTTATGGCTGTGTGCACCTTCCGTCCCGGCTCGGTGCTCCCATGCCCTGCCCGGGCCGAGGGCCACGCCGCCACTGAACGAGAAATTTGCCAATGTTTGCAAGCTTCGCGTTACAGAGGAGGGCAAGACCCTAAAATCGGAGGCAGAAGGTCTGGAGAGCAAGTGCCTCCTTCCCCTGCTCCCTGCCAAACCTCGCTGCCCAAGAGCGCAGGGGAGAGACGCCTGCTCCCCAGCTGCCCCGCTGTAAGACGACACAGGGCAGAGATGAAATCATGCCCTTTTTGAAGCTACTGGCAACGCGCCGATTGACTCGAATAGCATGAGGAGATCAGCCCAGCCCCTTCCTTAGCATAAATCAGCATCGCCTGCCTGGCCGCGGTGCTGCTAGCCTGCACGACACCAGCAAAAGGTTTGGCCCAGTTTCGCCAGAAAGGAAGCCACTGCTCTGCACCGTGCTCTCCAGCCGTGCGGCTCTGGAGCAGGCGTTTGCCGTTAGCAACCGTCGGAGCTGCTTTCCCTCCGTGGGAGTAGCACAACGGACCCCTCGCTTCCTGCATTCACCGGGAGGCCTCTATTTTATCTGAGTTTGCACAGAGAAAAAAAATAAATCCATGCTGCTAATTGTTTAGAGCCTACCCGCTTTGGGCAGTGCCTTGCAAATGCATAAAGAACTAAAGGAAGGAGAGCACGGAGTGCAGGCAGCCCTGGGTCCGGGCCACTGCCGGCGTGGGGGCTCTGTGTCTGTGGCTCCGCAGAGACCCGTCGCGCTCGCTGCAGTCCCCGGGGCGTGATCCTGGCATCGTGGTGCTTTACTGTGTGCCGTGGATAGTAACGGCGGAGGAGCAGGTAAGGTCAGAGAAGCTTGAAACTTGATTATAACGGCTTGATCCCTGCCTCGCTCACTGCAGGGTAAGCGACAGCCTTATCATGTTATCCCGATGCATTAGAGAGACTTGACGTTGTCCAGCTCCTCTGTCTTGGTCTGTATCTCTTGACCCTTCTGAATCATTGCCCTGAAATGCCAGTGCTGGATAATTTTCTTTTTATATTTTACTGGAAACTGGGAAATTAATGTACAATGGCCTGTGTGCCATTAATGTCTGATTTCTCTCTGAGATGCATTTGAGTAATTAGGGGATGAACCGCCCCTGTGGTGACAGCATTGCTAAGGTGTTTTTTCAAGGAGAAACGGCTCTCCAGGGCAGCAGCAGGAGCCAAGCAGACACGGGTGTGCCAGCCTGGCCCGAAAGGGAGCGGTGCCCCGCAGCCCTTGGCAGCCAGCTACTGCCCAGCACCGCTCCCAGTGCCTGTTGCCCATCGGAGACGGTGCCCGGCCGATGGGAAGCCCAGGGTTTGCGCGGATACCACCGAGCAGTTTGGATGCTGTGGTCTGCCCAGCTCTCAGGAGCTCGGGGCAGGCTGACTGCACTCCCGTTGCGGTTGCCCACAGCCACGGGGTGCTGGCCACGGGCGTCTCGCTGGCTCCAAGCACAGCCAGGACCACAGCTTCCCTCCCCGCTGTGGCTGCTCCCCGGCCACGAGCAGCTCGCCGGGCACAGGCGCTCCCTCCGGGGACTGTGCCGAGATATATTAAACGCTAACTCCCTCCCAGATCTCACTCTTCCCAACGCGCCCAGCTGTCCGATGGGAATAAACAGGTTGGTTGCCACCAAGCTCTGTGACAGGGTGCTCGTTCACAGCAGCAGCGGGTCCAGCCCTTCTCCTTCTGTTGGGCAGTATTTTCCCTCGCCTGTGAAGCATGTGCGAGTTTCTGGCCTGCTCTGGGAAAGACCCAAAGGGTCTGCTGCTCTGCAGCCACTCAGTGCTGGCTGCCTGGGGGAGGGAATGCAGGGAGCAGGTCCTGAGCACGCCTGAAACCAGTCCAGGTGCTGCCACCACTGAGCCCGGAGCTGGGTGGCCCCGGGGACCCGAGTGGGTGACGTGACCAGCGGCACCCCCTTTCCCAGCTACACCCTTCTGCTCTCGGGGGGCAGCGCGCACCAAAGAAAGGCTTCTGCCCCGGTTTGTGGGCGTGGGTTCTCTGTTCCCCGGAGGAGCTCCCGCTCCAGCGCTGCGTGCCGCTCCCCCCGCCACCTCCGCTCCCCGGGACAGAGCCCACGCCCGCTCTCCGCTGCGAGAACCGACCTCCCCACGCCCGGTAAGCGCTGCCCCTTCGCGGCCGCCCCCCGCCCGCAGCGGCACCTTCCGCGGCGAGGGGGGTCTCTGGGAGCAGCCGCCCCTCCCCGGGACCCCCACCCGCGGCGGGGCAAACGCGGCTGCCAGCCCGCCCCGCCGCCGTCCCGGCCCCCCGTGGGGCGCTCCCGGGTGTCGGGGCGGGGGGGGACGGGACGGGACGGACGCCGGCCCCGCTGCCCCCCCCCCCCCACCCGCCGCGGGCAGGCGCCGCCCCTGCCCCGCCCGGCCCCGCTCCCCTTTGTGCGGCAGCGCGGCTCTGCGCACACGCGGCCCGCTCCGCTCCGCGCCGTTCCCCTCCCGCCCGGCACCGCCCGCATCAGCGGGGCGCGACGGCCCGGCCCGGCCCGGCGAGCTCAGGTGGGTCCGAGCGACGCGGGGCCGGCGGCGGAGGGGGCGGCTGGGCGGCTCGGGGCGGGGGCGGGGGGGATCGGGGGTCCGCGGCCCCGTCCCACCGGGCCGCAGCCCGCTTCTGCCGGGGAGGCACCGGGGCCCCCGCCCCGCTGCCCCGGGGCATCGCCCCCGGCCGCCCGCATCCCCGGCCCCGGCGGCTGCCATGGCAACGCCGGGTACCATCGCTTCCCTCATCCCACCGTTGCCTGGTTACCGGCCCCCCGTGCTGGGAAGGATGCCCCGGCGGACCAGCCGGCCCCACCCGAGGCCAGCGTGGGTAGATCTCCGGCACGCCCGGGCCCCCTCGGTGCTCCCCGGGCTGGCTGGTGCGCGGGGATCTCGGGGAGCAGGGAGGGAATCCTCCTCTCCGAGGATTTGGCAGCACCCTGCCTTCTGTTGTTAAATATTTCAGTAACAGCGTAGCGATACATAAACACTCGAGTGCCTTATCCCGGGAAGGCGTACCAGAGGAGAGGAAGAGCGTGTCTCTGGGGTGTGTAATTAATGCTTCCCGAAGAAACAGATACCAGAGTCCATGTGGTGGAACTCGGATCTTGCAGGAATATTTCCGTGGGAGGGAAAGTGACAGGTGGTTTGTGTGGATGTGAATAAGCTTTGCAGCCTGAAAGAGCAGCCTCGGGGAAAGCAGCGTGTGGAGTAGGACTCGAGGCAGCCCCCTGCACCCGCCTCAGCGAGCCCGCCGTGCTCCAAGGCGCGGCTGGGTCCCGCTGGGATCTTTAGTCCCACTGGGTGGTTTCGCTCCCAGTTTGGAACAAAGACAAGCCCGGGGAGTCCCTGCCCGCGCGCCCCAGGAGCGTGGCTGCGAGCCGGGGTGATGGGGAGCGTGCGAGGGCGAGCTGCCAGCGTCAAGTGGGGCGGCTGCGGAGCCGGGCCACCTGCTAGAGCCAGACAGTAGCCCCGTGCCTGCGAGGTGTGGGGCTGAATGTACCTTCCTCTCGCCAGGCTCGTGTTTCACGCTCGCCTTGCCGTTTTAGCTGCCTCCTTGAAACTCGCCCATTCAGGTAAAAGGGGTAGAGGCGCGGTTTTATCAGGAGCTTAGGCTTTGGTGTTGAGGACAACCCCCTGGCCCAGCGCGCTGGCAGCTTTGTGTCTGGTTGTTCCCCGTGCTCTCCTTTCGGGTTCTTTGTGTGTTTCGAAAGTGGAAAGAGGCCGCCGAGCTCCGCGGCGGCCGCGTTGCCGCGCTGGCCGAGCACGGCGAAGGCGCCGCTCGCACCGGGCAGCATGCCGTGAGCGGGGACAGCCCCTCGGCAGGACGCTGCCGCTGCCCGCCGCTGGCAGGGACCGCGGCCGTGCCTGGTGGGGACTTGTGTTTGCCTCGCGCTCGGCAGGGGCCGTGACTGATGGCAGCAGCGAAGGAGAGATCGGAGAAAATGTCCGCTCTCTGATGCTGTGCTGCGCGTGGCAGTATTGTGGTATCCCGGGACACATGGGAGCTTGAAACAGCTGCTCTGTCACAGCTATTTCAGGTTCTGGCCGACCTGTTGGATTCCTGTTGTGCTGCTGCCCCCCTCAGCAGGCAGAGCCCGGGCTTTAGCCAGTGTGCAGCGAGGGCTGGGGAGAGCCGGGTGTGTCGGGAGGACGGCACGCGTCAAGGTTTACACCACTCGGGTAGCTGTTAAGCAAACAAGGAGAGAAGAGGAGCAGCAGGCTCCTGGCGGGGCGTGGGGGTGGTCCCGGCTCCCCGGAGCCAGGGGCTGGGTCCCCTGCCTGCAATCCCGACGCCGGTGCTGCCGGGTGGCCATTAGCTCGGCATCGCTGCACGGGAGGATTCCCTCAAGGGAAGGGCTGGCCTCGCTCTTTCGTGCCTGCCGCTTGTCCTGCGGGGAACGGCGTAGCGGCGGGTGGGCCGGGACTGCGCCCGAGCCAGACACGGCCGGGCAGCTTTGGCTAAGGCTCTGGGATGTTTCAGGGCCGGTTGCCTGGGGTGGGAGGAAGCCCTGCAGGAGGTGAGTTTAATGCTGGGGTGCAGGTGAGGGATGCAGCACGGGGTGCGCTCCGAGCCTCGTTTAGCCCTGTTCAGTGACTCTTGCGAGCATCGACACGGTCAGGGCTGCTCCGTGGTGGTCAGCGTGCGAGTCTGGTTCAGCAGCAGGGCTGAAGTTTGGGTCGCTGGGGCTCCTGGACAGGGTTTCCTTTGCATCTCCTCTGCTTTGGGGAGATACCCCAAACCCTCAAGAGACAGTCAGATCTTAGTAAAGTCAGTTTTGCTTCTTCCATCCGGCCAGCCTTTGAAGCGGCACCAGATCTGGGGAGTGCTGCCTGTATCAGAATGGCGAGGGCTGGAAATCTCTCCTTCTCTCTCATTTAGGAACATGAGGCACAAGAGGCACATTAATAGCCAGATTGATGCTGACGTGAAATGGCAGAAGAGCACATCTATGCAGAGCTGGAAATGCCCATTCACACATGCACGCCCTTAAATGCTCCAGGCAACTGAGCACTGCTGTCACGGTCTGGGGGCCTTTGCACAGAAACTAGAGATTTTAACTAGGTCTGATCTTCAGGAGATGCCCTGAGGACTCCTGACGGAAGGCGGAGGCTGCCCGGCATTATGCTGTGATGGCTGAGATTTGACAGGGCAGATCCATGCAGAACAGTGAGAAGGAAAAGGGGACTTCAGGATGCAACGCCATTACAAATTTACCTGCCTTGCTCTGGCATGATTTGCTGTGCTACAGAGAGCTAATCAGCGGGCAGGGGAGAGTGGGTCTGTCTGCCCGGCTTTCCCCCTGCTCCTCTGTCTCTCACACACACAATCTCCATGCACGCACGCACGCACGCTGACCAATGACAGGCAGAATTGCAAGGAGGGATTGTGCAGAAGCAAGAGGCTGAGGGAGAGCGGTGACTGAGCCTTGCATGGAGGGAAGGATGTTGGCTCTGAGCTTGGCAGGGCGGTGGCAGGGCAGTGAGTCACCCAGCCAGCTCTGGTCCCTGCTCTGCCTGCCCAAAGCCTGAGCTCAGCATGGGGATGGAGCGGCGAGGGTGGCCCTGCCGCGGCCACCCAGCTCTGGCTCGCACCCACGCCGGCGAGCCGCAGCCCCTGCGCCGGCACAGCCCCATGCCACGTCTCCACCGGCCGTGCTGGGCAGAGTGGGACCGAGCCGCGGCCGGGTGCCGCCTGCCCCGAGGTGCTGCTGGCCCAGGCTGGTGGCCGCGGGGGCCGGGCTGTGCCGAGGGGTGGCCATGGCTGTGCTGGTTCCTCTGGTGCTTTCCCAGGGCAGGGAGGGCACCCCTGGGCACCCTGTGGGCACCACCTTCAATCCCTCACCACGGGGCAGGTCCGGCCCCGGCTGCCCCCACGGCACAGGATTGGGCCCCCAGCCCAGACTCATCCCCATCCTGCCGGTGAGGGGTTCAGCGAAAGCGCGGGTCAGCCCCCAAACTGCAAACTGCACGCGCTCCCTCGGCCGCATCGTTGCTGCCTTCACCCGAGAGCCTCTCCCAAATGCCAGATGTCCTCCTCCCAGCACCTGCTCAGCCATGCAGCTGGAGACGTGGGGGTAAATATTTGGTTCTCCCTCTTAAAACTGCAGATTGGGTCGAGGCGTGAGGGAAGGAGAGCCCTGGGCACCGCTGCCCCGCTTCCTGTGCCTCGCTGCCCACCTCCGTATTTAGGCAGACCTCGCAGTTTTACCAGGAAAAAAGCCTGTTTTGATTCAAGTCACACACAAAGTGCAGGGTGCTGCTGTTGCCCCGTGCTTTGTCCGGGGGTGTGGCAGCTCGGTTTGGTGACTGCAAACTTTGTGCCTCTAATGGGGAGAAAGCAGGGAGGTCTGTGCCCAGCGGCGCAGCGCGGGCTGTGTGGCCGTGGCCAGGCACGGGGCTGCTGGCGCGTGTTATTTTTCCACCGCCTTTGTGCAAAGGCACAGCCGGATTCAGTGTGAACGGAGGGCAGGGAACGGCACCTTTGTGCCTTGAACGCTCTCATCTGAAGGTGCAAGCGGGGAAAATGGCAAACCCTTTGCAATGTTTGCTCTTCTCACTTTATTTCAGCTTCATGGAAAAGTGGGTGGGCCAGCTTGAAACAACCCAAAAAACCTGTAGCGCTTCGCAAAGCATATGCTTCCTTGGAGGAGAGCGGGGCTCATTTGCACTCCAGAATGCTGTGTTTGTTTTTCGAGCAAGGACACTGCCAATCCTGATGGTTAACTCGTGCAGAGATAAGTTTCAGCGTGCGGAAGTGTGTGAATTTTAGGAACCGAGTTAGAAAAGCAAAGAACATATGTGTGCTGTGTGCTTGGCTTGGCGAAAAAGTGAACTCTGCCGCACCGAGTGCGAGAAGCCAAGAGCTGAGCGGAGGGCTGCAAACGGCGCCTGTGGCTGAGCAGGGCCCCAGCGCTGGCCTGCTGCCTCGGGCGGCTGCGGGGGGCTGGCGGCGGCCGCGGGCAAGCGGGAGCGGAGCCTTCGGCGGCTGCCGGAGCGGGGAGATGTTCGCTGCTGTCGGCGCTGGCGAAACCCGTCGCGGCTCCTGCGTTTACGAAGCTGCCCTGGGTCAGACCCCCTGGCTGCTGCAGGCAGGGCTGCCCGTGCTGTAAAGCGCCTTTCCAGGGGTCAGTGGGAGCCCCCCGAAATAGAGACGGTGTGAGGGCGCGCGGCTGGCGGCTGGGACCGAGGGCGCTGGGAGGGGAATGCTGCTGGCTGGCGCGGGAGGGGAGCGAGCGGGGGCCAGCGCCCCCGGCCAGGATGCCTGCGCTCGCTGGGGGGCCGGGGAGAGTCAAGAGGAATGCAAAATTCCCCGGGTATGTTCTCCAGGGGATGTCACTGAGCTGCTGCCGGGAGAGTAGTCAAATAACGGCAAAGGAAACGGTAAAAATCTGATGGATGACTTGTTCAAAAAATAAAGGCCTCATTAATATGCTCCAAGAGCCAATGAATACCGTTCATCTAGCGATGGCACGTGCTGTATCGCATCTCCTTGTGCACATACAGCACCCTCGCAATGGGTAATGACACTGATTCTGCGCTGGCAGCCTCGGCAGTAAATAGAAAAAGGACACGAGAGAAAGGACATCGGAGAATGTGCAACTAGGAGTTACTGTATCACCAGCTGTTGGGTTCTTTGTACATGTTTCTAAGACCTGGTAATTATCCAGAATTACGTGCCTCAGCAAACGAGGGGGCTTGTCTGGGCACAGGGAGCCAGCAGCACGCTCCAGCGCGGCGTGGCAGCGCAGCCCCGCGCTACACAATGGCAGCGGCAGCTGCAGGCAAGGGAAATTAAACCCTCCAGTGCTCAGATAAAACACATTGCCTTCGAAATGACAAGACATGGAAGGGGAGGGAAGGACGTGAGTTATCATGGGCTGCAACTTGTTATGAGGAATACAGCGGGATCTGGAAGCGTGCTGCCCGCGGTCGCGGGGCCAAGCGTGGCCGTTTCCTCTTCAGGCGCGATGGGAGCCGGCTCCCGCGGGCAGCACCGGGGACCGGCCGCGGAGCGAAATGCCTGCTCCGTACGTGCCGTTCCTGGGCAGGTTCACAGCACGGACTGGGAAGAGGGCCCACAGCGGGATCTGGGGGGACCCTGGTGCCCTGAGCCACCGGCCTGGGCCAGCTGAGGTGCCTCCCCCCTCCACCGGCGGCTGGGGTGGAGGTTGCATCCGAATCAGGTCAGGCTCTGGAGGGACTGAATAGCAGCACGCCAGGGATCTGCATCCGTCAGCTCGCCGAATTCCTGCTCTGCCGAGGGCCCCTTTCTTATCGGCACTAATCCAGCGCAGCAGCTGCAGCAGCTCTGTAGCACTCGGTGCTATCAGTGCTGAGCAGGGCGCCCGATAACCCCCCTTCCTCCGCTGCGCTGGCAGCACGCCCTCCTCGCGCTCCCGCACCATGTATGGCCACCGAGCCCCGGCGCTGGGCGCTTCGGGACTGCCTGGCAGCCGCAAAACACACACAAGCAGAGCTCTGCGGGCGGCCGGGGAGGCAGCACCCAGCCCGCCCCGGCGCCCAGAGCCCCCCGCTCGCTCCCTCCAAGGAGGTGCCTCTGCCAAGCCCCCTCCTCCTGGCGAGAGGCGTCCCCCGGGCCCGCTGCACCCTGTGCCGGCTGGCAGGACGGAGAGCAGCCGCCCCCCCCGGCCCCTGCCTGTCCCCCCCGGGATGAGGACGAAGGACGCTCGGGGCCGGTTCCTAGCTACAGTGTGCGCTCTGCAGGGCGGCTGGTGGCGGCTGGTCCCAGCAGCAAGGGTGCCCGTCCCAAATGGGTGCAGCGGCTTGGGGCGCGGCGACGTGCACCCCTGCCTGAGCTGGCAGGGAGCGTTGCAGCCCGGCCGCAGCATTGTCACACCCCGGCTGGCATCCCTCGGAGGAGGGCCTGTGCTCTGGCCGCCTGCCCCCGCACAAGGGCAGCGTGTTGGTGCTCGTGAAGGGACAGGGAGAGGGACGGGCTCAGCTGTGGGGGGGGACCGAGGGGTATTTGTGGTCTCTCCTTGCTGCTGCGGCAGGGGGGCAAGCGTGGCTGCGAGCTCATGTCCCACCAGGGCCTCTGGCCTCATTGTAGGAGTGTGCCATAATTGCTATGCTAATTGGGACAAATTAAAGTATGCTCTGGGTGAAGGGCACAGTATTGACCTTGGTGGAGAGATCACAGCCCTTCTGCTGGCTCCATTGCCTGCGGCGCAACCTTGAGACCGCACCGAGATCCGTGCTGGGAGCCGAGCCAGCGGTGCAGAAGTGGTTGGAAACGCCACAGAACCCCACAAAATGTCTCTCTGTCTGTCTGCTCAAGCCCTTCCCCTCCTTTGTGCCTGCGAGCCGCCGTGCCCCCATCGAGCTGGGTGCAGCTATGGCACCAGTGACCGTGGCAGGGCTGCTGGGTGTTTCCCAGGGCCAGCCTGGCTCCTTCCCCCACGGCTGCCCGCCCGCACGGCTGGGCACAGGTTACCTGGAGCCCCCCCCCGTGCACCCCAGCCCCGGCCGGTGCCCTCCGTCAGCCGTCAGGATGCTGAAACCCGCTTCTCCCCTCTCTTGCAGCAGCCATGGAGGCAGCGCTGATCTTCCTGTGCTCCCTCCTGGTGCCGGCGGCCGTGGCGGACGGTAGGTCCCAAGTGCTTCCCGTGTGCAGGAAGAGGCTGCGGGACCCCGGAGGGCAGCTGCCCCCCAAATCCAAGGGGGCTGGAGCGGGGAGTGGGGCTGCAGCCCTGGGAGCCTGCGGCGGGGAGCAGGGTGCCTGTGCTGGCGGGGGGGCTGTGGGGGGCTGTGGGGGCTCAGCCGGGAGGCTCGCTCACTTCGTACCCCTTCTCTGCTTCTTTCCAGTGGCCACCCAAGAGAAGGAGGAGGACCCCTTTAACTACGGTGAGCATCGCCGGGCGGGAGGGCGGGTGTGCTGACGGGGACGTGTGTGCGTGTGCGATGGGGAGCAAAAGAGCTGCCCCCCGCCCCCAACCCAGCAGGAGCAAGCCCCTGTGTCTCCTCCCCCCAGATTACCAGAGCCTGAGGATCGGGGGGCTGGTGTTTGCCGTGGTCCTGTTCACCGTTGGTATTCTCCTTATACTCAGTAAGTTGGGGAGCAGGCGGACGCTGGGCTGGCAGGCTGGGGCTGTGGGGGCCCTTCTTGCAGGGGGTGGCCGTTGGGAAAGGCCGGTTCCCACTTTGCCCACGCTCACCGTCTTTCTCTCCCCTTGCAGGCAGGAGGTGCAGGTGCAGCTTCAACCAGAAGCCCAGGTGAGTGAGGGCAGCTGGTGGGGGACGTGGCCCTTGGAGGGGCTCTCTGCCCAGAGCTCGGCTCTTCCCGGGCCCCCTCCCACAGCCAGCAGATCCCTGAGCATCCCTTTCGGGTGCCCAGTGCCCAGAGCCGGGGGACGCTCTGCTGCTGAGCTGCCGGGCGGCAAATCAGCTCCGTACGCTCCCAGGGCACCTCGCCGAGCGTCCCCCCGCACCCCTGGGCATCCCGCCCCCGGGGTCCCCGCCGCGCTCACCGAGCTCCTCTCCTTGCAGAGCTCCGGGGGACGAGGAGGCTCAGGCTGAGAACCTGATCACCTCGAACGGTAAGGCTGCCCGTGCTACGCGCGCTCCGCCGCGTTGCGCCCGCCGGCCCGTGGAGTGCGCGGCCCCGGCAAACCGCTCCGCTCTTCCCTTTGCAGCAACGGGAGCGCAGAAAGCGGAGAACTGAACGAGAGCCATGTGGTGAGTCCCGCGGCTGCCACCGACCGGCCCTGGCCAGCGTGTGTGGTGGCACCGGGGCTGTCACGGCCCCCGTGCTGGGCAGGAGGGGAGAGGCACCCGGGGCTGTGGACAGGAGCCACTGCAGGGGTCTGAGTAGACCAGTCGGCTGGGAGTGGGCAGCTCCGCATCCCCAGCACGGTGCAGGGGGGAGCACTGGGAGGGGCCGTGGCAGGGAAACACGCAGTGCTGGCGAGCTCCTGGGTGTCCTGTGCTCAGCAAGGCCCAGGATGCCCGGTGGGAAAAGGAAGCATCTGTCTGGATTTTCTCTTGCATTACACTTCCCTTCCTTGTGCTCCTCCACCCCAGAGTGCATTTATTTTTAGGGCCTCTGGTGAGCCGAGCGCGAGTCCCCTGCGGCATCTCGCTCCTCGCCTGCAGCCAGAGTTGCCCCGAGCTCCTGGGCTGTGGCCCACACGGAGAGAGGGGGCAAGGCTGGGGCCCGAGCTGGTGGGAGCGCGGTTTGTGCTGCGACTGGGTGAGCCCCGCGCGGGGAGAGGCAGCGGCGCTGCTCCCAGCCTGACTCGCTGCTCTCCTTCCCACGCAGACCCAGACACCCGAGGACGGATGCTCGGACTGCAGATGGCGGTGGCCTGCGAGGAAACTGCAATCGCAGCAGCAGGTCCCTCTAAGGAGATGCAAAGCTGCCGTGTCTGTGTTACCCTCTGTACTTCAGCGCTGGTTCTCTGTTTACTAACCCGACTAAACTCTGCTCGCCGTCCTCTCTGCCTCCAGTGGTGTGTAATGTTGATGTGAGATGATCGTTACCTCTAGGGCTAGTCGTTGCTGATGTTGTAATAGTGACTTTCTCTTCACCTTTCTCGTGCTGTGCGTGTGATTCGGGCTCTGTACGACTGGCAGGCGCTACCCCCCACCCCGGGGCCGAGCCCGGGCAGGGGAGCCGCAGGGCAGGGCGGTGGGGGCTGCGGTGCAGGGAGGCTGCTGCAGCCCCGGGGGACCCCCCCGGCCCCCCGGCTGGAGCCAGCGGCGCTCGGCACCGCCCGGGTTCACCCCGGCTTGCTGCGGGCAGGGCGTGGGGAGCGGGGAGCAGTCCCGCAGCACCCCGGGGGCCTGCCCAGCCTGACTCGGGACCGCGCGGTGCAGTCTCAGCAATAATCCCCCTGCACACCCCCAGCCCAAAGGCAGCCGGCGGTGGGGGGCGAGTCAGGCAGGGACGTCCCTCGGCGGTGGCACCTGGCTGCTGGATTTAAGGCTGAAGGGAGCTCGCCTTTGTCACCTGCTCGGCACTCCCTCTTTCTGTCCCTGGCTAAACCCAAGCCATCAGTGCGGGATGCTACTTTAAATGTGAGGAAATGCTGTGGTGGCAGAGAAGCCCGTGAAATCCCCCAGCACGGTGACACTGTGAAAGAGGGCAGCTGCGCAGCGGTGACCCTGCTAACCAGCACAAACCAGCTCCTCGCCAACACCGCCTGCCCGCGAGACGGAGGTGAGCAGGTTAAACAGTCTCTGAGGGCTAACGAGAAACACGGACTGAAATAAAGAGCCTGTCCTTGCTTGTCTCGGGCAGGGAAGGGGCAGCGGTGTTCCCTCCTGGTGCTCCCTGCCCTCCCTGATGCCTTGTCGACACGGCCACCCGTGTCAGTGCTGTGTGTCGTCCCGTGGTGGTCCCGTGTCGTCAGCCCCCGCGGCCAACTGCCCCTTCTCCCCGCAGAGCAGCAGGGCCGAGTGCTGCTCGGGGGGGTTTGCACGCCCGAGCTTGCACACTGACGACACGCCGGCTCCGGAGGGGCTGAGCCCAGAGTCCATCGTCACCTTGTGTCCACTCGTGGGTCGGAGGCAAAGCTGTGAGTCTGGCCCCTTCCCCAAGCCCATGGGCATGCAAAACCGGGGACTGCCGGGTTGGCTGTGGGCGCTTCCCAAGGCAGGGTCTGCCTGGGCAGCAGCGGCGCATCCGCAGGGCTGCACTGAAACACGTCAGGGGACCGTCCATGGGCCGGGAGGAGGTTCTTGTCCTCCAGGATGGTCCTGAGAGGAGTTTCTGCTGTGCCCACCCCACCGCGGTGGCCCTGCCTCCAGGGTGGGCTGTGTCTCTGTGTGCTTTGCATCCCTCGGTGGTGCTGGGAAGCACGCTCTGTCCCGTCTGTGCAAGGCAGAGGGACCGTGTCTCCGGTACCATGTCCCTCCCCGTCCTCCTGCCCGGTTCAGATTGCTCTGCTCACCCCCGCCTCCGCGCTGCTCCGCAGCCCCGGGCAGGGCAGAGCCCACGCAGCCCACCCGAGTGTCAGCTCTGTGCGTGTCCCGCGTCCCAGTGCCCGTGCTGTCTGTAGCGTGCCGTCGGTGTTAACACGAAACAAAGAAATCCCTGTGGTGTGTAGAAATGGCAAAATCCTGACTGTTGTAAAATAAACCGAGCTATTGTGTTTCCTTTTAAATAGGCAACTGTGCTGCTGTGGTAAAGGACTGGTGTGTTCTGTGCTGTGACCGAAGAGGGGAAAGGAATAAAATATCGTTTCTATCGGTGCCTGGCTGCGTCGTCTCAAGGGCCGTGGCGCTTTCCAGGGGTGCGGGGCTGGGGGCTCCAGCTCTGCTGGGGAGGCTGACTGGGCAAGCCGGTGGGCAGCTTCCCCCGCTGTCCCCCCGCACCGGGCAGCGCCGGCAGCCAGGCTGGGCCGGAGGGGAGCCACGGCAGCGCACCCCCGGGCAGCACAGAGGGGCTTTGTGCTAGCAGCGGTGGGCTGCCCGAGCCCCCTCCCTGCTCCGGTCTCTTCAGCAGCCAGCAGCACTTCCCACAATAGCCAGAGACTGTGTGAAGGGAGCACCTGAGCGGCGAGCCCGGCTGCACAGCCCTGAGGGACACAGGCACAGAGCCCCCTTGTCCCTCCGCCTTTCAGGAGCTGCCCGGACACCCCCACGCACCGCCCTCTCGGGGCTCGGGGGCTGGCTCCCCCCCCCACCTCGGCATGAATTGTTTTGCGCGCATGATTCCCGCTCCCTGATTGAGAGATTGGAGCAAACTGGATTGAACAGCCCTCCCGGCAGCTGGGCTCGACGCCCGGGGACGGCACAGCCCCGGGGGGCCCAGCAGCCTGGTACCCACTGCCGGGCAGGGATGCGCCCCAGACATCGCTGTGCTGGGGGGCTGCAGGGGATGGGGCATGCCGCCCGCTTCTCTCTAGCAAAAGGCAGTGGCAGCCCGTCCCCGAGCCCATCCCTCTGCCCCCCGCCTCGGGCTCGGCTCCGCAGCGGGAGGTGAAGCGCAGGCGGGCTGACGTTGGGAAGGGGAGGGAGGGAATGCCACCCTGCTCCCGGCGGGCACAGGGGCACCCGCAGCTCAGAGCGCCCAGCCCTCCCGCCGGCTGGCACGGTGGGTGCGCACCCGGCACTCCCCTCCCGGGCCTCCTTCCCAGAGGCAGGCGGGGGCCCTGTGCCTCCCCTCGTGACTGCGATAAACATTACACCAAGGCCGTTAATGTTTAATGAGGTTTGTCTCCCAATTAATGCGCTCTCCCGTGGGCGCCCGCTCCCAGAGCGAGGCGCCCACCGGACGACACGCCGACACGATGGGTGACGGTAAGGGTGCTGCGGGGAGCGGGGCGGCTGGCAGGCACCCGCAGCCAGCACCCTGCTCAGCCCACCCCAAAGGGGCTCCCCTGGGAGGGCAGGCACCTTCACGGGGGCATCTCCGTGCGAGGAGCAGGGCTGCTCCCTCCCGCTGCGCAGAAGCCTGCATGGGGGAAGCTCATGGAGGCTTCGGGGCAGACACGGGGATGAATCCCCAGAGCTCTGCAGCCCGCTGGCGCATCGGTGCCGGCTGGCGTTTGGCTTCTCAGGGGGATTTCTCCTTCCAAGTGGCTCCTGGCAGAGGGACGCATGGTCAGGTAAGGTGGCTCGAGCGGTGACACGCAGCGCAGGGTGTCAGCCCGAGGGGTTGTTCAGTGCCCGGAGCAGCGGGAGCAGGCAGAGCCATCGCTGCCCCGCGAGTCCTGTGGCCAGCGGCACGTCCCCAGGGCACCGTGACGGCTGCTCTGCAGACGGTGCAGCCTTAGCACAGAGCAACCGGCTCCTGCAAGCAGCCGAGCCGGGCCTCTGTCTGCAGCTTCACCTGGAGCTTGGAGACTCCCGGGCATCCTGCGAGTGCATCCTGCGAATGCACCGTCAACTTTGCACTTCCTGGGGTGAAAATCAGGAATTTGGGAATCCTTTACTGGCTTGGCCAGACCTTAAGGAAGTCGGAGCGCTCTTGCTCGCAGTGTTCATTCCTGATCTTTCCCACCTCGCCTCCCCGTCCAGGCGCCCACCCCGAGCCCAGCACCCAGGCCCTGGCTCTCACTTGGGTTTCTCCTCTTTTCCAGAGCAAGCGCCCGAGCAGGGCCTGGACAGGTTCAGCTACGGTGAGTGCGTGCCCCGTGCAGCCCAGGGGCTGTGGGCAGCGGGACGGGCAGCCCACTCCCACGCCTGCCCGCGGGCTCTGCGCTGCGGGCTCAGCCCCCTGCCTCGGCCGGGCTGACGCCTGCTCGGCTCTCCCCCTCCCCAGACTATGAGACCATCCGCAACGGGGGGCTGATCTTCGCCATCGTGGCTTTTGTCGTCGGGCTCCTTGTCATCCTCAGTAAGTGCCTTGGGTGGGCCGGACGCCCCCCTCGTCCCTGTTCCCCTGCACGTGGCCCCTTCCCCACTCGCCCCACACCGGGCGCTGGCTGGGTGCTGGGGTGGGGGAGCCGCTGCCCCTGCCCCACGGTGTGAGGGGTGGGCATCGCCTGCAGCCAGGGCTGCCTGGGAAATTTCCATCTAGGCAAGCTCCCAGCAGAAAATGAGTTGGGAAGGAGACGACATAAATATTTAGTGTTTCCCTGCCAGCGTCAAAAGGCTTCAGGGAGAAGGTCACTAATTAAAAATAGCAGAGAAAACTCTGACATTTCCAGAGTGAGAAACCAGCTTCCCCAGAGCCCTCAGACCTCGGCTGCTCCCAGAGAGACCCGGTGTCGAGCGTGCCAGGCAGCCTGTGACCCTGCCAGTGCGTACAGGCACTGCCTGCCTCGCTTCCTGGGGCCGTGGGCGGCCACAGCATCGCAGCTGCATGCAGGGAGGCTGCCCAGCGGTTTTAGGAAGAAAGAGAAGATAACTGCCTGCATTTGCAGTCATGGGGGCAGCTTAGGGAGAAGGACAGACACCCGAGCGGGCTCTCATGGCTGGCACTGTGCTGGGCAGTGCCGGGGGCTGCAGTTTTGGAATGCGGGGTGGTGCAGGGGGGCTGGCCAGGCAACACGGCTGAGCCGGGGGGCACGTGGGGTTGGTGTCTCCCCACACGGGTGGGAGCTGTGCAGGAGGCCAGCCCCAGCGTGGGGGCAGGGGCTCGTGGCTTCCCGCAGCAGCCAAACCCAGCTGGGAGCCCCCAGACTGGGGACCAGCCCGTGAGCAGGACTGCTTCACCGGAGCAGAGAGGGACGGGTGAGATGGGGCTGGGGGGTGGAAAAGGCTCTGGCCACAAGAGGCCTCAGCTGCTCCTCTTGTCCCCAGGCCAGCGGTTCCACTGTGGAGGGAAGAAGAAGAGGAGGTGGGTATTGCACAGTTTTCAGTCCGCCTCGTCTCTCCTCCCCGCCCCAGCCCTGCCAGCTGAAAGGGCCGGGGTCTCGGCACGTACTCCCTCCCAGCTCAGCCTCGTTGCCCAGCGTAACTCGTCTCCCCTTGCTTTTGGCTCCACAGACAAGGGAATGAGGAAGACCTGTAGCTGCAGGTAGGTCGCAGGAGGAGGCACCCAGCTGGCAGCCAGGCTCCCTGCCTCTGCCTGTGCTGGGCAGCGATGCTTCGAGGCACCCCAGCTTCAGGGAAGTACTCACGTGGGGCTTTGACTTGGGAGGAGAGCAGCTAGGACACGCTGGCCTCTGCGGCCATGTAACCCTCCCACTCTGGTTGCAGAGCTGCCATGCCGCTGTGGAAGCAGAGCTTCACCCAAAGCAGAGAAGTCCTTGCCAAGGGCCACCCCTTGCCCCGCTCCAGTGGATCCATTACCCTGCTCACCCCAGCTGAGGCCAGAATGCAAATTGCCCTCGTGCTTTCCCTTCTGTTAGATCCAGCAAGAGTTTCTTGGCTAATAAAGTTCAAGCTGAGAGAGGTTAAACTTTGTGCCCGAGGCATTTGAATCGCCCACTCTCCTGGCCCGGCACCAATGACTTTTCTGCCCTGCAGACATCTTCCAGCACAGACCCAGGAGAGGTTTCTGCTGGCTCCTCCGAACACCCACGGCACGGAGCAGCCGGCTGCCTCCGCTTGGGCTTTGCCACGGAGGGAGGGATGTTCCTGCTCCTGGCCACCCTGGCTGCTTTGAAGAAACACCGCTCTCACCCGGGGTGAACACTGCTGCGGGTGCCCAGAGCCTGCGGGACGTGCCCTTCTCCTGGGACACCCGGTGAGGGGTTTGCAGCGCTGCCCGGCACTCTGCAGGCTGCTGGCCACGTCACGGGCAGAAGCGAGCAGGGGCAATTCCTGTGCTTGACCCAGGCGTCCTTTTTGGGCAAGAATGGAGCTGGGGTGGTGTGTGAAGCTCTTTGGTTTCACGGTCTCTATCATCTTTGCGTGCAGACAGAAACACGTCTTTTTTTTTTTAAAAGGAAAAAAAAAAAAAAAAAAACAACAAAGTGCAAAACTCTCCTGCAATTGGGCGGTGAGTGAGGAGGGAGGTTCCGTCCCGAGTGTCTGGATGCGGGTGAGCTGGACCGACACGGACACCTAGCGACCGGCTCTGCTGGCCCCGGAGCGCCGGGGCTGCCCCCCAAACCACTGCCCCCAGCACCCCCACCCCTTAGGTCACCCCAACCGAGCGGAGAAGTAGAGGCTGCTCCGGGAGGCTGCGGGGGGCTCTGCCAGGGCAGGCAGCGGGGGAGATGCAGCAGGTTGCGGTGCCGGAGCCCCCGCTCCTCCGTGTTGGTGGTCCCGCGTGGGGCCGGTCCCGTGGGCAGCACAGTGGCAGTGACGACGCTCCAGCCCCACTGCTGGCAGCAGAGAATCCGGCTCGCCTGGTCCCCTTGGGCATGGATCGAGGTCAGATCTTGACAGTAAAATGGGATTAGCTGGGGGAGGGTTATTAGACGAAACCCGTGCAGTTTGTCTCATCTGAGGTGCTTATTTAGCGCAGTAAGGAGATTATTTTGAAATATAATTTTGACTTGACGCTGACCCACTAATAAAGACTCGTTGCAGCTTTGCACAGCACGAAGAGGAACCCGAGTCCTTCAGCAGACAGAAAAGTGCCTATTCAACAGCACTGACAAGCTGCAGGGTTTGCTTGAGGCAGAGCTGGCCCTGCCCGCTCCCTGCTCGGACCCCCAGCCCTTGCCAGCAAGGTGTGCGTGCTTGTGCGCCCCGAAAGAAGGAGCTAAAGGGCGCAGCAGCTGGTGTACGGAATGAGCCCGAACCCTGCAGGGTCCTGGAGGCCCAGGGCTCCCCGTGACCCCCAGTGCCTGAGCGTGCCAGGGCTGGGGGCACGGGCATGCCCTTCAGGGCGTGTGCCCCCCCGGG